TAAATTTTGAATTGTATATATTTAAGATCATATTTAATGCAAAAAATATTATGTTTGATGTGTATAAAGATTAAGATAGGATAATTTATTTATTAATCAAAATTATCGTTATTTAAAATTTATACAATTTAAATTATTGATATAATTTTTAAAGATATAATAAGACATGTAAATTTAATTCTAATTGATTAAAAATATTTTTTTTTTAACTTTGGAAGGATTGAATCTTATACCAAGACGATGATAATCCTTCTCATAATTATATCCCTTTCAATTAAATACAAATCAAATATAATATAAAATAATTATCATATTATTCTATCCATCATTTTATGTACCAAACATAATCTAAAAGTAATATATCAATGTTTCTAATGAATGTTTGACATAAGGTATAGATAAACAATGGGTTTTTTTTTTTTTTTTTCTAAAGTGATCCAAATTCGAAGGGGGTTGTAGACACCCCATTTCGTTTAGGACGTGCATCCAAATTCTCAATTTTGATTTTGTCGAGATTGTTAAGTTTTGATCCCAATATATGTTAGTTTAATGTGAGCTTTGCCCCAACGAATATTTTATTTTTATTTGTTCGTTTATTCTTTAATAAAAACTAAATAAATAAAAAAGAAAGAAAAGAAAATCAAACAAAATTTCTAGAAATCTTGCATAAGAATTGGGCAAAAAGGAATTTTTAGGATTTTTTCTTAATCTGCATGAAATAGAAAATCAAATAAAAGAGGATCACATAGGGCATCAAAGCTAGGATTTTTGTTAAATTGATTTTACTCCAATTAAAGTGATTTAAAAAATCTTTGACAATAAATGGAACTCTAAAATTTTTGATTAGAAAATTCTTATAAATTGTTTTAAGGTAGACAAAAAATGAAGATGAAAAAAAAGATTATACAAAAACTCTTAAAAAAAAAAGAGAGAAAATTATTTAGAAAAAATATAAGATTTCTGGAAGTAGATTTTTTTTTCTAATAAGTTGCATAGACTAGCCACTTAGTCGAGCCGACTTCAGGTTTATTTTATTTTTTATTTATTTGTTTATTTGATTATTTATTATTTTTAAATATGTTTTTATAAAAACATATTTAAATAAAGTCTTATCAATAGATTGGAAGGTAATTATTTTTTTTAAATAACATTTTAACAACATATTAAAAAAATTTATAATTTTTTTTATTTAAAAGAATAAAAATAAAAAACCTTACTAGATTGGAAGGCCAATATTTTATTTCTAAAATAAAGTTTTACCAGCAAATTGAAAAGCCTTACAATTTCCTTAAAAAATCAAGTTTAAAAAAAATAATAAAATAATATTTCATGTCTTTTTACATAAAATCTTACTAACATATTGAAAAATAATTTTCAATAGAAAGTTTACCAACAGATTAGAGAATATTTCTAATTATAAACCCGGGTTATAGGTATTTATTTCTAAAAGCAAAATTAAGTGAATCCGATAACGGAGCTTTTTCAAAATGTAATAAATAATCTTATTGAATACTCCTGAGATAAGAAATATTCTTAAATTATTATCAATATATTTGATTAATTTAAGAAAAATTTTTAATATTAAAATATTTGATAAATTTTAAATATATTTAAAGCTTGGATAACTTGAAATTAGACTAGTATCATCTTTTGGATAGGTACTGTAAGGATACTATAACTTTTTTCATGCATAATTGTATACCTAGACCTAAAGTTTAATTTTGTGGATTAGAATTTACTATTTAAATATATCTAAATTAATATAGAGACTCCTTTTTAAATAAACAGATTCTGTCAAATGATTAATCATATCTTAATAAAAAAAATTTGTGGTGACTCATTTAATTTATATCTAACAGTAGATTAATGGATCTTTACATTATGAAAGAGGTAAAACAATATTCTATCATATCTTATCTTAGGTTGAGAAGACATTTCGAAGAATGGCATTGGCTTAGGTTATAAAATCTTTAGTAATTTTAAATATATGGTCAAGATTCCATCAAAATATGAATGTTTACGTATTATCTCACGTCAATGATAAATTATTTGATAATAAATTTACACAACCGTCATCAAAGACCATATGTAGAAATAATTGACATCTTATTATCTTATTAACAAAGTAAAAGGAGAAATAAGGTTTAAAAAAAAAAAGGAAAAGCTAGCAAGTTTTGAAGTTGGATTTTGTTCAAATAATTAATTTATTTTTTTCAAAATTTAGATTTTATTCGAATAAATTTTTTTTTTTTTTTTGTATAAAGGAAATCATAATTTGAACATAAAAAAATTATAATTATTAAAGTTTAAATTTTATATCTATTAGATATTATTTTTTAAAGTGATTATATAAATTACTTGAATTAATTTTGAAATATATATATGAGTAATATATTAATGTTTTTCTAGAATCATTGACCATAGGATTTTTTTTTTCTAAGTGATTGAAATTCGAAAGTGGTAAAACAGTATTCTGTCATATCTTGTCTTAGGTTGAGAAACATTTCGCAAAGTGGCATTGGCTTAGGATATAAAATCCTTAGCAATTCTAAGTATATAGTCAGGATTCCATCAAACACAAATGTATATTTTTAGGATCTCTTGATTTAGTGGAGTCATATCCTGCCACCTCAACTGAGATTCTAATCATAAGTGGATAAATAGATTTGCCCTTAATTTATTTCCTTCATCATGCAATTTATATATCATTGTTTTTAATTTCAAATTTCCACCATGATCACTATGGTATATATTATATGTTCACTATTATTTCTAAATTTCTATGAAAAAAAAAATTTAAGACACATTTTTCATATTATACTCATTAATTTTTAAGGATTAAATTTTGTTCAATATGAATTATCTTAATTAGACATTCAAAACTCGCATGATAAAATTATAACATTCTTATCTTATATCAAAATATTTTAAAAACATGTTATGATATAAAAGTAAAAACTTAAATTCATATTTGTAATGCATTTTTTGTAGGATAAAACTTTAAAATTTTTAAATTAAAGCAAATAATGCCTCATATGTTAAGTGCGAATATTTATAAATGATATTATAGTAGTCATTAATCGAATAAAAATTAAGTGTTACATTGTGAGAGTCACCTTTAGAATTCAAAAAGAGTTAAAGTGTTACACAATGGGAGCTACTTTTAGAGTCTCAATGTCTGGTGTGATTCTAATTTTGTGATTTTATGTGTGTTTTGTATTGGGTTTAACATGAATGTTAAGTTTTAATGAAAATAGTTTATGACACTCAAATATTATATTCTGAAAATCTATTATAATACATAAGTAGAGATTTAAATTTGTACTTATGATGTACCTTTTATAAGATAAAATTTTGATATATTCGAGTCAAGACAAATAATACATCGTAAGTTGAGTGTGAATTTTTACAAATAGTATCAAAGCGATAACTAGTTAAATATGAGCTAAGTACTACACCATGAGAGCAATCTTTAAAATCTCAAATGAGCTAAATACTATATGGTAAAATATACCTTTAGAATCCCAACATGTAATATGATCTTAATTTTGTGATTCTGTAAATGTTTTGTATTTGACTTAACTAAGACATTAAGTTTTAACGAAAATAGTTTGTAATATTTCAAACCTATATATTTAAGATTTTTTATAATATACAAATAAAAATTTAAACTCATACTTAGAATATATTTTTGATAAAATGAAATGAAAAATTTTTGAATCAAAACAAATAATATCTCATAAATTTGAATCAAATTTTCACATAAATTATATATGCATATAACTCAATTAAAAAAAATAAAGAGGCCATCTTGATTGTTTTGATATACTTTTTTAATAAGCCAAGGCAATATATTTACCATGAAAACTATATTGGCAGCACCAATTTGATGATCCTTCGTGGAAACCAGGGAGGTGGCGCAGTCACACGCATGTACTAAGACAACATGGCACCCACCGGCCAAAAGACATTATTATAAAATGAAATGAATTACTTCCGAATCTGTAATAAATTAGAAAATTCTTTTAAACACGTGTGAAATGAGCACAGTCCAGATGAGACGGCTTTTAGTCTATGGTATTCACAAGGTAAAATTATAGATTGGTCCCTATACTTATGCAAAATTAAAATTTAGTCCTTGTAAAATAATTTTTACAAATTTACCCTATGTTCTTTTCGTAATGTAAAAAGTCAGTCCAAAATATAACAGAATTACAAAACCACCATTAAATTGCTAATGCAACAAATTTTGTAATTCTGTTACATTTTGGAATTATATTTTATATCCTGAAAAAAAATAAATTTATTTAAATTATTGAAAAAAATTAAATTATAATTTTTATATGAATATAAGAATCAATCTCATAGTTTGACCTATGGATATTATGAGCAATTTAAGTTTATGAATGTAGGAAAGGCTTAAATATAGTTTTTTTGGTAAAATTCATGAAATTTTTTACTAAAAATGATTAAATAAAAATTAAAATCAAAAATCAAAACTAATAAATTAAAAGAGCTTGTTACATAGATTGTGCAAAATTTGAAAAAATTTTAATAAATTTTGATATATATTTTTTGTAGACATTTTTTGTAAAAATGTTAACTAAATTTTTACCGTTGAATAAGTATTGATTAAATTTAAATTATAAATTATTTTTTTAATAATTTTTTTTACATATTATTGATTTTCACATTAAATTTTATAAATCTATCGCTTTGAATTTTTTATTAAAATTTTTATCAAATAATTTTTTAAAAAAATTTCATGTAAGTATTATTCAAGAATTGTATTATATTCTTTCTTTGTTCATTTTTTCAACTAAATTTTTATATTGTGAAAATTAATAATGTCTTTTTCCTAATGATGAAGTCGCCCCAATTTTTCCACCTTACTTTTTCCTAATCAACCCGTAAATGAAGCTCTAATTTTTTCTTTACCTTGGAAAAATTTTCGTGCCATCCACGACACCTTTAACTCTATAAATGTTACTCTGTATTTTTCTGCTTCTTTAACTGGTCTCTCCCATTCCCATATATACATCTCTGTTGAATGAATTTGTATAGCTTTTTATCCTCCAAGCCAGCCGCCTCTTGTTTTATTCTTTGTTCTTCTTCTTTTGTCTTCTTCTTTGTATAAGCACTGGCTTTTATTCCATATGGAGAATTATCAAATGTTCTTTCCTATGTCATCGCCAGCAGCAGCAGCAGCAGCAGCTTATCCTATGCCAACAAACATGTCACCTAATTCTCAAGTTTTTAACAATTTTCATGGGAATATCTCAAATGGGTTGTTGGGTTTGAAGACAGAGAACTTCATCCAGAAACCAGAAGTTAAGGAAGTTGTTCAGAATGGGAGATTTGTTGGTTCTGAAACTGAGATAAAAATATCAGGTAATAAAAAGAAGGAAAAGATCAAGATTAGGAAGCCTAGATTTGCTTTTCAAACAAGGAGTCAGGTTGATATACTTGACGATGGATATCGTTGGAGGAAATATGGGCAAAAAGCTGTTAAGAATAACAAATTCCCAAGGTTTGCTTGACTTACTATATCCTCAACTAATTTTTCTTTCTTAATTTGTTCTGTTGCATGCATTTCCCCCAATTCCAAGTTCGATGATATATGATGATCTTCAATCTTGATGCATATCATAGTTGATATCCTTTCACAGTAATTAGGGTAAGAGTTGTGCAGTAGTTCCTTTCAGATTTAGAAATTAACATTTCCAACATGCAAGCACTATCCCTTGCATGCATGGCTACAAAAGAAATTCCATAAACGATAATTTCTCTACAAATTTTTGTCTAGGGTTTTCCCTCTCTCTCGCTCTCTCTCTCTCCCAATAATTCTTCTTAAAAGATCAGAAGAATTCACAGCTAGCCTAGTGCATTAAAGCAAGAATTTTCTAACAATTGTAACAACTACATGTTCTTCTCACTATTTCTATCCAACAAGGGATGTCAGATTTTGTATAATAGAGATATATTTAGTACACAAGATCATGATAGATAGGATAAGAAGATATTATGAATAAGATTAAATTAAATAATATCATCTTATTTTGTGTTTGATGTGTTTAGTATACAAGATTATAATAGGATAGAATAAGATAATATTATGAATATGATTAGATTAAGTAATATCATCTTATCTTGTGTTTGATATATATAGAGATTATGATAAGATAATTTATTTATTGGTCAAAATTATCTTTCCTTAAAGTATATACAATTTAGATTATTGATGTAATTTTTAATGGTGTAATAGAACACTTAAGTTTAATCTCATTAATAAAAAATAATTCTTTTCACTTTTTAAGGGTATAATAGGACACATAAATTTAATATCATGAATTAAAAATAATCATATCTACTTTAGAAGAAATAAATCATCCTATACTAAAAATATGATTAATCCTTTTTATAATCTTATCCCTTTCTTTTGATACAAATCAAATATAATATAAGATAATTATCATCCTTTGCACCAAACATGATTTATTAATTAAAAGTAGTCCAAAAATTTGTGGTTGGATTGGAATAGTTATGTGTGTGTGTTGGGTGGGGGGGGGGGTGGTTTAATTATGTCCTGACTCTAGAGCCTCCATGAACAACAGCATTGCTTTTTATTATTTGTCAAATGTGTTTAGAGGAATATCATTTAAAGCAAAATGATATTAAAAATTTAGTTGGGCAGTTTACTGAAAGACACAAGGGTCTAAAACTTTCATGCAATCTCGACAAGAGATCAGGAACAAGAGATTAACTAATGAATCCGAGATTTAGTCCAGACGGTTTACCAATAGACAAGATATGTTAGAATACAATTTGAACTTAGAAATTTTTAGAGCATCTCAATCTATCCTTTGTAATTGGTCTTCGAAATTCTGGTTTCTGAATCAATCAAAAAGCATGATTTGAGCTCAGCTAACTCTATAACTTTGCATGTACAGAAGCTACTATCGATGCACACATCAAGGATGTAATGTAAAGAAGCAAGTCCAACGTCTAACCAAAGATGAAAGTGTGGTTGTGACAACTTACGAAGGGACGCACACTCATCCCATAGAGAAGCCAATCGACAATTTTGAACATATCTTGAGTCAGATGCAAATTTACACACCCTTTTGAAACCTATCATCTTCCATGCATATATATAATAGCTAGATGAAAATGCTGTATGCCTAATTAAATCCATACGAATCTTGAATTTAATCCTTCCATGTGAAATAATAAAGTTGTAATTTCTGAAATGTTCTTTTGTTTTTTATTTTCTTATGCTTAATCAGTTAGGAAATGGGAGGAAAACTCAAAGCTGAGACCTCATTTTTGGAGGTGTTCAGTGGTAGAACACTGACAATGTGTGATATCTGAAGTGTGAAAGAATCAACAATGTGTGATATTTGAAGTGTGAAAGAATCAATCATATTCTCTTCATGCAATTTTTATTTATCGTTTTTGTTTTTTTTTTTCCCTTTCATTTGCAGCTGAGAATTATCACAAGCTCAAACTTCATGCAAATTTTTTTTAAAAAATCAAATGTAAAAGATTTACTTACAATGGATTAGAGATTTTATTTTATACCTATTGAGTTCTCAAAGACCTCCCTTTAATTAGCACTAGCTGTAAGAAATTATCTAATTAAATTCTTCATATTTATAAGAAATTAGTACTAGCTACAATATATGATATGATGGTCATTTGCCATTTGGTGATTTATTGCTAATGTAAATATATGATGGTCATTTATTATCCATTATTGTAACAAGTAGATGATATTTTCAAAAATATTGCATTGCATGATTTAAATAGGAATTATATATGCTACTATAAGAAGTAATTTCTTTATAGAATCATTTCTCACTTTTATTATGTAGCTAATAGCCAAAAAAATAAAAATTCATGTGATTTAAGAATAATTTTTATGAGTTGGGTTGGGTTGAATCAGGTTTGATTAATATTTTTAGAGTTAAGGTCTGAGCTGCCTACTTAAGTTATGTTTTTACTCATATTATTTAAATTTATTACTAAAATATCAAAAATATTTTTATATTAATATTTTAATACTTAAATATTTTAGATTTTAAATTAAAAAATAATTATTTTATAATAAAATATTTTTACGAGTATGACCAAACCCGAAATTGAGAATCCTCTGCTAAAGTTCAACTCGGATTAGGGCTGTCCACTGAACCCATAGATACGTTTATTAAAACTATACTTCAACAATTAAAGACTAAAACTTTTTATAATAGAATTAAAAACTTAAATTAAGTGATAGATTTGTCTATAAACCTTGCTTCTTAAAAAAAAAAAATTCCCCATTAGCTTTTTAATTATTTTCCACAAATTAAATAAATGGCCAAAAATAATTACAGAGCTTAAGTTTGGGCTCTTGCAATCAGAATTATTAAAATGGTTTGTCACATGTCAAAAACTAGGCAAAAATGAATGTTCCTTATTTAGGTATGAAAAGAAGATGTGATCATAATTCCACCTTTCTTCCATTTGGAGTTCGTTTGGAACAATGGAAAGTGTCTATATGCCATGCACCAATGTTAATTCTATTACAAATCATAATCTCTAATAAAAAATTCCTACTAATTAGAAATTCAGATAGCAATAAGAAAGTGAGGAAGTGAAGATTCCAAAGTGAAAAGATGGTGCATATTATTTCTTTATATTATTTTTATCTGCAATCATATCATTGATTTATCATTTTTTCTATTTTAATAATCCCCACTTCTAGAATTCATCACAGATTGGATAAAATAAAGAAGCCAAAGGCCCAAATGATAACCAGGCTGCTTCCTGTACCTCCACTCCTCATCTTTTGTACTTTTCCCGTAGTCTATATATAATTCAAAGAATTGTTGAAAACAAGAATGCCTGTCACTTTCTTTCACTCAATTTTGGTATCTTTCCTCTTTATCTATCTATTATTCAGCATCTTTCTAACTTTTGCTTGGTTTGTTTGTATGCCACACTAACAGTAGTCCACAACAATTTAGCTTCAAGTGTCAAACAAGGGAAAATTTTTACAAACTCAGGAAATAGAGAGAAGAAAAGAATTCTCACCAAGTCATGTATATGAGTCCATTTTTTCAGACTTTTGGCCTATTTAATTAGAATCTTGGTGTTTTTTTGTATACAGTAAGGGCCTCATGGAAGATAATTTGTGGAGTTTGCATTGCTGTTTCTCGTAAAGTTTAGTGGAATTTGGAATAGGAGGCAAGTTAAATACTGTAGAAGTTTGAAGAAAAAGGGTGAAATGGATTTAGACTTCGAAGAATCTGCTTTAGGTTTATCTCAGCTGGAGTAAAGGATAGAAGAATAAAGGATTTGGATTAAGAAATTGGAGAGTCAAGTCATGAATAAGAGTAAGAACTCCAGGGCCTTAAAAATGGAGTCATCACCTTTAGGATCATTGAAGAGGTCTTCTGTGCCTAATGCAAATCAGAAAATGTCATGCTTGGTTGATGGCTGCAAATCTGATCTTGGACACTACCGCGAATACTATAGGCGCCATAGGGTCTGTGAGCACCATTCCAAGGACCCAGTTGTCATTGTCGTGGGTGAAGAGCAAAGGATCTGTCAGCAATGTCGCAGGTAAGTGTAGAGCTTGCTGGTAATAAAGAGGAACCCAGTTCAACTTCTTTTTCCTCTCCCTGTCTGTGTCTTTATGCTGGGAGTCTTAACTTCCCTTAATTCAATTTGGTAGATTTCATGGTCTCGAAGAGTTTGATGAGGAAAAAAGAAGCTGCAGGAAACGTCTTGGTGGATATAACAGGCGCCGAAGAAAATCTCGGCCAAAATCTTTGTACATGAATCCTGGTAGTTTTCTAAGTAGGCTTGGATTTATTCTTATGGAAAAGTTTATCTATAACCTTTTTATTTCTTGCTTGAAAGATTTTTAATACGTTTATCTATAATTAACCTGCTATTATTCTTTATATCCCTTTTCTCTACATGATTTACAGAATCAATTTTAGGCAGCAAAATCTTGCAATTCAGTGATCCACAGATCTATGCAACTCCTGCAACGGTTTACAATAGTTATGAGCACTTGAATCTTGTTCATCGAACAAGGTCTCCCAAATCCCTTGGTTTGAATCAACCATGGAGGAAATAGAGAAGTTGATACCCTGCTGAAAAACGACCATGACAGGATCAACCAAGTAACCCCTGTGGTTTCCGCTCATCGACAACTTTCCAATGTCCTTACTTCATCAGGTGGAAGAGGTAGCCAAAAGACGCAACCCAATGTGATAACCCGATCCATCGATTACTATTATGCTTGCTCTCTTCTGTCACCACTTATTTCAATGCGGTCAAATGCATCCATTCAATAGCACAGGTCACTAGTTCTCAAAGTAATATCAGTGAGCCTTAAAGTTTAACTCTGATCCCTGACGGGAACCAAGTCAACCCAGCAAGCAGTGGCAATATAATCCTTAAAGCTTGGCCTGATGGCTTGCTAGACGACCAGGCCTGGATTACATATAAATGCTCTTGAGCTTAAATGTTCTATGCCAAAACGGTCAGGTTCTTACAGTGCATCTGAGCAATTCTTTTCCTTATGAGGCGTTAATTGTGCCCTTTAAACATCTTTGTATAACGATGATGATGTCTTTTTGAGCTGTAATATGTGGATCAGACTGTAAAATAATCTCCTCCAAATTTTTGTGGGATAAACTTCCCATTTTTTAGATAATGTAAGGAAAAACAGCAACAAAAAATTGAAATTTTCTGCAAACTGAATATTTCTTCCTTTCTCCACCTCTTTTATTACAGAGTTATATGCTGCTCCAAATAAAACTGATATTTCTCAAAAGTATTAACTAAGTAAATAGGGCTGTGTATTAACAAAACATAAAAAAAAAAGGTGAGACAACAAAATTTAAGCAGCTTTGAAGTGCAGAAATACACAGATATTAATCAAGACTTATTCTCAATAACAACCTAGATATCCAAAATTGATAACCCAAACTTCCTATAAAGACACTAGTCCTTCTCCTTGGGAGGAACCTTCGACTCCAGTTCCTTGGGCTTTGCCTTCTCAGCTGCCCTGAAAGAAGATCATTCAAGTTAGAAATAAGCTTTGTGTTAAGGCAAGAACTATTTGCAACAAATGTTTGGAGCAGATACAGACGATACATACAAAAATTGAAGAGTGGGAAGCACAACTTAGATACAAGCAGGTTTCACTCTGAAGTGATTCACCAATATTACAATCATATTGCTCAAAAAAACTGACTCCCATAACTAGAATTAACAGTGATAAGCAATGTTCTTATAACTATGCAGTTATTTATGTTAGAATTTTCCGTAAGTGAGCTACTATTAATTGATGATTTTAATGTCTAATAAAACACGCTGATAAATTTAATCTTAATACGAGATAAATATAAAAACCCAAATATATAATCACTTACTAATGGGCTTTTACTTATTGAGTCGATGTGATTTGACCATTAAGCCTTTAATCTGGAAAATCTTTGACAGGGGAAGTTTCTAGGGTTTTAATACAAATTGGCTAAGGTCCCCTCTTCAATTCTAAGTAATGGCAATAAAAAAAAAAAAAGCGAAGAAAAAGATCTAGTCTTTTTTCAGGAATTGGTGTTTCTTCTACTTATCATCTATGACTTTTCAAACTTTTCAAACACGAACACAATATGATTAAATTTAGTGTTCTAATATTTACGTATAATTCTTCTTGAGATTTAGAATTATATTTACAATTTTTACCCATGTTTCATGCAAAATTGCCTCACTGTTGGGAGCTTACCATTTCTGTTTCATTTCTGGGTTTTCAATCTATACTATCACAAATCTAAAACAATAAAAATAGCAAAAAATTAAAAAAAAAAAACCCAGATGTTAAAGAAAAAGGTTTACTTGGAGGCAGCAGAAGATTCTTCTTCAAGCCAACTCCTTATATGCTTAACGTTGCGCTTAAAAATAGCAGCCGATTGTTTAACGTCGCTTCTCAGTAAAAGAACCACCGCGCCAACGCCTGCCACTGTTAATATGAAGTTGGTCAACCCCATTCTTTTCTACCCAAACTTTCTTTTACAGCGACTATCAAGAATCGTAGGGTGGAGTGAGAGAGAGATTGAAGTGGTTTGAATTGTGAGGGTTTTTGATTGGGGATTTTTCATTCTTGGAGAAGACGAATGTTAGAGGGAGGTATATCTAATTGGCCGAAGCCATTTATTTTTTTATTATTACTAGCTAACTTTGATCCATTATTTAGGGGTAAAAGACTTTAAAATCAATGAATCGGTTTAGATAATTTTTTATTAGTCAAATCATTTAATATTTAATGTAATATTATTAGATCTGTCAAAAAAATATGAAATTTGAATTATATATTTTTATTAATTTTTATATATTTTTTTAAAATTTATAAAATAAAAATAATTATTATATATATAAAATCAGTTAATTATATTGAAAATTCTATTAAAATAATTTATAAAAAAATAAAAAATTTAAAATTTAAAATTTAAAAACTGATGAACCGAACCGAACTAAATTGATAGATTTGATTCGAATTGAATTGATTATAAGAGAAAATCGCATTATGTTCGGATTGAATTTAAAAAATTTATAATATTATATATTATTAAAGAAAATGAATCAGTTTAATCCGAAACATTATGACCTCTACCATTATTTGTTTTATGTAATTAACTTGTATGTTAAGGCAAATGGCAAAGAGTAATACCTGCAGGTGATTGGTTTTCTATGGAACAGCAAAGCTACTAAATAGTTTTATCCAAATATATATATATATATATATATATATTAATCATTTCTAAATGTAACTTTTTGGTGTTAATTTCTGTACAAAAAAAAGTGATTGAATTCATCAATTCACACGTAAACAAAGGAAAAAGTAGGGTCCTGGGCTGTCCAAAACGCATGCACGGCCATTTCTTTTCACAATTTCTCTTTTGGCATATCAGATATCTACTGTAGTATTCTCCAGCTTTCTACTCTTCATTTGCTTTGCAAGAAGCTTTCAAACATGACAGATGCATCAAATCTTTAGTCCCTCATGTTAGATTTCTTACAAATTCTTGTGCGGTTTGCTTTACCATGCAAATAAATGGTATCTGTTACAAACTTTCTTTTTGTTTGTGCAGGAACAGCCGCCGGAGCAGTGAAAAAAATTTGAGGCAGGCCTTTAACATGAACCTGTTTAAACTCTTGTAAGAACTTGATGAGATAAGTATGAAATGATATGAAGATCGAGGGTTAATGGAGCTTAGATCAGAAGTGATTAAGATCTCTTTATCTCTCCTTTGTCCTAGCTGCCAGATCCATTAAACAAAATAGCAGGGGTCGAATCAGCCTTTTGCTTGGTAGTTATCCTGTCATCATAAAAGACCAAAGAGAACAAATCACCAGCTTTTTCGTGCTGGGTCGTAGAAAAAGTTGATTTGAAGCTTTAAGATCTATAATTTCCTCTCAATTAAGTAGGTAAAGAAAGACAAATAGAAAAAGTTGAAGTAAATCGCCATTATGAAAGATTCAATGGAAATTGCACAGCCACAACCAACCCAATAAACCATTTCCATTACATTGCTGTAGTCATGAGTCAAATCCAATTTAATGAATTTTGACTGATGACTGATTAGGAAAAAATTACACTTCACGCTAATAAGAACATTCTTTGTTTGCACCAAAGAACTTACAAACATGACTATCATATTCAGCATCCTAATGCAAGCTCCTTATGATGAGCCTGCTTCCCAGGCAACGTTGCCCCTTCAAAAAGAAAGGGTCCGATCGAATCCAAATATTTTACTATCAGGAATAGCTAGAATCAGAACAGTTGAGACCCAGGAAAGTCTTTGCAACCTAGCTCCTTTTTCTTTCTGAAAAATGACAGGAATAAAGAAAGATATAAGAATCCCATGTTATGGATTTGTTTTGATACACATGGTAACTCATTTTCTAGTATCTACCACAGCATTTAAATGTTAATTCAACCAGATTGATGACATGAAGATGAAGATGATACTGAGACAAGTGAGAAGGCATTTTCAATGAAATTCAAAAAAAGAAAAAAAAATCGAAATCATGGATGCTTTACACCAAAAATAACTATTATTAGATGTTGATGATGACTGATGTAGTGACTAGATATGATATTGGCACGGCTCAATCAGACTAAAAAACTCAGCCACCGAGTGATTTGATCTGATTGAACCCTGCCAACATCAAAATTTCAACTTAAGTATCAATAGGCGAAAGAAAGAGAAATTCATGTGGCAGCCTCCAATGCGCTGTGCACCGCATGCAGCCAGAACAAAGTCTCACCATTGATCATGAGAATGATGCAGAAAATACAGAATAAAAGACAAAAAATCAGGAAGTGGTATATTTTTACACATAATATTAAAATATAGAATGGTTAGGATGTTCAAATCTTTGCTTTATATAGGAAAAGGGTGAGCTGTGTGTAAAGAAATTTCATAATTCGATCCAAATGGTAATTGATGCTGAGAGAAGTTTCATTTCTTCTATTTCACCTAATTTGGTAAAAGATATGCCTAAAGAGCATGGCTGGAGGACCCTCATTTTATATTCATTAATATTGCTATAATTTGCTTTCTAATCATCGTCACCAAAGCATCATCATTGCTGCATGCTGAGCTTGGCAATTAGGAACAAAAGCTATTCACCTTGCAATTTTGAGGCAGAAATTTAGCTCGTCTTTTCGTTGTAATCAACCAAACCCATTTTTTCACTTCTGAGATCTTTCTTTTTTTTTTTGGTAAAAACTGATGAAACAATCTGTAGTTTTACATGCATTAGGAGAAGCAACAAAGACCCGAGGCAAATGCTCTTGACATTGGCATGTATATGTTTGATTCACGAAATTTCAGTATTGCAAAGAAGAAAAAAGTAGTATTTTATCAATTAACTTAGATGCCTTTTTCTTTGCTATAAAGATATGAAAAAGCCATTGGTTCACCAATCGTCAGCTTGACACAGAACCTAACCTAACTGATTTGTCTTATTTTCCTTTATAGATTTGCTATTTTTGGGAATCTTTGATTAAATATTAGATGGAAATAGTTTGTGAATGTCCTTTGCTTATGAAGATTGAAGCCATTGGAACTGCTCAAGATAAGCTAAAGATATGATAAGCATTTTCTGCTCAATTATTTTCATCATTTTCTGATTATCTATGCATATTAAATGAATGAATCATGATCCTGGGTTTGTAACACAAACTTCGATCATACTAGTTCTTTTTTAGCAGTAATCAGAGGCAATAAAAGGTATGGTTAAGTGGTACATTCGAAATGATTTTAAATCAATAAAATTAAAAATGTTTATGCCTATTCAAATATGTCATCGCAACTAGTTTTTAACCAACTTCAATTTGCATTGTTCTAAATTAGCTTTAAGCATATCTAATAATTTAAAATACGATATGATAACATAACATAAATATAATATAAAAATAAAATACGAAAATCACACGATTTAAAATTTTAATAATGATTATATATGAATTTAATAAAATAAAAAACATATATTTTATATTTTTATGTGATAAAACTGTAACATACAATTTTCGTATAAAATATGATAAAATACATAGATTTTATTATTTTATATGATACGAATACACAAATCGTTAAATCTAATTTTAAATTTTTTAGCTTTTGTACATGTTAAAAACAAATTTTTTTGGCCAAAACCCCCAATTGCCCAAATTATGAGAAAAAAAATTGGCTTTAGGTGGGGTAATTACAGAAACTCGTCAAGCAGAATTAATGCCCTTGAAAATTCTTGGAAATAAGCTTAATATATTCAATAGGAACCTTGGACTGCAATATTCCAGGCTTTCAATTTTGCATTTGTATTATTGAAGGCTGCTTAACAGAGTGTTGAGGCATGTGTCTATATTTGAGCCTGCCTTGCTAAGTAAATAGTCAAAGACCAGAAATCTGGCCTGCTTTTAAGTTGGTAATGTTTGTTGCAATCTCTTCCTTTCAACAACCGAACCAAAAAAAAAAAAAAAAAAACCCAAAGAAATTTTAAAGAATGTGAGTATCATGGGAACAATAGTAGGACCAGAGGAATTCTTAAACCGATTGAGACCCAACTACAAGAAGCAATGAATTTGAATATTTTTGAAGTACCCTGAGAGGAAAACAAGACTATTATTGGTGATAAATCTAGAGAAATTTTGTTACATTTAATTTACAACTTAACCCTAGAAAAGTTGTATAAAAAGGAAATGCATTTTTGGTCCATGGAAATATTATATTTTTTATACACATCAAAATTCATAAAGCAAATAGGAGAGCAAATACTTCATATATTGTTAGTAATTTCAGCCCAATTTAATAAGTAATCACTCTTTTTTTCGTAAAGAGAAGTTAAGATCGATCTTTGTAAGAATATACCAAATTGACATAAAAAAACATTTTTAAAATCATCCAAAAAAAAAAAAAAGAATTAAGTTCAATTTCTTAAACATACAGGTTCAATTTTTTTTTGGTAGTAATCAATATATCGATAAATCGCAACTGGTTCTTTCTTTTCTTTCTTTCTTTTTTACAGTTGTGTCCATGAACCATGATAAAATGTGGCTAATTTTGAACGCTCTTAGCTCACAGTATTACAATTATGATGCGCACTTCTTACTATTTGCACTTGGGGTGCAACTTTTGTGACTCGAAAAGTCTCAATGTTCTTAGAGAATGCTCCAGATGACAGAGTTGAAGCAGTAGAAAAGGAGACGATTAGAAATGCAAGGCATGAATTGCAGAAGAATGGAAGATGCAATTTCAATCCTACATGTCCACTTATCCAAATATGAGAAAGCAACGAAAAGGGGAAAGAAAAAAAATACAAAAGAATAAAGCAGGGTATTTACATGAACTACGGCTTATCTATATTCTATCAAATCAGGATAACTCATGTTCAGTGGTCCGACTGCACTTATTAGTCCACCTATGGCCAATATTGGTGTTGCTTGGGCCCAGCTTAGCTGAGCTAAGGGTAAAACTTTAAAATTATAACAAAGAAAAAAAGAGTAATTAAAAATAAAGGTTGAAGGTATTTTAAATATTTGTATTTCAATATTTAAGTTAGAGATTAGTTTAAAAAAATAGAAAAGTTAGAAAAATGTAAAATGATATAAATAGTATTTGAATAATCTTATTTATAATTAGAAAGTGAAAAATTTTAAATAATTTAAGCTATCTGAAATCAATTCTATAATTAAAATAATTTGGAGTATCAAGTTGATTTGAACATTAACCTTTCATTTAAATGATGATAAATTAATTTTGAAAAGCGCTTGTTGGATAAATTGATAAAGTGATCGAACTAACATGATATTGTAATCTCAAATTAATTTAACATATTAAGTCAACTAAAAAAATTTAAATTAACCTTGGTTGTTTATTAACAATTTCTATGAGAAGAGATTATTGAAATGCCCTTCGAACTTAAAAATGCCTCGCAGGTGTTATATGTGTCACCTTCTTACAAAATTCTGTCTATTTGAAATTGAATAATAAATTAAGGAATCAATTGACACAAATAAAAGAATAGAAGTGTAAATGAGAACTTTCGTATGGTTGGAGGGTTTATTTTATCATTATGCCGAAACACCAAACATATTCTAATTGGTAGGATCCACTGGTTTGCCTAACTGATAAGGGCATTCACTTGACTATTTGGTGCTGATTTCCCTAACAATAATAAAAGAGATATGTGCATGTTAGCGGTTTGCAATTGGCAGGCATGAAATATGCAAAGGAGAGCATTCTTTTAGCCATATTAATTAAAAAAAATGTACAATTATTAACTCTATATTTTGATAAATATTAATAAAAAAAAAGACACATGTAACATTTATTTGGATAATTAAATTAATAAAGGAAAGAAAAGGAAAAAAATTCTAATACCCATTATTTGGATAAAAAGTGAAAAAAAAAAAAGAAAATAATTTATTATAATAATTTTTTTCAATTATAATCTTTTGTTGTCTGTGATTTTATAGCACTCCTAACCATGATATATTTGTTATCTTGTCTGATCTCACAATTACTTCTGTATCAATGATTTTTAATCAAGTGAAATAGGAAGATGTTTTATAAATATGCATTGATGAATTTTGAGTTAATCTAACATCTTATAAACTCAAAAAATATATCTATTTATATTCAACCATTCATCAAAATCAAATTACCAAAAAATTATAAAAAATTTTTATATTGTAAGATATATATAAAAGTTATTTAAAAAAAATGATTTAAAAAAAATTATAAGTTGATTGTGATTTGCTTAGATTTTTTTGATTAAATTTTTAGTATTAATAAAAATGTAGACATAATAGTTTTTTTATAAAAAAAAAAATTTAACTTTTTTTTCTTAATTTTTTCTCCAAATTGAGGTATTAAAAAAATTTGAAAAACCAAAAAATATTTAATTTTTTACTTTTTTCTTTCTTTCTTTAAATTAAATATTTATCCAAAAATTTTTTTTTTTATTTTCTTTACTTTCTTTTACTTTACTCTCCTTTCCTTACTCTCCTCAAGTTCTTTATATCCCAGGAAGTGTTTCCATACCCTATAAAGTGTTACTTTACTTTCCTTTCCTTACTCTCCCCAAGTTCTTTATATCCCATAAAGTGTTTCCATACCCTATAAAGTGTTCAGAACTGTCTGTGTATTTAATAAATGATTGGGTTATATGGGTAAAATTATGCATAATTTTGTACTTAAAGAAGATTAATATTCTCCTAGATATTTAGTCGAGGGACCACAATCCATCAAGAATTTTCATGTTTATCTGAAATTGCTTGTATAGACAAAACAGTTCACAAGCAACTACTATATATAGCCAACCCTACTCTGGCTTGTCTTCTGATACTCCTCACCATATGATCAATTGATCTGAAATCTAACCGCAGACAGGTTTTAAGATGAAGTCCAACCGCAAGCGCTGAGGGTTCATCAAGGGGAAGCTGACGCCATTCTACCGAGCAGCCAGGCCAGCAGCAGCCATGCAGCACACCATCAAGGTCAAGCCAAACCGGGAATCTTCCACAACACCTTCTGTCAGCTTTGGGTTCACCACGACTACACGATTTCCCAGCCAAAGCAGGTCTCATTTGTCATACCTGCTGATAAAAACCGCAAAAATTTAAGCCAAATTGACAACTTCTTTAGAGTTACTGGTGATGAAAGTGTTGATCTTAAGGCTACCACTTACATCTCTTCAGTTCAGAAACGTTTCAAGCTTGAATGAAAAAACTCAGGACGAATTAAGCTCCAAGAAATTACTCACTAGAAAGACCAATGGATTACCCTCTTAATATTAAGTTCCACTAATGAATTCCTTTGCCTGTTATCATCCTAGAAGATTTTCATTTGTGCATAGAATTTGGAGGTATTCCACCGATCTATAATTGTTTCATCCATAATTAAGCATAGTTCTTGTCCTAGGTTGAGGCGCATTTTATTTTGACTCCGGAGCTTCGCCACGTGCATGAGTTGTAATTCAATTGAAAGTAATTTGATTTTGCCCTATTTCTGATACAAATTTCACTTCTTGATTACAGTGGAATATATATGACTGCCAAAAGTCATGATTAGAGAATTTAACATTGTGAATCAAAATTCGATTCTTGTAAGGAATGAAAATTAATTTACTCCTGATTATATTAAAAAAAAATTATATTATCACCCCTACTGTAGCTTGAATGTGGTATATTATTCTTCCGAGGCAGTGTATGCGGATAGTACTAGTAGTGTTTTTGGATTTTCAACTTCTTTTGACAAAACGAAAACAGAAATTGTGTTGTGAAGGAGCTTTTGCTAGCTCTTCAGCCGTACAAATACATGGTACTAATTGTCTGTCTGCATGATTAGGTATTTTGCAAGTTGGCAAAGAGAGATGAAAGCTGCCTGGAAGCTTGCGGGAACTAATTATTTACTAATCCATATTAAAGTATAATAATACAAATAGATAATGTCGAGGAGGACGGTTCAGGAAGAGACTACTTGTTCTTTTCACAAGATTTGGGTGTAGAAATGTGCTAGCTGGCCTGGAAAAAGGTTAACATGACATACTAAATTTTGATTGAGAGCTGTTCTCAAGAGCAATCTATGAACTATGTTCAATGATAATCCAAATCCTGAAATCTCCTCCTCCTCCTCTACTTCCAGGCCCCATCGGCAGGTGGCCCTATCCGGGATTTCTCCTACAGCTTTTGCTTGTTTTTTCCTTGGGATCTCTTTGGCTTTAATGCTGTTCGGTTCTGTCACCTTTATCATAGGTTTCATTAATTTAATGCCTTGGGTCATCGGTTTGGTCGTTGTTTTCCCCTTTGTTGGTGTCGTTTCAAGTTTGTCTGAGCTTCGGAGGGAGGTCGTTCGTTGTTTCCAAGGATGTCCCTTGTAAGTATACATAATAAATTCTTTTCAGAGTTTCTGCCTAATGGGTTGTTTTGTTTTCTCAGAAATAACCAGTGTTTTTGCAGCTTGGAGGCTCTCGTGAAGCTAACACAGTTTCTTGATATTTGAAGCCTGTAAAGTTGAAATTAAGGCTAGGAGGATTGCAAAGCTTAATTTGGGCGGTTTAACGTTCCTTTGCTGAAAATTGACTTTAAGTTATTTTTGTGCCATTTTAGCTAAGAATAATTCTCCTGTTTTCTGTTAATGCTTGCCAAGTGCCATTTTGCCTCTACTCTGAACATTGGAAACCCCTCTACATTTGCTCTATTGGGTTAAAATACCAATTTCTGATGAGGGCAGTCCTACTTTGGGCTTTGTTTTATGGTTTCTAATCACCCTGCTTTGTGCTAGAATTTTGTTGAAGCCCAAATTGTTGTCAATCACTAATTAATTGGACAATGGTAGTTGAGTAACCATAGTTTTGGGTTTTGGTTCAATGTAGCCCATGGAGAATGGGCCAGGGTGCTTACTCAACCTTCTGAAATTTTCCGCTAACAAGCCGTTGCTTTCTTCTACCAATGGCAAGTCACGCATGAAAGTAGAAACTGTATAAAATTTGCCATTAGGCTCAATTATGTTACCATTTCACTCATTCACCATTAGTAAAATAGTAAATACAAAATCATTTACATAACCATAAATCATCACAGATCTTCTCATGGGAATGAAGAAACTCGATTGGTAACAACAGTAATGCAAACGATGATAGGAGATTTTGAAGATTTGCGGCCATTTTTATGAGTGACGATATGTAGCTATATACCCTCTTGCTAGACAAGTAAAGCAACATGAAATGGAGCAAGGAAGGGGGGTTGTCTAATTTCTATTCTACCCTGAATAGATGTGAATGCCAATAGCTATCATAAAGATGGCGACTAGGCCAAAGAATATGATCGTGTGAACAAAAATGGAGATCGGACTCGTCTGAAAGTTAGCAAATTCCACTGCTCTTTTGTTTCCAGGCACTTGACAAAGCAGCCCTGGTGTACACAACACAAACAGCACCACCGCCACCAGTACTGGCCCCCAATCGCCTGACATCCCTCTCCCTTTGTTTCCTGCAGACTATTGCTTTTGGGATATATACGAGAAGGGTTGACAAATGTATGAAGGTTTTATATGCAAAGTTTTAGATAAGAATGCTAAGTGAACCACAACAAAAAGGAGGAAAGCAGAGATAGAGAAAGACAAAAGGAGATGAATAAGGACAAAGAAGAAACCACAAAGACAAAGAAAAAGTTCATGGCCGGAAGATGAACCTTGGGTTCCACGTTACTTTGACAGGAACAAGCCAATGGAGACCTGGACGGCCTAATATGGCATTATATCCTTTCTTTGGACGGCTGTTGCTTGAATGAGCACACTCCAAGAAATAAAAAGTCAATGCGTTGTGCTCCTAAGAAATTTTGTTCTTTTAATTTGTTTGGTTTGTTTATTATGTTTTTTATTTGATTTTATCAGGAGAAAGAAAACCCTAGATCAATGCTTTTATTCTCAGACTATTGCATTGGGCGTTTAGCTCAATATTGGTTGGTCCATAGTCGATCCGAGTTTCTACTTAGCAAAGAGTTGGGTTTATTGCCCTTTCGAAATATTGTAACTTATAAACTAAAAGAAATTAAAAGACCTTTTGGATTCTAGTTTCTGCCTAGATCTCAATCTCGGATACTGTCTGTCCTACTGGCTATAAAGAAGTAGCTTTATCTGGCACAACCCTCTTCTTCTTATGGTTGGTAGTACAACCGTGCCAACAAAAATTATGTAACACCCAAAAATGCCAATGAAAGAAGTAACTTCCATGACAGCATGATAACCGATTTCATATCTTATATCACTTGCATCTTCCTTGGCTTCCTTTATGTGCGTGTGAATCTTCCAATCAAAAGAGTGGTCTTCCCAAGCCTCCATGCCCTAGTAATGTTTCTATATCTCCATCCTTTTTGCCTTCCAGAAAAAGAAAAAAAGAAAAAACCTTCAATTAGAGAATTCTACAACTTTCCAGGGAAAGTTTGGTTTCAACTATACATACCAATGGACATGCAAGGAAAGAAGCGGGCCAGGAAGGTAAGCAGAACAGCTGTTATATTAATGAACACGATCATCTGAAATATGGTGCCCATCTTTGAAAATTAAGGTATTTATGGGAAAAATATTCCGTCCACTGCCGGTTAATAAAAATAATACCTATATCATAGTTTACCTAATAAATGTAATACTACAAAGATTTGTTTTAGTGAGTTACACGTACACAATATAACAGAAAGAAATCCCAATTATAAACTATATCAGATTTATTGTGAAAGTGTCAATTAAGTATTAGTAAAGATAAGATTGAGGACTGGACTTATATCTTAAGTGATTGGTTAGGAACTTCTGGTTTTGAATGCTTCTCGGCTCTCTATTTGAGTCTACCAATAACATTACAAGCTTTATTACAAGCAAATAGCCTCCGTAAGTCATACTGAGAGGGATGCTTTTCTGATACAGGACCACTGCCTTTTTCACACTTGGTAATGTACTTTTCAATCATTTGGTGGTTCTGTCCTAATGACTGTTCTTCTATGGCAAGATCCTCAATCAATACCAGGCATTTTGTCAATCACCATTCACCAGATGCTGGTTATGTTTGACGTCTATCTCTACTTACTCATTCGTGACTATAGACACAACAACTCCAAGTAATCCAGCCTGTTGTTGTGTGTTTCTTTCAATAAAATCGAATCATATGTGTCAGAATCACTCAATTTCAGTTCATGTAAAATAGTAAACAGATAAGTAACTGAGACTCGAGTCAAGAATGATGACCCAAATTGTCCCTTTTATCACCTTCATTAGCCTTTGAAATTTCTTACCCCGTTACATCCTACACAAGTTTGGATATACATTGAGCCACAAGGAAACAAGAATTCAAAGTAAAGCGCTTAACTTTACGCATGCAGCTGCTTTTGCATTTATTTATTTTAATATATCTTTAATAAAGCAAGCAAAAAGAAGCATTGAAACGAAACAATTATTAGAAGCTAATGGAAGAAAAGGAGCTTGTTTCGTTATTCATAAAGCAAACCCACTAACATTTACATACCTTACCTCCCCTTTAAACCCAATCTCTTCTTTCTCACCAAGTTTAGCATCATCCCCGTCCTTCGCCACCAAGAAAAATTAGTTCCATTCCCGGCCCCTACATAACAGAATGAACACCTCTTCTTTTTCCATTTTGTATAGGAAGAAAAGTTCTCAAACATTCAAAACCTTGGCTTCGGGAGTGAATTAGAGAAAGAAAGAAAGAGAGAAATGAGTGCAGATTGGGGACCGGTCATTGTTGCAGTAGTTTTGTTCATCCTCTTGTCGCCAGGGTTGCTGTTCCAGCTGCCATCGAGGACTAGAGTGATAGAGTTTGGTAACATGTGCACAAGTGGGATAGCCATCCTGGTTCATGCCATTATATACTTCTGCATAATTACCATCTTGATCATTGCAATTGGTATTCACATACATGTTGACTGATCTAAAGTCTCAAGAAAAGGGTAACCCTTCCCTTTTTTTTTTCTTTCTTTCTTTGGCTCCCCAATTTGTTTTCTTAAGATGGAGCTCATATTCTACCTTCTTTCTTATTATCAATCTGATTTCGTTTTTCCTTTATTTTTCTTCACTATTTTATTCATTGTTGTTTGCGAGAGAAACCTTGAAATGTGTAATAATGAAGCTATTTCTTGACAAGGTGGTTTCACTTGTAATTTATCCAAGATTGATTGATTGACGGATGATGGTCATATGAACGAATTTTTCAACTCTGCTCTCTAAAATCCCAAAAAATTTTCAGCATATATTTCTCTTTCCTTGAGTTTCTTTACTGGTCCTAGCCAAATGAAAGTGCAATATTAGTTATTTGTGAATTATCAAACCGTTAAAAAAGGGGGCGACTGTCCTTTAGATTGCCTTTGACAGTGTCGGCAAAGACATCACCTGGAAAACCAAGAACAAACTCAGAAGTCAGACCCCTTTGCCTTAAAGCCCCCTGGGTTTGTTTTGATATTTACTGATAGCTTTCCAAATTAATAGAAGAGCTTTTTATTTCAGCATCCAAGCTAAATGAAGAAATAGCTAAACATAATATGAGAAATCATCCAGTAAAAACTTTCAAAGGCAGTAGCAACAGTGACAAATTTCAAATGGCAAATCACCAGGATTTAATTAACTCAGATGGTCAAGGCTAAGAAAAAATTGGCCAAAGATAATTAAAGTTCCAATCTTAAAGCCCTTCTCTTGAAAGAGAGAAAATGAGAATTTTCCCACTGAAAAAAAGTAAACTTTGGCAAATTATGATCTGTGCCACAAATTTCATTGGTCCAAAACTGAAACAAGCTAATACAATGATTAACCAAAACCCAACACAGATCTTGAATATAGAGACCAATAACCAGACTCTCCCCCAGGCTCAGGTGTAGATATGTAGGTGCGCAGCCAGGATCGAAACAGCATAGATGGCAAAGAAAAGAACAGTGTGAATAGCAATGGCCTTGCCATTAGTCTTCATGCTCCCAAACTCCAGCTGCTTGCTGTTCCTTGGAAATGAAAACAAAAGTCCTGGTGATAGCAGCACAAATAGCACCACCCCAATAACTACAGGAGCCCAATCTGCCATTACAAGAAAGTTCCTTGACTTAAACTAAACTCAACCAGACCTGAATAGCTTCAGAAATGAGTTTTAAAAGTTCTTTTTTTTTTCTTTTTCCCAGAGGTGAAAAGTGAAAAAACTAGATTGCTTCTGAGTAATTTTAAAGCGTGGAAGAGGAAGATGGGATGGAAGTGAAAAATCTTGAAAATGACGGTTAAGAAGTGAGCCATTAGATTAAGTTTGCCAAATTTTGATTAGTGGAAGATTAGTTAGGGATAATTGTGACCATGACAGAACTTTTAAAATAAAGAAGCCCATAACATATATAAATATGTTGGTGGATATCTAATTTTTAGAAATTTTTTTAATTTCCATGTTTTTGAAATATCATAAGATTTGACCAATGAATCCATAGCAGTAACAGAGTATTGTGCTTGGAAAATATTAAATTACTTCTTAGTTTCTACAGGAAATGGGTTTGGAGTTGGTAATATATTGTCAAGCCATTATGTTATCTAAAATTTTAATAATCAAAGGCATGAAAAGGAAGAAGATAAAAAGAAGGCCTTAGCCTCTCTCCGGCCATTTCTTCCATTGATTGGCTAATCCTAGCTCCACCTTCTTCTATAAAAGCTTGTGATTTTATCAAACTGTAATCCTTAAATGGACGGTGATGGAGCATGAAGCACCAACAGCTAGCTGATACATGGTACTGCAATTGACTGTGGAGGGCCTAGCCACAAAACTTATGCCTTGCCTCATTCAACAAAAGCTAGAGAATTAAAAGATCAAAAGTAGAAAGTGGGAATAATTGAGAGTTCTTATTTTTCAGCTTTACGGGATTCCTATTCTCTCTATAACTGACTTGAAGACACCAGAAAATAAACATCCAATATCCTGGTTTTTTATGCTTGTTTGATTCTTCCTTTTTACTATCAATTCTAGAGGAGGTTTGAGTCTCAAGTAGCTGCATATACAGAAGGTTTGAGATTTTTTTTGAAGCCATATAGAATGAATGATTGGGCTCCTCCCCTCATAGCTGCTGCGCTGTTTGCATTTCTGTCACCAGGGTTAGTCCTGCAAATCCCTGGGAGAAGCCAAGCCATCGATTTTATGAACATGAAGACTAGTGTGGCCGCCATATTTGTGCATGCTGTTCTCTATGCTTTGTTCCTCATCTTGTTTCTTGTCGTTCTTCATATCCACCTCCATATCTAAGAATAAAAGGGTGACTCGGGAAAGTTGTGCAGGCACTCTCTCCAACTTGACAGGATGAGATTTTCATTTTGTACTGTGTTACTTTTTAGTTCTAATTTGTCGTATGATCCCGTGAAAACCTTGCTTTCACTCATGAAGAAAAAGAGTTGGTAGGGTTCTTTAGCTTCTGTAGTTTTGTTTGAAGTCGTGAATTTTAAGAAGAAAAGAAATACTTTGCTTTGATCAGTGCAGTTATCTGGGCAGATGTTCTGTTAAAAATATTTCTTTGATTCTGAACTTGCTAAGAATTAACAGCTTTAGTTATTTTCTCTGGCACTATGCACAGCTTCCAGTATCTATGGTTTCGCTCAACAGTCATTATTGGAGTTCATTTTCTATAAATGCATCAAGGCCTAATTTCAGATTTGCCATTCCATGAACTGCTGATTAAGCATGAAAAGTTGACATTGTCTACATAAGTGATGATCCAACTGGAGGCCAAATTTGGAGCTTATAAATGGTATTACTGATAGAAACACATATCACCAATTGCTAACTTTCACCATAAATGAATCATAACTAGTAAGGGTATGCAAATTTGATACCCTAGAATCCTGCCAAGTCAAATATGAATTTCCACAGTTGTTTGCTTAATTTTACTGAGAAATGACCGGCTTCGTGCACAATAATCAGGTTGACAAGGAAAGAAAGCTATAGAAACCTGCCGTTCTCATTGCCCTCTCTTATGTCAATTCAGCTGATTAATAACTAGTTAGGTAAAGAAAAAAGAAGTATAAATGCTCTGTCCCACCTTTCAAGCCATTAGCAGATGATTCTTGAATGTTCATCCAGTACTTAGTTAACTGTACATTAGTTAGTAGCCACATCCCACGTGATTAATAAAGGTAAAAGGAATAAAGCAAACTATAAGGAACCTTGAAGAAGTTTAGATCTGGTAACCATGAGTAAGACAGAAGTAGATCCACAAACCAGAACCAAAACAATTATTGTCAAATTGCAAGATCAATGGGAAGTACAAAATCAAATGACAAACAAAAATATCTATGTAGCAATTTTGGTTCAAAAAAGAAACAGATGAAAGCGATAGAAACTGAATTACATACCAGTCCACAGATTTGGAAACTCTCGATAAGTTTCTGAAACAGATGGGTGCTTGGTTTTTGTCACCTATGAGCCAACATACATGTGCACACCAACAGCTAAGAGGAAGATACAGATGAGTGCAAAGTAAATTATGGAATGCACCAGGATGGATACTCCACTGGTCTGAAAGTTTCCAAACTCTATGTACCGTGATTTTCCTGGAACCTGAATCAGCAGCCCTGGTGTTAGCAGTATGAACAGCACCACTGCCACGAAAACTGGCCCCCAATCAGACATCTTTCCTCTCCCTCCTCTTTCTCTCAGCAACACCAGAACCCTTAATGTAAATCACTAGGTGGTGGTAATCTGATCTACAATGAATGTAAGGAGTGGAGATGGAAATGGAAAAAAAGAAAGGGACAAAGGTGATTATAAAGGTGGTGTTCTGCTTTAGGAAGAAGGAACAAAGGGTTTGATGACTAGGAAAAGTGAAGATTAGCTAATCAAGGAATTGGGATTCACATTTTTCTCCACTGACGATTATCACTTGCACTTTGGTCGAAAAGAAACTTCGCTATAACACTCAATGCCGTAGGACAAACTGTGCATTGGTTGTTCTTTTCTGAGCAAATTTGATGCGCCCAATAACCAACCCCAACGGGCAAATTTTGTTTCAAATTTTAACTTCTTTCAGCATTTTCAAGTACGTTTCAAAAATTGATAATGACTAAACGAATTTGTCCATGACAGGATGTTACAAGAAGCTCTGCAATAGATTAGTGAGTATTTTTCATTTTGAATCAAAATTTATCCACACGAGTGAGAGAATCTTCCAAAGTCTTTAATGCCTTTCGGTTACTTGTAGGATCAGTATTCTGGGGAGGGCTTTTGTGGATATATCCCCCTGATCACGCCAATGTGAGGATAAAGCATTTATGGTAGCCTTCTCGACATTCCAGGATTACTTTTATCTACTTGATCAATAATTAAAGCTTTGATAATATTTTCCTTTAAAAAAAGCTTTGATAATATTAGCATTAAGGATGTTTTGGTTGCAAACCTGATTTGGTTAATGACTATTTGCCAGAGATGGATTCTGAGAGGCAAGAAATTCCAATGTTGTCAGTCAGCATATGATTTTCAATCCCCATATCCACAATTTTATTATTTGTGCCATTCTATTTGGGCCAGCAACTGGTATTGTGGGGTTGTATTAGCAGAAGTAAATGCAGAGCAAGTTATAAAGCAAAATGGAATATCAAGTAACCCAGAGAAAGATGCAAAAGTTAAATTTGCAGGATAATCACAGGAGCCTGCTAACTTTTCACATGTCAAGAAGTTGACGGTTTCCAAATTGAAATTTAGCATGTGAATGAGTCAGTTAATGTTCACAATTCTACTGCTTCAGGAAAGATAACCAATCCCAAACATGGGCAAACTCTCCATTAGGATCTTAAACAGATAGGAATGTTTAATTTCTGGCTGACTATGACCCAATCTACATCTGCACCCCAACAGCTAACAAGGAAATACAAATGAGTGCAAAGTAGAGAATTGAATGCCCCCGAATGGATTGTCCAATGGTTTGCAAACCCATTAATGTAGTGGCCAGTGGGTTACCCTTAAGGCTAAGCTGAACTATGGTCCATTAAAAGTGGGCTTATGATCCTGAAACGAAAAGACGAAACGTCGACCGCAAGGGCGACGCCCAACAGATTTCAAGGTTGTCTCCTAAACCACTCGGACACATCGGTAATCCTGTAAAGTCTTATTTTATTTGATATGCTGAATATCTCTGTCTCCATCATAGACAAAAGATTTTAATGTGAAAAACTAATTATTATTAATTTATTTTTCATGCATGATTGCTGGATATGCTTTTTAACTTTTCTCCATTTCATAGATTTGATTGAACCAACTTGATCAACTTACAAGCAATAAAAATATATTAAAAAAAATAGATAAGGTTCATGGTGAAGATCTTGTCTTTGCTGATTATACAACATGGATATACACAGATTTGTATAAGTTACACTGAAAAAGATTTCATAACCTATATATATATACACACACAAATTGCATGTCAATTATTTTAAGATCTTATTGAAGAGACAAAGACTTGTATTTCTCAACAAATATTAATGCCGCTTGCCCATTAACTTCGTATGCTTAAACCAATCCTAGAATCCAACAGCTTGAAATTATGAGGTGAAAACTTCAGTCAACAAGATCATCAATATTTAACCAGAAAATGTATTGCTAAATGTACAAAAATGTCGATTTCTAATTTTCAGACCTCATATATATCAAATCAAGTTAGGTTAGATTGACATAAAAAGCTAGCCCCATGACATGATATGCTGACTAGATTTTTTTCATTTCTGATAGGATTTTTGTGAGAATATCGACTAGTTTTTCAACTAGTCCTACCTCTCAAAGCGGTACCACACATAAAAAAGCAAGTCTTGAAAGGGAGATTTCAACCTCTCCCCAGCATGATGGACCAAAATCAATACTGATGGCCATAGGAGGCACATTAAAGCTAGATAGCCATGTGGAATTACCACATCAATTTCATCCGAGCTACCTTTTTCTGTATATATAGCTACGTATCTGAATTTGGCATTCCAATGTAAAAACTAAACTGAGAAGTGAGAACCCTCCAAGCTTTATCCATTTGTGAAGTATAAGAATCCATAAGCACAATCATTCAGAAAATACCTAATTCTTCTTATCTTAATGGTGCAAAAAAGCATATTCCCAAGTTTAAATAAGTGAATGACAACATATCAGATTATGACCCTTTATTTTTTTTCTTTTGAGATGTAGCAAATCGGGTTTAGATTTGTAGTGTATGGTGGGAAGAGTAGCCATATTCTTTATTTGCTAAATCACCTAATCAAGGTTTGTCTTTAACTGTTCATGAGATTAAAGTACATAGGAAAGCAATTAAACACTATATTTCAGGCATCAAGTGGTTTCTAGTGAGCCTGAAGTCAAGTGCTGAAACAAGTTTTATATATGTAGTAGCTGGTGGAAATTCCCTTTGGTTCATAAAGGACATTGATTATTAATTCTACTCCATCCTTGTTGAAGAATATAGACTTAAACCACTAATCAAGGCAAGTTATTGCCATTAGAGCAGAAATTTAAGTGCTTTTGACAGATTAAAAGACAAAATAAAAAATAAACATAAAAATATACTGCACATTATTGTATACTTCATCTACCTTTTGGCTTTTACACGTGCAATAAGATGTACTGAGTTCAGATTTTCGATCAATATTCAATATTAAGGGATCCCATTCCCATCTATCATAAATCAGGAACAATTTCAATATATCCAACATATATATATATATATATATATAAGCAATTTTGAATGTAGACCTAGCTATTGTATATTGTTTTTTAGTTGAATGTCATTTTTTAGGTTCTGTTTGGTAAAACAATAAGATTAAAAATAATGGTGATAATAAAATACGAGAGTTGCAACAATGAAATTGAAATCAATGGTGATGTTATATCAAAATCTTGTTTCATCACAAGCATAAATTCCCATTCTGATGAAATCTAACTTGTGAAAATTTTGTACTCAACTTGATAAGTATTGTTTGTTTTAACTCAAAGATTTTATTATTTTATCTCACAAAAAATATTTTACAAATTTAAATTTAAATCTTTACTTATATATATATATCATATTATATTTACATATTTTTTTAATATAAAATTGAAGACGTTGCATGACCTGACAACTAATTAGTATAATTCATAGTTGTGACAAAGCTAATGCACAAGGAAAATTAAGAACTCATCAATTGTGTATAGGGTTTGAAAAGCTTAAATTCATCATTGTCAATATTCAATTACAGGATCTCTATACCAAGAAGGAAATAATGGATAAGAAGGAAATGCCTAGCCCCAAGCTTAGCTATATATATATATATATATAGATAGATAGATAGATAGCATAATTGGGATGGATAAGAAGGCAGATATGCATATATAATCCGCCTATCTTTGGAGGCATCCGGCCGTTTGATGCTAGAAAAGCCGTTGGTCAACAGTGACTAGTTTAGCGCCAAATTAAGCAACAGAGAACTAGCTGCCTTTCCAGCCAGGATATGGATTGTAGTATTTCTATCCGGTGTCCATCTGGTGTCTGGCCCCAATGTCTTTGACAATTTTTTCAAAACAAGGATAACTCCTCTCCTGGTGGGTCCTCACTCACCTCCTGTCTGTCAGCACTTGCTTTGCTCTCAACATTTCGCACGAGGTTTATTTTTAATGTATTTATGGACAAAAGGACAACTACTAGATGACACAAATACAAAAGCTGAATCAGCTTTATTAATATTATGATCGCAATAAAGTAGGGATGGGTTGGTCGCTCAAGTATTAATATTTTAATCTGAAAACGTTGTTGGACTATGCAGCAAAACTTTAACAAAGCTTAAAACTCCTCTCTTTTGATTGGTTAAATCTTTTCTTAAATATATAATCAATGTTAAAGTATTCAAAACTCCATATCTAGAAAGAATATATATAGCTACTTTGATTTTATAGACTTTAAAATCACATGGGATTTTTTCATTATCAGTCAAAAGGTTGGTGGCTCTAACCTTTTTGCTTCTGGCAAAAACAGCTCTTTTTCCACAGAAACAGCAATTTTTTTCATACGTCAATTGTCAAGAGTTAACACCTATATGACAGAGAGTACATTTTATTTCATAGATATTGTTTTTCTGCACTGAAAACTAAAGACGAAAACAATGGAAAATGAAAAAATGTGAGTGAAGTATTTGGGATAAACCCAACTTCAATTTCATATTTTTTGACCTATTCCTGACAGAAGGTTTGACGTACATGAACAATAGATTATTCATATTTACAAATGCAACCGTCGATAATTTTTTGTTTCTTTTTCTCGTAAAAGATAATGTCAAGGGAAAAACTTAGATGCTGTGATTGTGATTGACAATGCTTGCCATTGTGAATTATTTTTTTGCTTTTCCTGTTGTTGACAGTGAAAATTTTAGGACAAAGAGAAAGGCCGTTACACAAGAGCTGATCTCAACCATCAATTTTCCAAATATAACACGTGTCAACGCCAGAACACGAAACAGAAGAACAAGGAAATCAAACAGTAACTGCCATAGAAAGAATCAAAAAACCAGTTCCAAACGATTTGTGTCTCAAACATATTACGGTAACAATGAGGCATCAAATCAATGTCTTTTTTTTTCTCATCGGACTTTTCCACAGTGGCATTTCCTGTAAATATCTAGAACAACAGTCCGAAATTCACGGGGTTAGAATAAAAATAAGGCAAAAAATGCCAGCACCATAACCGTACACCTTCATGACCGGTGGCCCAAAGAAACACCACATCCACGTCAATCGGCATTATCCTTTGCCTTTCTCTTTTATTGTCCGAGTTCCACCCGCAAAGTTTTAACCTTTAAGGAAAGACCTGTTTTTGTTAAAAATCCATATTTTACAGTTTGGATTGAAGAACAGAAGCCAAAAGTTCACAATCAAGAACACTTTCTTCTTTTTATTGGCCGGTTTTTGGAGAATCGCATAATGGGAAGATTGAAAGAAAGGTTTCAGGCTTTTGTGAATAATAGATGGCTGGTTTTTGTGGCTGCAATGTGGATACAATCTTGTGCTGGGGTTGGGTATATATTTGGTAGCATATCGCCTGTGATAAAGAGTTCTTTGAATTATAATCAAAGGCAGCTTTCAAAGTTAGGTGTGGCTAAAGATCTTGGAGATAGTGTTGGGTTCTTAGCAGGGAGCTTGTCTGAGATTTTGCCTCTATGGGGTGCTTTGCTCGTTGGTGCTCTGCAGAATCTTGTTGGTTATGGTTGGGTTTGGTTGATTGTTACCGGGAGAGTTCCAGTTTTGCCTTTGTGGGCTGTGAGTTTCAATTTAAAAGTTTTTTTTTTATTTTTTTTTATTTTTTATTTTTTTTTATGAATGAGATAGCTGAAACCTGAAAGTTTTTGTTTTTCTGTTGATTGATTTTGGTTGGTAGTTGATAATGTTGATTGCTTGATTTAAGTTTATTACTTTGAAATTCTTTTTCTGTTCTTTTGTTTCCCTTCTGTTTGCTTGGAAATAATGTGATCCTTTGTTTCTTAATTTTCAGCTTTGAGGTTCATATAGTAATGTTTTTAACTTTTAACTTTTGTCTTTTTAATCGCCATATGAACCGTGGCACAAATTAGGAAATAAATGGAAGATTGCCATGTTCTGTTGAAGAAAGAACAAGAGGTGATCTGATCCTGAATTAGAGTAGAAAATTTGTTGGATGGATATTAATCTATGTTCTTTTATCTGGAAGATCAAAAGTTATTATTGTTTGTGGATTTGAGGTGGTAAATTAAGGTGATTGATTTGTTCCACCCCTTACTAAAACCATTTCAAGCTATTCCTTTCAACTAAGTCCGAAAATTTTTGTATCTTCAGAAAGTTTTAATATTATATAGCATATCACTTCGCTTAGATTGTTAATCCATCTCAGTATGCAGATGTGCATCTTAATAGTTGTGGGAACCAACGGTGAAACCTACTTCAATACTGCTGCTTTGGTTTCTTGTGTGCAAAACTTTCCCAAAAGCAGGGGTCCAGTGGTAGGAATACTCAAGGGCTTTGCTGGTTTGAGCGGTGCAATTTTGACTCAGATATACACAATGATTAATTTCCCAGATCAAGCATCTTTAATATTCATGGTTGCAGTTGGGCCGGCAATGGTAGTTATCGCTCTAATGTTCATTATCAGACCTGTTGGAGGTCACAGACAAGTGCGGCCATCTGATGGTTTAAGTTTTACATTTATTTATAGTGTGTGCCTCCTGTTGGCTGCTTACTTGATGGGAGTCATGCTTCTGGAAGATCTTGTTCGCGTGAGCCACATTTTAGTCACATTTTTTACAGTGATTCTGTTCTTTCTTATTTTCATTCCCATGGTTATTCCCATTGCATTGAGTTTCTGCGAAGAGCCTAGAGATCCAGCAGAAGAGGTTCTTCTACCAAAGCCAGAGCAACAAGAGGCAGGAAAGTCGGAACAGGATGTGCGGGAACACGAAGTAATATTCAGTGAGGTTGAAGATGAGAAACCTAAGGAAGTAGACTTACTTCCAGCATCAGAAAGGCATAAAAGAATTGCTCAGTTGCAAACAAAACTGTTCCAGGCAGCTGCTGAAGGAGCAGTAAGGGTGAAGAGAAGGAAAGGTCCTCGTAGAGGGGAGGACTTTACCTTGATGCAGGCTTTAATTAAAGCAGACTTTTGGCTTATCTTTTTCTCTCTTCTATTAGGTTCAGGATCAGGATTGACAGTGATAGATAATCTTGGTCAGATGAGCCAGTCTCTAGGGTATGATAATACTCATATATTTGTATCCATGATTAGCATTTGGAACTTTCTTGGTCGTGTTGGTGGGGGTTACTTCTCAGAGATTATTGTGAGGTACAGACTGATATCATTTGCACCTGGATGCTGATAGCATCAAACATTACCTTAATAATGGTTTTGACTCCTTTTTTTTATATATTTTTACTGTGGCATCACTGTATAGGGATTATGCTTATCCAAGGCCAGCAGCCATGGCTGTGGCCCAGCTTGTTATGGCTATCGGCCATGTCTTCTTTGCTAAGGGATGGCCTGGAGCAATGTACATTGGTACTCTGTTGATTGGGCTTGGCTATGGTGCCCACTGGGCAATTGTGCCCGCAGCTGCCTCCGAGTTGTTTGGCTTGAAAAAGTTCGGGGCTCTGTACAATTTTCTCACGCTGGCAAATCCTGCTGGTTCACTTGTCTTCTCAGGTCTGATTGCTAGCAGTATTTATGACCGTGAAGCAGAGAAGCAAGCTCATCAACATCATATCCAGCTGCAGATTTCAAGGTCAATTTTCTCAGGGATGTTTGCCCAAGATGAACCACTTAAGTGTGAAGGTTCTATATGCTTCTTTCTAACTTCCATGATTATGTCAGGATTTTGCATCATTGCAGCTGTTTTAAGCATGATACTTGTGTACCGCACTCAGATTGTTTATGCCAACCTCTATGGAAAGTCTCGCACTTGACTCCAAGGATGATATCTAGCAGGGTCTCTTATGAATATTCCACCCATTTTCCATGGTGTTTTTTGCGGGGAAACTGAGATTGTATGAGTTTTCCTTAAAGTTGTGATAGTATTGCCATAAAGATTGTAGCGTGGAGCATGTTCCAAAACCAAAACACAATTAGATTTTAATTTTACTCTTTGCTCTGTAACGTAGTTAAGTAATACCATTTAATTGTGAAAGATTCTGCTTTGAGTGTCCAAATATTGTAGTACATTTTCTCACTTGTTATTTGAACTCAGTTTGATTTTAAATATGGAAGTTTTTTTGACATTTTTCATTACAGGTGATCTAGATTCTAGATTTCAAATTTATCTCTTGATTATGGAGATTGGTGCTTGTCTTGATAGGTAAAGCTCTGTGATTTTGATGGTACATCAAGGGATGTGATTACTAGAGAAACTGTCTTTAGTTCAGAGGGATTAAGTGACACTAATTTTCTGATGAAGACTGCAACTCCTTCTGGTGTCAAATTAGCAGTAGTAAATGACAAGGACAGAAAAACAAGACACAGAATCAAGCTTATATTTCATTTGTAATCAAATGCTCATATTCGGGCTCCCTATTCCATGCCAACATCTTCCTTTTAAGAATTGAAGGCTGTGCAATCTAGCCTTATCTCCCCTGCTTTACCAGTCTTTACTCCAACCCTTCCAAGCTTCCTCATTGCTGTGATGAAGGCTTCTTTAAAGTGATTTTGCTTTTTAACAAAGTGAACCACAGTTGGTTTACATTCTTGAAACAATCCCTTCTGATGTGAGCACCTCATCTGATGCAAACAATCCCTTCGTAGCAACTAGATTCTTGAAGTACTTCCCACCAAAAGTTTGCGGGGTTACAGGGTCCATCTTAAGAAAATGAGTAGAAGCGATTTGCAAAGCGACCGCAGTGGGAGAAACCAACAGTAAGAGCTCCTGAGAGTGCAATCACATTAGTTTGTGGAAGGCTGTTTTTGGCAAAAATGGTTTTAAGCTGAGTGAGATCGAAGTTAGGCTCTGGCAGATTTCCTGCTACACTTGATGCATGTGATTCGAGGCCATAGTGACATCCCAATTCTACCTTAAATGAACTCCAGCCTAAGATTATAGTCATTGAGTTACGTATTGGGGTGACAGGTTTTGACTTTAAGGTAAATTGTTGGGCATTTCTTACCAGGACTGTAACATCTCTAGTCGCAATATCCAAAATGTCTGCACAAGATACTCCTCTGGACATTTTGCTTCCACTGCTAGCTGGGCTTTTATTACAGTGTCAAATCCATCTCCTGCAAAGGAAAGATTGTCAACAGCACCCTTCTTATCATGACTCATGCATCACATCCCTGCAAAGCAAACCACATACTGATACAATGTCAAATTATAAACTGGTCTATAATTTTTGAAGATCTGCTTTTTGTTTTTATGAGATTTTGCATCAGAAAACCAATTTGCCTTTAGAATTTCTTTCTTTTCTTAACAAATTCTATGGCATTGTTCTTCCTGATATCTCTTTTGTGTGTGGCTCGTGATGTCAAAAAACAGAACAGGATTTCATGTTTTCATACCCCATAGTCAACGGCATGTTTATGTCCAAGTCAGTTACACTGTTACAGCAGCCATGACTTATTAAAATCAACCCACTTTGTTTACTTTAAGAAAAAGACATTAACAGAGTAGGAAAATTCTCTGTATGACATTCAGAACTTCTTCTGTTGCAAACTATGCAGAACAAATACAATGCATAATTAGATATGAAAAGCAAATAAAGCGTAATGCAACAACCAATCTCTAAAGCAAGGCTACTTTGGCATGAAAGATATGCATAGATAAGACAAATTGTTTCAAAGTATATCAACCAACTCACTCGTCACTGCAGACATGTACCAAAAAAAGGGAAAAAGATGAGAGAGTGCTCCTGCCAAAACTACCTTAGCTAAGCAGTCATGGAAATATAGCCGTAGAGTCACAGTGACTCTGACCAGAGCTAGATCCAAATGGAGTGTTAGGTAGTTCATTATTTTATTATTAAAATAAAAAATTGGAAAGGCAAATGGGTAACAAAAAATCATTCAATTAAAGTTTAATAATCATTTAAATTTTTATTTTTTAATTAATTAAACCCTCAAATATTTATTTTCACTAACTAAGCTTATAAGAAAAATAATTAATTATTTTTGGTCAACCAAAATTTAATTGAATAAAAATTAATATTTAAGAATTTAATTGAATAAAAATAAATTTAAAATTTTATTTATTGTAATAAAATATAAAATATTTAAATTTTTATTAAATTTTTATGTGAAGATTTTTTTATCACTTTTTCAAATATAAAATATAAAAATGTAAAATGATTTTTTAAACCATTTTACTTATTTGGCAAAATCATTTTAAATCAAGCCAAAGACTAATGATATTGATGGGAATAGGGGTAAAGTTGTCCACTCACATGAATAATAGGGGCATTTGAGTCCAAATTGCAGTAATTAAAATCTATCAATACTGAACAAGCTTACAGGAGATTCACACATCCAAAAACAACTGAAACTTTCCTGCAAAGAGCAAAGAAAAACCAGGAAAAAAAAAAGGGTGAAAAATGGACGCAATTGACTCAGTTTTCGATCCGCTAAGAGAGTTTGCTAAGGACAGTGTTCGTCTTGTTAAGAGATGCCACAAGCCCGATCGCAAAGGTTTCTCATTTCTCCTTCTATTATAAGGTTTTGGTGATTAATCAGAATTCTTATTGAAAAGATTCTCTTTTATTTTTCTTTTGTTTCAGAATTTACAAAGGTGGCGTTTCGTACAGCAATCGGATTCGTGGTTATGGGATTCGTAGGGTTTTTCGTCAAGCTCATCTTTATCCCTATTAACAACATAATTGTTGGATCCAGTTAGGTGCGGTTCAATTCCTTCGGTTTCTACTTTTTTTTTTCATTTTAGTTTGTTGGTTTATTGTATTGATTATTGTAGATCTGTTACTGATGTGATATTGATGTAATTTATTCGAATTATTTTAAAAATTAAATCACTGAAAACCCAAATCTTGAATTTTTGAAAATCTGGTTGTTGATTACTCAAAATGAAAATTTGTGTAAAAATTTTAGATTTTTGACTGGTAGGGAAAACCTGGAAATTGAATTAGTTTGATTAATCAAAACTATTATTATATTGATGAATCCTTGTTTGGCATCTTATGTAGAAATTAGAATGAAATATGGTTCATAGTAAAGAATAAGGAAAAGAAACCTTTTCTCTTTGTATGTTGATTTTGTCTTAAAAACCTTCCTAGAGGGATATTGAGCTCAACTGGTCAGTGCAATGGTTTCTTTTTACATAGCTTGCAGCAAAAATGGTCGTGAAGCATCAATTTTGCTATCACTAATGAGCAACAGAATGCTCAAAACTCACATTTTAGGCAAAAGAAAGAATAGAATGTAGGCAGTTTCTTAGATCTTCTTTGTTCTTGCTGTTCAGGTTCAAAGACAAAGGATTATATGATCAATTACATTTGAAATAAATGGATTATGTGGCGTTAAGTGTTGAGTATGTTCGATGAAGTGGTTTTTGAATCCTATAGCTGGGTGGCATCCATCTCAAGATAAACCAAATAATGACAGCTTAAAAAACTGATGCAGACATTAATTTCTCTACTTTAAATACAACTAACATCATAAGCATCTTCATCTTTTAATTATTGTGTATTGATTTATATTTTGCCATGTTTCATTTGTACTTGTGTTTGATGGTTTAGGAGATCATGCTTACTCTGAATCTTTTGTTCAAATTGCAGGCATGCTTCATGCGTGTTACTGACTTGCAGGAAGGAAGGGAATCGGTAGAATTTTTCAGCACAGTGAGAAAGATAGAACTGCATGCTTGAGACTGAGAGCTTCATCATCTGAGTTCATGAACTAATTTCAATTAAGACTTGGGGTTTCTACTTTTCTTTATATTCGGTTTCGTTGGAAATGGTTTTGTTTTAGTGTTGTAATAGAGCCTTGTTGCAGCTAATACAATCTTTGACTTTTGGTCCAATGTCAATTCAATTCTGATCTGTTTTCATTTTCAGCTAAGATACATCCCTCTTCAAAGTTTAAACATGGATTGAATTTTAACCAATAACAAGTGATTTATCTATAGAGGAATGATGTCTATTTTTTTGGTATTGTCGTCTAGACTGCATTGCTTGGTACATGTTACATTTAGAATAATAGCACTCTCACAATGAATGAAGTTCATATCATTTAGCATAGGACAGGTGTTAGAGGACCTGCCTTTTCATAGAGTCAACCATAGAGGGGAGACAAAAGAAATTCCAGCGAAAAATTAGAAAGAGTCGTGCCGTTCAAAGTGGAATTCTTCTAAGATCCATCCATTGCTCGATCGATTTTGCATGCTCTGCTCCCAAAATGCAGAGAGACTTGCGAGGGCAGGTTTGGGTTGATTGATTTGTTACGGTCTACATTAATTTACGAAGAATTATTCATAATTTATAAAATATTATTCGTTTTAATTCGTTAATTTTATGATTTTATCTCATAAAAAATATTTCATAAATTAAAAAAACATAAATTTTTATATCTTAAAATCAATTTTAATATACAGTAAATATAAAATTTATGATTTCTTTCTGAGATCATTTCTTTCTATGATTTCTTTCTAGGATCATGACCTTTTGTCATGGGGGCGGCAGGCTACGTGAAATAGCAGCAACTTTTGTCCCGAAATACAATCTCAATTCCAATCTTTCTTTCGAAGCTCACCTTCCGGACACCAGTAAGGAAAGGTCAGTTCAGCGTGTAAAGCAAACCGAACCGAAAGAAGAAAGACTTTTTGGAAAGTTAGTCGCCTCTATCACATCACCAAAATCGCTTGCATTTACATCTGATGAAATAGCTCAAACTGCTGATTCTCGGGAAATTCTTCTTTTCGGTTCCCAGTTCACGACTCTAGCTGGTAGCGCTTCCCTGCCCCTTTGTGGGGACAGGAATGAAAGACTCAAAGTAGAGGAAAGATGGAAAAAAAACTCCAATATCTCTTCTAGGGATAAAACATGGATACGTCCAATGTTCTCCATTGGCGACATGGCACCACTTGAATTGCGTAACTAAGAAAGATCAAGGCAGCATATCAGTTTTTCCTTTATACTTGGATCTCTTTTTATGCTATTAGCTAAAATCAGATGCCAAACGTGCACAAGATAATAATATGAAACCAGAAAACACCATTGGCAAATTGGATACATCAAGTTTGTACACTTTTTAAATGGTCCAAAAATATAAACCATCTGTAAGGTCTGAGTGCAATACAAAGAAAAGAACAGGTTCAGTTTCGCAGATTCAATCAGCAAGCAGGATTGCTGACCGTAGCATCAGAAGCAGAAGCAAGCACTAGTTCCGGTTGAGCAAGAATTCCTTCCTTCCTTGCCTTCCTGCGTTCACGGCGCAGCCTGAAGTACTCTCTCTTCTTTGCTCTATAGCTGTTGGGATTCTCAGGCTGTACTACTCGTGGGTAAACGCTTATCTGTCCATCAGATAAAACCCATAACCCATGTCAGCTCGAGGAACACTATGAACTTCTCTCAAAGCATGAATTTGTAGTCTGATAGTGTTTAAAAAATAATTAAACCTTCTGCTTGTCAGGACCAAATTTCTCAAATTTCACAAGTCCATCAATCAGGGAAAAGATTGTATGGTCCTTGCCAATCCCCACATTTTTCCCTGGATGAAACTGACCAAGAAACAAACATTATGAGCCACTCCAAATCTAATCCAAAGATAACATTTTTCTAGCAATTCGAAACTGCAATTTCCTATCTAAATAAAAATGCCCAAAATATAATTAAATATACTTAACACTCCCAAAAGCATAAAATTGAACTAAAAAAAGTGAAAATTTAGAGAAAATTAAATGTTTTTCACACCTTGGTTCCTCGTTGCCTTACGATAATAGCGCCGGGCTTGGCGACCTGGTCACCAAATATTTTGACGCCGAGTCGTTGACCTCTAGAATCGCGACCGTTTTTAGTACTCCCGGCTCCTTTCTTGTGCGCCGATTCGATCGTAAAAGGGAACGGAGATTTCGTCGGAAACGAAACGGTTGCCGTTTTAGGAATGAAGCCAACTTCGCCTTTCAAAAACGACGACGTGGAGCTTGATGATAGAGAAAGACCCCTAAATGCAGCCTCCAAACTGAAGCTCATTGTAGCAGTTGCCATCTCAAAAGGAAGAAGAGGAAGTGTTGTTGGAAAAGGAGGGAGGTCTCATCGACAACTGGTAAAGATAAACCTGCCACGTCATCATTTGGTCCCTTCAAAATGGGTCGGGTTATCAGACTATGGATTATCTGCCCAGCCACTATAGTCCATATGAAGTTTGGTAGTTAAATTAACTACTCAGCTGGGTTCATTGCTCGAATTCGAATGTCCGACTCTGGTATAGTCGGATAGTATTTTATATCTGACCGAGAGTCGGAGCCAACCATTTTTATATTTTTATTTTTTTTAATTAATAAATATTTCGAACGGTCGAGTTCTATCGAGCATGATAATGAATCTATAACATCAGCTTAATGTGAGCGATTTATTTCACAATCACTTTAAAAATAAAAATGATGATAGCCGAGTATTTGTATATATTTCTCACTATTTTTATTTATATTGATTATAACAAATTGAAGATATTTTATAATATTATTATATTATTTTAATTATTGACAATTATATATATTTTTTATTGATTTTAATTATTTTTGAAATATAGTGTGATTTTTAATTTCATAAACGGAATTAAAAGATTGTCTCATTATTTTTTAAATTTTTTTTTATTTTTTTACAATATTCTCAAAAGTATGTGTTATCTTGTTAAATTGTTTAGTAGATGTGATATTTTTTATTTTTTATTTTTGGTTTTTTGTGACGTGAAAATAATACTTCAAAAATATATAGATGCTTAAGATTGAATAAAGTTGGAAATGCAAAAGTTATTGGAAATTTATTTTATTTCAATAGATATAATACATTTTTAATGCATATTTAAGATAAAAAAAATTAGGAAGAATGGAAAAAAAATGATTTGAATGTTTAATTAAATTATAATTTATCAGTTGATTATTTGGATGTAATTCTTATTATGAACATAACCTTAAAAAATTTCGAAAGATTTGAAATTCTAAAATTTGAACATTTCACTTATCTTATGCTAAGTTTGATTTCAAAGAGAAAAGTTGAAATATTTTGGAGACATTATCCATATTCCATCACCATTAACCAAACCAAATTAAACATCAAACGAGCACACATCAACCTTTAATCCTCTACAACCATAAAAACAAAACCAGTTTTGTCATCTTCTCCTGAGAATGATTACCTCTGATCAGGGAAGAGTGAAGACTTTGGCATTTCACAATCTCACCACCTGCTAATTCAAGCTATTCAGGGTTTTGATCAATTCAAGTATTGCTAGACTAAGCTAAACGGAAATTTTATTGCAGTTTCTCAAGAAATATCAGCATTCGGCAGGTAAGAAAGGCTCCAAAAGAATGCAAGAGCTTCCTCAACCCAATAGGAAGTATCCTCCAAACAAACCACATTGTGGAAGATGATGTGCTGCTTTGTTCCTCAAAACTTGACACAAAGGATCAAGCTCCTGATTAATGTCCAGCCAAACAAAAACTCTGTGAAAGAAGAGTTAGAACTGAATCTGTCTCCACAATATCATGTTTAGACCGAAGATCTTGAGCAAAAATAACCCTTTGCCCCACACCAATAGCTTCCATACAGAACCAGAGTTATCAGGATTCCACACTAAAACTTGGAATAACTTAATTTGAAACAACTTGCAATGAAGTAGAAGAATTAAACATTTATGAAAGTTACACATATTTATGTTAGATCAAATGGTCCCAATCTAATTAAATAAGTGGAAACAAAATTAAATAATTAATCAATCACATAAAAAATAACAATTTAACGTGATTCGATCCAATTGATTTATGTTCACGAATAAAAAATAAAATTCACTAGTTGTAGAGAATTGCAAACATTAAAATCATATCAATCTGACTTAACAATCAATACTCATAAGACTTTCTCAATCTCCTCTAATTTTATAGAGTATTATCGATCGAATCAAACACATACGATATACACTTGCACCTATACTTATGTGGACCATTTCAATCTCTTCTAATTCACTCTTATATACACACTCATACCTATGTATACCCTCTCAATTTCTTGTAGTCCACTCCAACATACATACCCATAAAGACGTTAATCTTTACTAGTCTTATGAAATGTTTATCTCATAAAATCTTACAACTCTCTTATATTTTTTTCTCATAAGACTTCATATATTTATAAGTATACAAACTTATATAGTAAAAAAAAAATTTTTCTTAAAATTCTTATTTTCCAAATCTTTTTGTTTATCAAATAATATTTAATAAATTACAAACAAATTTTTTACGAGATTTGAGCCACTCTTTCTATCAATTTATACATAAATGAAGCAAGAAGAGGAAAAAACATGTTTTTTATTTATATTGAAAGCCATACGGTATCTACAATGAATATGTGTTTTATTTATACATATGTTTTTCCTCGTACTGCATCAGAGAACTTAGGTGCAGATGTTGTTCTCCCATAACGTGGTTTCTTGTGTTTGTTCCTCCTGAACAATTTCTTTTCCAGGTTTTTCACTCTTCCAATAGTTCTGATATAACAGTTGATTGACCTTTTGTTTCTAGCACGAGCATCTCAACCATCTAGCTTCTTGTTCTCTTGTGTGATCATCTTAACCATGCTTCCTTCATTATCAATAATCACGTTCTCTGCGACTTCACAAGGCACCAGGTTGGTTGCCATGGGTTGCTCCATGTTGACACTCGTAACTTCTTTCTGATCTTCAAATAAAGTTTCTTTTTTTGGAGGTGGAGCTCCATGATCATCTTCGTTCCTTCATTTCAAGCTCAACTCCCTCAACACCAGCACTGTATGTGAGGGTGATGATGAGGAAGTTAAGGAATCATCAGCTTCTGATCCACGATGACCAGAACCACGATGGATGTATTCCATAATATCCCTAAGAGGAACCTTGGGCTTTTGGTCCTCAGATGATGCTTGCCATCAAGATTCTGTCCAGTAAGATCCCCAGCAGAGGCACCATGAACCATTCCCCCTACGTTAAGTATTCCAAAGAAATCCCCAGAAGGGTTAGTGGATTAAGTATGAAGCAAAAACAGGAGTCTTCATCACAGCAGCAGAGGCGGTTGGGAGAAAGTTGCTGATAAGAAGACGAAAGTTTCCAATAAGCCTGTCTCGGAAGATACCAACAGCGTAAATCTCAACGAAAACAGCAGAGGTTTTGCCGAGAAGGAACTGGGGTGAAACCTTGAAGAGAATGTCGTTCCAGGTTGGATTTTCGCCACTCGAGTACGAAGCTTGGTGGATGAATCAACCCAAGCAATAGTCGATAGGGCTTACCCGATGGCTCTGCAAGAGCTTGTGCAGAGAATATAATAAAATAATTATCAATTGTGGAGAGTGGGATTTGAACCCACGCCCTTTCGGACCAGAACCTTAATCTGGCGCCTTAGACCAACTCGGCCATCTCCACGTTTGATGGGTTAACTCAAAAGCTCTCTAAAGACAGCTAGATCTCAGGAGTAAAACAAGTGATGTCATCCCAGAAAAAGATGACTCATTCCATAGATTTAAGCTTTTAAAGGACATGTCATCCAATATTCAATCTAAAATACCAGTAAATTTTAAAATATTCATAACCCAGTTCCACAGTTTTTGTTTAAAAATGTAAAGATAAGGTTTAATTAATACGGCAATAAAAATCTGATGCCTCAACAATACAGCAAAGGCATCTGTGTACCATGAATATTTCACTAGTTGTTCTTTGATTCATGTAGATCATGTTAAAGAGCCTTCTGGCAATGGCAATGGACTTCGTAGTTGAAGATTTGCCAAATCATGGTATCGCTAGAAGGATGCAGCAAATTGTAGAAGGAAGCATTACACTTGTGGAAATGTGGATTCTCTGTTCATCACTCTGCCAACCCAATTGACCAAAATAAGATAAAATAAGCTAAAAATCTTCATCCATCTTGAACTCATGGGTCCCACCATTTCCATTCAAACTCGACATGACCGCCGCTTTCTGATACTCTCCGACTTTCTTCTCGAAGAAATTGGCTTTCCCTTGCAACGAAATCAGTTCCATCCAATCAAAAGGGTTAGCCACGTAATACATCTTCCCGTACCCTAACGCTCCCAACAACCGATCCGCAACGAACTCAATGTACTGACTCATCAATTCGCCATTCATCCCAACCAACGCGCACGGCAGGGCGTCGCATACGAACTCCCTCTCTATGTCCACTGCATCCCTTATTATCCCCCCCACGCGCTCTTCAGTCAGCTTTAACCGGAGGAGAGAGTACAGCAAGCAGGCGAAATCGCAGTGGAGTCCTTCATCTCGTGAGATTAACTCGTTTGAGAAAGTTAATCCAGGCATTAACCCGCGCTTTTTCAACCAAAATATCGCGCAGAAGCTTCCAGAGAAAAAAATCCCTTCCACGCAAGCAAAAGCGATTAACCGCTCGGCGAAAGTTTCACCGCCTTCGATCCATTTCAAAGCCCACTCGGCTTTTCTAGCCACACATGGCACATTTTCGATGGCGTGGAAGAGCCGGTTCTTTTCATCGGAGTTTTTGATGTAAGTTTCCAGGAGGAGACTGTACATCTCGGAGTGGATATTTTCGATAGCGATTTGGAAGCCGTAGAAAGCACGCGCCTCAGAGATTTGGACCTCTTTCATGAACCGAACAGCGAGGTTTTCAAGGACGATGCCATCGGAGGCAGCGAAGAAGGCGAGGACGTGAGTTATGAAGTGGCGTTCGTCGGCGGTAAGAGTTTCCCAGTGACGGAGATCCGAAGAGAGATCGACTTCCTCGGCCGTCCAAAAGGAGGCTTCAGCTTTCTTGTACATTTCCCATACTTGCGGGTATTGGACCGGGAACATACAAAACCGGTCTGGGTTCGAAGCTAGCAGTGGCTCTTCTGGAATTGAGGGCATTTTCGAAGGGCAATTTGGGAAATTAACAGATTCTAGGGTTCTTGAAGAAAGGTTTTTCTGATGAAGAATTTGGGAAGGAGATAGAGGCGACTTATAAGCGAAGAAGAGTGCGGGATTTTGAAATATTTTTGAAAGAAGCTTGCTGGGGAATTAACCGGGGAAAAGGATAATTTTGGTATTTTGGGAAATCGATCTACGTGTCATATTCTTATTGGGGGTGGCAAATTGATAGAACTGATAACGGTCGGGCGTGTAAGGGAAGCTCTTAAAAGGAAGTTTGGAGGGCGGGAAAATTTTTGGCGCCGGTGAATTTTTTTTTTTTTTTAAGTTTTCAAAGTTTGAATTAAATGGAAAAATGTGAGGTTGCAAAGTTCGATGATTATAGGGAAAAGGGGTGGTTCACATGTGTTACATTGGTTAGTCCATGTGGTCCCTATGTGGTATCGAACGTTTCGCATGATTGATTACGTGTCGGGTTTTTTTAAATAAATAAGTTTTTGATAAATAAATTTTAAAAATTAAAATTTTAATATTTTATTAATAAATTACATAATATTTAAGAATTAATTCATTTTGTGTTTTTTTTTTCCGTTTAATCGATCATTTATATTTACGCAATTGTCAAATATTAGCCAATAATAGTACTCTTTTTGTTCTATTTTTTTTTTGTTTTTTTTATGTCCTAAAATTTAGCTTTTTTTTAACATCTAAAATTTTTAATATTTTTAATATTTTAAATAATTTTTTTAATATTAAAAATTATGAAATTTTTAATTTTAATATTAAATATATTAAAATCAAAATTTTTTTAAATTTCGTAAAAATCAATAACATATAAACAATTTGAGATGAAGAAAATAAAAAAATTACATCAGCAATATAGATAAGAGTATTTTGAGTTTAAATTATATATTTATTGGATTAAAACCTGTATTTCTGTTGACATTTAAAGAACTGAAATGATGATTTGAGGCAATTGTTCAGAAATATTGTAACTCCACTAGCTTTTTTGGATCTTGAGATTTTCAATCACACTCTGCTCACTCAACCACATTAAAACTGTGCAAAAGCGTGCTTTACTGATAACTTTTTGCTGGATGTCAAATTCTCTAATGCTAGCTGATCTGATGTGACCAAATACAGGATTAATAATAGATTATAAATTAAATATATCAGTGGCCAGATACAATTCTACGGAAGCAAAAAGATGTTTCCTGCAGCCATAACAATTTATACATCACTTCATAGCTTTAGAAGTTGAGGTTTCATCTATGGCTGCTGGTGTTAGTTTCCTCATCCTTTGACTGCCCAGAGAAACTGGCCTTTGCCAACTCCCTTAGTTTCTTCATATCATCCTTTGGATCAAATTTAAGTCCCTTTCCCCGAGTGCTTGCCCCTGGTTTTTGCACAGCAAGACTTGTCTCTGCAGTTGTGTCTGTTGCTTGAATAATTGGTGAACCAGGACTAACCAGGGGGACTACTGTTGCAGTCATGGAACTTAATTGGCCAACACGAGGTTCCCTTTGATTGCTTCTTACAAATTCAGTTTCCTGTAATAAGACCGATTTTGGTTGTGAAGAACCAGTTATTACTCTTGACCAATGCTTCCTTGGGAGGAAAGGCAACAGAAGACCCTTCGCAGCAAACTTCAACCCAAGTTTAAAAGAACCCTGATGTGGCTGACAGAGATTAACAAGGCATTTTATCAGTGCATACCACTCATTTACAAGCTGAGAAACAAAGGAAAGGAGAAGGAGAGCCAGCATTAGAAATCCCAAAGTTTCTGCTCTAATTGAATTTGATTCATTCATGCTCATGGACAGACCGAAGACTCCAGCCTCACTTAACAGAGAAATGCTTTCCACAATGTGAACTCCTCTTCTGATGTGTGGTTTGAGAGTGAATAAACATATGAACTGTACTAGTGTGATTGTCAATGCACAAAGGCTTTGGCTTGATCTGTGTGATGAGTAGGATCCAGCTATTACTCCCAAGCAGACTCTTCTTAAAAGATCAAGAATAATATAGGAAGATCTAGCACAGCCTAAGAACTTGATAGACAAGGGAATTTTCTTTTCATCATGGCTGTCATCTGAGCTGACAGCCCTCATTCTTCCAATTCCATTTAGGCCACTTCCAACCCACCTAGGCATAGTGTTTGTGTCATTCTGATCAACAAAAACAAACACTGGAGGACCCTTCTTATCCTCTAATAGAATGCCAAAGCGAGAAAGGAATGATGAAGGTAATCCATCCATATAAAACCATTTTCCACAAGCAGGCCTCCCCACAAAGAAGAACCACAGTTCCTTATGCCATTGCTCCTCTGTAGAGGCATGTCTGATTTCTTTGTATTGAGCAAGACTGCCAGTGAAGACTGCAATTGTGAGGAAAAGGCATACAGATAAAATAAATGCTGCAGGGATGGCTAGCAACAAAGCTCCAACGATAATCCCCTCTGTTGTACCACCTATAAGTCATATATAACTTAAGCTCATGTAAACATCAAGATAATCTATTGAAACCAGAAGTCATAGCTATAATTTCTCACCTCTTATTACAAATGCAGAAGACTGAGAGATACAGGGAAGCATGAGAATTAAAAGAAGGAGCTCGAACCTCGGAACTGAAAGTATTCCTTGAGCTGCTGTCCCTATCCTCCATCTTAAAAATACTAACAGTACAAAATGAACTATTAGCAAGCTAACGACTCCTATGCTAAGCCAGAACAAGTTCATCTCCATGTCCTGCCACCTGTTAAAGAAACTACTTAGGTTTCGAATTGCTATAAAGATTAACTGAATAACATATTCTAAAATTAGTCATCATAAGTCACAAAATTAGAAGTTAAACTTGCGTCTACCCTTTGTAATTCTGCAATTTCTTGACAACATTGTTAGCAGATAATGGCTCTCCTCTCTGCACAACAACGAATAGAGATATAGAGGTTCAGGTTTAAAAACATAACATTAACACCATACAGAATATACCAACCAAGAAAAAAGTGAAGTATTCATTTGAACTGAGAGGTAGCCCCAAAGGAGTATTTTCTTTGCTTATGTTGTGCCGTCCATGGAGCCAACTGAACTTTGGGTCAATTTCAGTTGGAAATGGTAACTTCTCTCGCACGTAGGACGGGTTATTTAAGTAAATGTTATGGTAAGCTCTCTCATGAGAAATGTATCCTCTAGACCAGCTCCTGGATCTCTTTACAAATTTCCCTTGATCCAAATAAACATTGTTAGGCCAAATTGAACATCCATTCTTTTTCCATGGAAGTTTCTGCCGAGGTATGAGCCACCTAAGACCTTTTGTTGTCTCGGAATATTCAATCAATTGGTCAGTCAATAGCCAGTCTGAAAGGACAAACACTTGCAGGTGTCCTATCATTCCCTGCGATGAAAATTTTTCGAATCTTTACTCTGAGCTTAAATGATGGCACAAAAATTTACAATGTTCAGGTACAAATTTTAATATGGAGAAACTTGTTAGCATGTTGACACTGTCAAGCTATTGATATTGCTTACATGTAGATTCATTGATGGATCAGAAGCAACAAAATTATTTCTTGCAATTGCTCCAAGAATTGTGGACGAAAGCGAAAGAGTAGCAGCAGCTAGTGTTGTTGCTAAGACTCCCGCAGTCACAAATGAGTGTAGTGCTGTTGATATTTCAGGTGTTGAATCTATGTACATAAAAAAACCAGAATTTGAGAAACAGTAGTCATGCCATACAATATACTATTGTCACTTGATAATAAACTATTCTTCTACCATGGAAAATTCCACATATTAACCTGTGGATTTGCCTATTCTGAAAAATAAAATCTGCCAATGCACGGATTATGATAAAACTACAGTAGTTAAAAAGGAAAGGGAAAAGTAATTATTCTTACAGTGAATTATTTCAAGTCTATTGGATGCCACATTCATATTTCCTGAAATATCATTGACTTTCCCCTCAGGAATAGTAATTGACACCATATTATTAGTTACAGCCAGGGCAGTCAAAGAGTAAAGAGCTCTTGAAAGTTCTTTAAACCTACATTAACAAAAATGTTGTCAAGATTCATGCAGTTAGATGTATCACAGAATGAATTGATTGCTTCTGGATGTTCAGATATTGAAAGTTTGGATCACCATATATATGCACCTGCCTTATGAGTCTCCCTCCATTCACTTTTATCATGGAGGCTTCAAAACCAAAAACTGGCTTTGTGAACTCAACTATTACATCGATATAGGACTCCTTGGTAACATTGTGTGAGCTGGTACTAAGCCCTACTCCCGGCTTCTTGCAATCTTAGAGGAAAATTCATCAATTAGCTCTACCAAGAAGTTGTAGGCCAAAAAAAAGAAAGTGCACTAACTCTTTGTGGAGGCCAAACCATGGAAAAAAACATACCATAGAGGAATGTGAGTGAGGCAACAGGTGAGACAGGAGTGCCTGTTCTGCCAATCAATAAGCCAGCTTGTAGTTTGACTGTGATGATTTCTGTTTCTGATGCAATATTCTTGAGCTACAAAAATTATTAAGTTTTTTTGTAAGATATAAAATTTTATTCATGGGGATAGTATTTCAAAGAAATTTGATGATATTGTGAATTAGGCTGCTTACACTAAAAAGAAATCGGCGATTTCCAAGAGTTCTCTCGTGAACAGGTATTAGACTACCAGAATTCACATCTAATGCAGTTAGGATCTGCTCTGTTGAATTTATGACTGGAATGCTGAAATCCAAGTACAATTCCAATTGCTCTCTTATGTTAGTTGCAAAAACAGTTCTGGGGACCCCGTTGATTGTCAACTTATATGATGGAACAGATGACCAAAGATCAACCAGCACAGGTCTTCTATCTGAGACAAGTTGTGGAGATATGAACAACAAAAGGTTCAAAATCAGATTTTGTTCAGTAACCATCAATGAACAAAGTTGTTGACTGATGTCTCACCAAAGTGAATGATTGTGGTGGAAGCATTGCTCCTTGTAAAATTGTTTCCTGCCCGATCCTTACAAAAATCATCAGCCATTCTAACCACAACACGCCCATATATACGTTTCAGGGATAGAACTAATAGGAGGCTGTATTTGATGTCAGGTTTGATGATGCTTAGCGAGGATGCTTGGACATGAGCTGGACCATCAACAATAACCTACAAAATGAATTGATCTCAATTTAAGCATGAAGGTAACTAATTGATGTGCACACTAATGGCTGGAAAACCTCATCTCATATTCAACAAATTAACAAGCTCTGCACAACAGCACCCCACTTACAGCACAGTGTCCTGTGCAAGCTTCAGAGAATGTAATGTCAATTGTAATTTTTTCCGCACTCGTGTAATTCTGTTCACTTGAAATAATTGCTGTTGGTGGGATTGTATCTAAAACAATAAAAACCAGAAACAAACTTAGATTCCTATAAACAAGAGTCTAAACCATAAGTAAAACATAGTTCATATCTTTCTAAGATCACTACATTATCAGAATAATAAATATCTTCTCAATTAATTGACTCAGTAACAGTAAGAAGGTTGCTAGTTATCACAAGAGTCTAACAAAGATAGAAGGCTGATACAATTACTTACCAATAAACCATGAATAAGCTGAAGAGTTTTTGTCTCCATTACAGGTTGTGACATTGAGAAGGAAGTTGTGCTCATGATTTGCAGTTAAGTTTTTCAGTACTATGGTATCGATATGGCATGGTCTCAATCTCTGGCCATCTAGCTGCTCATCAAGAACAAAGTTAAAGCAATTCACTATAAATATAAATAGACCCTCTTAAAGCTAAGAGGGTTGGTAAAAACATTCAATATTAATGAGGGATGTCTGGAGATGGACTTTTAACTCTCCAAGAACAATTAACAATGTTAGGAGCATAGCAACAGACCCTCTTTCAAGTTTTTGCCACCCTAAACTACCAGAACATATATGGCAAAATTATCTTTGGGTTTAGCCTTTTTAGTACTTGTGCAATGTTCTGAAACTGAAGGTTTTGACATTTTAGCTTGTTTAAGCCAGCTATGGTCTTAAGTAGACAGCCAAACAACTCAAATTCAGTACCAAATTGGAGGATCGCAAGATTCAGCTACCTTCGATTGACTGAGATCAACACAATGAGAGAGAAGTGATCAAGTGGATACCTCACAGTAAATAGAACAACTATTGTTCCGGCAAGCATTAGAACCATCCGGCCTTTCAATTGAGTACCGAAAAAGAGCAGTAGAGAACCTTGACCAAGCTAGGGGAGTTTGATCAAAATGAACGTAAACTGCGGACTCAGAAAAGTTGAGAGCACCAACTACCATCACTGCAACACAAACACTTTGTTTAAGAAACTTGAACAACCCCATTTCAAGAATTGCCATTTACTTTCGTAATTCAACCAACAAAAACCAGAAGAGAAGTTTGGGTTGTTGAGAGCTCATATTAACAGCTTTGCATCTGATGCTCATTTAAGTTGGAAGAACTGGAGAAAAGTTAATGTCAACAACCACAACCATAGTAGTCAGTCTCATTAACTGCTGATATAAAGAAGTTCACATCCCTCAATAACTACCATTGCCTTGCAGCTATAACTTTAATTTAATGCAATTGCTATTTTGTTCTATTTTTTCCCTTTGGTATTCTTGCTCTTTCGAAAATAAAAGATGTAAATGTTGACCCCATTAGTCAGTCTCTGCAACATTTTCTCTCATTGACATATAAATTTTGTGGGCACTCAGTAGTCGGTACCTTGCATTTACACAAACAACTACAACTCCTCCCAGTCCCATTTCCCAAGTACATTATTAGGTATTTTCATTGTCAATGGATCAAACCTGAAATTGAAAATTCAATTTTCATTATATAATTAATAAGTTATTTTTTATATTAATAATATTTTGGCGCATATATATATATATATATTTATACTTAAAGATGTTTTAAAGATGATTTTTCAAGTTAATAGATACCCAACCAACCTCCAAATAAACCAATTGTACTTTAAATGGCTAGCATTGAAGTTGTAATTGTACTTTAAATGGCTAGCATTGAAGTTTTGCCCTGCATTGACGATGAACATTCCTAATTTTTGGAGAAAAATCATAGTTTCATAAAGAAATGACTTTTTTTTTTATTTGTTTTATCATTGGTTTGGTTCATTGATATGGAAGCACTAATTAGGTCAAAAAAATTTAACTAACATAACATAAAATTCTCAAATTTTTTCCCAATGTCTCAACTAAAAAAGTCTGGAGGCTGTTTGAATCCCCCAGAGGCATGCGGATATGGGGCATTGCATGCATCCATCGCTTATCAGGGTGGTGGTGGTGGGGAAGGTGGCATTTGTGATTTTGCAAACCCAACCCATGCAACAATGCCAACAGCGAGGATTATCCATCCAAATATGTCGTATTTGAGATCACTACTTTTCTTGTTCTTTGTAGCAGTCTGCAACAAGGTATACGGAGAATTTGTAAGCACTTCAAATGAAACAATTTTAACATGGTACAAACAATCACACCTACAATCCAAGACCTAGGACTGAACAATCACCCAGGATAATTCATTCCCAGCCCCATCATCCGCCTTATCCATCACGACAAAAGTATTTGATGGGAAACGCAGAATCCAGCAGGCAGATCAGTATCCGACATAAGTGAGCTACATGGATCTTTTACTCCATCACACTCAATCAATGTTTGCATTATGACGTCAATTACATTATGATGCCAATGTAAATAGTGGAAAAATCATTGATCACTTAAGCAAGCACATGACAACACAAGCTACATAGAGATAATAGTGGACGAAAAGGGGGAAGAGAAACATGAAAGGAAGAAATTATGAGGACTACCTTTGTTGAACTGGAAGAAGTAGAAGATGAAGGTCCAGCAGCCAGCGTCTGTTGACCTAAACCATGCTTAAGGATTTCCTGGTGTAATTCTGGAGCCTGAGGGAAAAAGAAGGATACTTTTAATATAGAAACAATTAAAGACATTCAGATGAACCACAGGTAGAGAGGATCCAATGGAACAAACATCATGGGTCAGTTTGAATTTGACACCTCTCTCTAGTCTCTGTCTTTAAGAGTGAAACCTTTAACTGAATGACTTTAGCCAGAGTAGAAAATGTCCCTTTTCTTTTTCTTTTTCTTTTTCCTAAGGTAGTCATGTTTGCATATCCTTGGAATGCTTCTATTACAGCAAATCTTTAACTTCATTCACTCTGAATTTTAGCAGTTTGTAAGAGATGAAAAACAAAATCAAGATTGCTATTATTCTAATATAAAATAACAACAAGAAGCTACATCCATATGCATCTCAATTAACAACATCAAGCATCCAGGGCAAAAAAACAAAGCAAACATTGACAGCAATCACTGCCTGAGACCTCTACAATAACAACTTGAAAAACAACCAGTAAGGTAAATACGAACTACCAAACAATCTTCTAAAATATTTACAAACTAATCCACACTTGATATCTCAAAAACAACCCACTACCAGTGCCAATTCATCTAATAGTGATGAGATAGAATCAATAACCTCCCATCAAAATGAAACAAGGTCCACCCCACACTTTCACAACTAAATACAATATGTTGTAGTAAGCTATTCAAAGTCATAAATCACATGAAACATAAGCATTACCTAAGAATAAACCAATATAAAGTAATGAAAGCGAAGTACCTTAGCAGATATTTCTAACGATTTGAGGTAAACTTCATTGCTCGGGTCCTACAAATGTAAATAAGAAAGCTACCAAGTCAAAAAAGAGCATTCAAACATGTAGACCTGGTGATTCGTGTATTCATGTCATGTAAAATATTGAAATTCATGTATTTGTGCTGTATTTTACACAAAAATTGCATGTCACAATTCTTGTCGGCATGAAAACATAAAATGTGGTTTTTTGGTTTTATTAAACCCATATATAATTATATAGTTATTGGCAAAATTTTAAACCATCTCACTTTCATATCATATCATATTCGTGTCGTATCACTGTTTCGTATTTTAAATTTCAGGTCTACAAGCATGTCTCGATAGACACATCCAAAACTGTTGCAACCCATTTTTTGCCAAACAAAATTAAATTACCTTATCAACAGCTTGCTGGAAATATCGAGCAGCCTTTTCGAAATAAGGCCTCGCTTCGTCCTCCTTGCTAGTCAGAAATGCAAAAGAAGTCTGAGCATTTCCCAAACACCATAAAGCATCATGCCTTTTAGGGTTAATCGACAAAGCCTCCTCTAGCTTCGAAATAGCATCTATTTAGAAACAACAACAATAAAAATTATATAATCCATATTAATCGTTTTGATAATTACAATTAATTTTCAACAGCCAACAATATTGCCAATAAAATTAATACTTCAATTATTACTATAAGAAATAAATGTAATTAAAAAATAATTATATATATAAGAACCTTGAATCATTTTCTGGGATTCTGGAACGCTTTGAAACTGAGACAACTCCAGTAAAGCTCCGGCCCATCTGGTCAAGTTCTGTCAACAAAAAAAAAAAACATTAAAAAAAAAGCCAAAAATCCATTTTGATTGAAAAATAGATCGAAGGAAGGAGAAATCGAACATCGGCGTCGAGAGGATTGGAAGCGTAAGTAACTTCGGAAAATTTACAAGCTTGCTCAAAAAAGAGCAGCCTATCGAGTTCGTTCGACATTTCCATGGCTGCTCTTTTTAACTTTTTTAAGTGTTTTTGTTTCCTGGTTAATATTTTCTGTAGGTTTTCGAAACAACTGCTTATCCAAGTTAAACTCCCTGCGTTTCAAAAGAGCCCTAAAAGAAAGAAAAGGGTGACTCTAGCTTTCCCGGTGACGTCTTCGTTTAGCAGGAACTGCAATTTTCTGTTCTTCTTAAAAAAAAAAAAGGCTATTCTGATTCTAAAACTGGGCTTTTTCGGCGTTTTCTTTCATTGGGTTAATGGGCCAATTTCCTAAAATGGGCTTCTTCTAAACTTACAGCCAATAAATGAACAACTACTCACCAAGCACGTAAAAGTTAAAATTATTAATAATTCATATGTTTGAATAATATAAAATATTGATAATTCGTATAATATTTTATATAAAAATTATATATGATAATTTTTATATATAAATGTAAATAAAAATTTTTTATTTTGTTAAATTCATATTATTTTTGTTAAAATTTTAAATATTTTTTTTATATTATTTTTATGTTATATTATTATGTCATATTTTAGATTATTAAATTTTTACATTGGAATATTTAATTTAATGATTGATACATAAATCTTTTATTCAAAAGTTAAATTCAAATGAAGGAAACAATATACGCATTTAAAACTCAACTTAGTTAATTAATACATATATTAATATCAATTAAATTTAAAATTTTAAAATTAAAATTTAAAATTTATTTTTTTATATATTCTCAAATTACGGTTTTTTTTTATTGAAAAAAAAAACCGAAGATATATCTACAAAGTACAACAAGCACATTTAAAGATGTATCTCTAACAAAACAAATAAAAAGATTTCAAACTTTTCACCAAACTTATATCTCTTTTTTCAGCCAAGCTGGGCAAAAGGAGCAGTGATGTCTTAAATTCTCTTGATGTTGATTCCACACCATTTTAAGTCAACTTTGTAACCAACCTCACCAACCATACTAAGAATATATAGCATGATAATTTTATTACAAAGTCGATGCTATAAAAATTTACGATATAATATGGTGTTTTTACTAATAATTAATTGATTCAATTGATTAAAAAAAAAATTTTATAAAAAAATTTTAAAATTAAATGCATTTGATAATTACTTGTTAAATCATTTTAAATATATGATTTATAATTATCTATTTTAAATTATCGAGTTTGATATATTTTATTTTAAATTAAAAAATTAAGTAATGTATTTATCTCTGAATTAAAAAAAAATAAAAGAGTTTTTTTATATGTTTTTGGTTAAAGGACAATAGATTTTACTAAAAATTATTTGACTTTGCCCTTTTCATGAAACAATGGATATAGACCTGGTAGCATAAAAGAAAATTGACTTGCCAGCTGATTTCTGACAGAACCAGACAAAAGATGTTTCCTACAAAATTTGATTTGCCCTAGAATAACGTTTTAAAGAACAACAATCGGGGCAGATTTTGGACAGCTTAAATGTATGCTTCTATCCATCTGTTGGCATGTTCAAGATTTATTTAATAAAAGAGGTCACATAAACAAAACAAAAATGGCATTGATTTATTATTTTTGTTAGCAACAAGTGTATGGTATTATTATACTATTTATTTAGTGCCCAATTTGTGCATGACATGTTATTTGTATTATTAATGTTGCAAAACCAAGTACATTACCATTAAAATAATATACACAACATTTTTGACAAAATCAAGTATAGTAATAGTCAATAACTAGAGAGTTTTGATTTTATCAATTAATTCAAGTTTTGGATTCGAGCACCGGTGATTCATTGATAATATTCTCTAACAATGTAAGGTAATTAAAAAATTTTTTTTTTTTGCATATATATGCTCTTTTTGAGGGTTAAAACAATATATTTGCCACTAAATTGTATAATTTAAAGATCTTAAATTTGAATCTAATACTATAAAAGAAAATATTATCAATAATATGGTCTAAATAAAATACTTATGCGATATATGCAAGTAACTTTTCTCAGGCTAGTTTTTTTTTTTTTTTAAATTGTTGAAAGATTTGCATTTAAAACTACTTTAACTAAGAATACATTTGAATAAATACAGGGGGTGATTATGATATTAATTATTATAATAATAAAATTAGATATATGTAATAATAATAAAATATGTGTTTAAATATAAATGAATAATAATTATAAGATTTGATATTATTACAATCGATTATTTAATAAAAAATAAACTAAAAATAAAGTAATCAAATATCTAACCAAAAACAATAAAAACAATCAACTATTATGATTGAAAAATATCTTATGTTTCAATTTTATACTAAAACAATCAAATGAATTAAGCAAGAAAATTGACCGCCCTAAAAAGAAAATATAGCATTAATCCTTTTTTCCTCTGGTCTTTAATAGGAATAGCAACGAGATTGAAAACACCGAGAGATATTTATCCAAATGCACCATACGATGCAATTGAGGGCGAAATATATTTGGATACGGGATTTGATGGTATCTAATGAGAATATTGTCGATTTAATTAAATTTAGATTAAATTATTTATATTAAATTAATCAAATTATATTATATTATTTTTATTAATCAAATCAAATTTATTAATTTTAAAAATTAATTAATTTAATTTAATTTGATCGATTCAATTATTTTTTATTAATCAAATAATAAGTATATTTAAATTAAATAATATTTTAAATAAATTAAATAAAATTATATAATAAAATATTTAAATACAAGAATATTATATTAAAAATTTTAATAATTTATGAAATAAAATAATTATTTTTTATATTTTTATTTTATATTTTGATTAAAATTTTGATTAATTAAAATTTTGAATCGAATTAATCAAAAATTTATTTTTTAATTAATTAAAATTAATTTGATCATTAATAAATTAATTTAATTAATTTAATTGATTAATTTGATTAAAATAAACTTATGAACACTCATAATATTCAAATGCACCTTAATTAATTAATTGTATAATAAGTATGAATTTCATAGCTTTCGAAAGATTCGGCCAAAAGAAAAACGAAGAAAAGAAGATTCCCTTCTTATGTTGAGGTGGCACTATTATGATGGAGGGAGCAAGATGATACTGTATACTAAACCGTACTTGAGTTGACCCACGTGCTCCAAGATGATTGGTGATTAGAATAAAGGCGTCATTCTATCAAAATCAATCAACGATCAGACAGTAGAGAGAAAAGTATATGCCGACAGTCACTGAATTTTATCACTTGCTCCAAAACTACAATTGTGTCTTAACATAGATTTTGACCAACTCAAAGAAAGTGTTAATCACAGGCGCGATTTAAGCGCGTGTAACGTGAACCATGTGATCCGATAGGATAGGACTTCACATAAATTTCATGAAGTTATCTATTAAACATTTAAAAAATTGAACCTTTATCACATGTTTTGTCCACTACTTTTTTTTCTTTAACTTTATATTTTTGGGATTTTTTTTATTTTGTTATTTGATTAAATTTGAAAAATATTATTTTTTTCGATTCAAAATATTTATCATGTATTAATTTTTATGAAATTTAAAAATTTTTAATTTAAATATATATAATATTAAAATTAATTTTTTTTATAAAATTAAAGTTTCATAATTTTTGATATTAAAAGGTAAAAATAATTTTAAAATATAAAAAATAAGAATTTTATATGTTAAAAAAATATAATTTTAGGATATCCAAAAAAAAAAAGATAAAAAAAGGATAAAGGGAATAATATTAAAATGCATATAAAATAAAAAATTGATCAAAGTAAAATTTTAATTTTTAAAGCAACATTAGTAATAAATATTTATATTTCTTAAAATTTTGAATTACAAAGTTATTTTTTATAAAAAAATCAAATTCTAAAAAAATAAAAATTTAAAAATCAAACCTTAATTTAATAAGAATCTATTTTAAAAAGAAATGAATCATTTAATTTAAAAAATTACTTTTTACAAACATTAATGTCACACATGATTTTTTGTAAACTGACACAAATATAATATAAAAATAAAATAAAAAATAATATAATTTAAAAATTTAATAATAATTATATATGAATTAATAAAATTAAAAAAAAATATTTCATAATTTTATGTTGATACGAATTATAATATATATTTTTTATATAAAATATTATATAAATACATAAATTTTAATATTTTACTTAATATAAATATATAAGTTATCAAGTCTAATTTTTTGTTTTTAATAAAAATTGAATGTTTAGGTAAGTATGGTAAATAAAAAAAATAAATTAATTTATAAACTGGATTTCACGATATTTTTGGTAAAAAAAATATTAAAAAAAAACTTAAAAAGCTTATTATTCAAAACCAAAGAAAATGTTTTACACGCCGCCACTGAGGCGCGTAAAACAAAGAGAACCCTTCCGAAGTTTTTGTAAAAAGAAACTGAACTGGCAAAAGCCCGAAAATACTCAAACCTAGAGGGGCATTCTCGTCACATCGTTCTATAAATACAACAAGAATATCCCCTCTGTCGTGTTCTGTCTTTCTCCCCCCTCCCCTGTGTCGTGTCTCGCGGGTTTTTACCTCACGGCTAACGAAGATAAAAAGCTAAAAAAAAAAGGTGCTCTCTTTCTTCCTCATTTGAATCCTCAAATCTAGGGTTCTTATTATCCATTACAATTGGATTCTAAATCCTTTGAATCAACACTTAGCATTGAAGCTTTACTTTGCTTAGTTGGTAAAGTCTGCATCTCTTTGTTTAGTTCTTGTTAAATGCTCTACTTCTACTATTGTTTGTTTATGATGGTTTTTGATTTTGTTGGTATTGTTTTAAAGATGATTATATTTGTGGGTTTTCTTTTTTGGGGTTAATTTTGTTGTTTTTGGTTCGGATTAGGAGAAATTTTAGTTGTTTTTTTAGTCAAGTGGGGTTGACTTTAAGTTTTAGGATTTCTGGGTTTGTTTGGGTTATGAGAAAATGGTGGGAAAGAAAAGGAAATGGGAAATTTCAAGTTTTTTTTTTCGCTTGTTTTTGGTGTCTTGATCCTTGGTTTCTCTGTGTTAGACCAAATGATGGTTTGATTCTTAAGATTTTCTTTGGGTTATTGGTGGAAATTGAAGCTCCTTGGTTGATGCGGTTCTTGATCTGTTTAAGATTTGTTTAATCTTTTCCAAGTGTTAGGTAGATAAAAATAAAACAAAATCAAATGATGACTTGTAGCCTTCATTTTATCTTGGGTTTAAAACTTCTTTACAAATTATGCTGTCTTCTCTTATTAGGATTTGCAAGATGGAGAGCATGAATAGCTTTTGGCAGTTGGGCGATGATCTTCGTGGACAATCAAAAGTCTCAGAGGATCATAAATGGTTGATGGCTGCCACTAAACTGGCTGAACAGACAAGTACAAAGTGTGAACGCATGAACAATCTTGATCTTTCAAAGGGTCCAGCTGAAATAAGGACAAGGGATAAATTTGGTTTCCAGGAAGACAACAAATTTGAGAACCTTAACTTCAATATGTTGAACTTGGACTCCAAGATTGGAGATAATGTAAGCAAAAGTTCCTTCCAAAATGGTATTTATAATATGAATTCTGTTTACCAGAAAAATAACAGCAATAGCCTTGGCAACCTGGTTGGCGACAAATATAGTGGCAACAATCTTAGCAACAAAGATGTCAACAATAACAGCAACACCAACAATAACAACAGCAATGAGAACAGCAGTGCAAACAATGCTGTTGACAAAAGATTCAAGACTTTGCCTGCAACTGAGACACTCCCAAGAAATGAGGTGCTTGGAGGATACATCTTTGTTTGTAACAATGACACAATGCAGGAAGATTTAAAGCGCCAGCTATTTGGTAATTGTCATTTTCCCTTGTCAACCCTTTTCCTTCCATTTTCCCTTATTCTTCGGAAATGAGTCATTCCATCTATTTGAAGACACCCATTCTCACAGATGCAATTGTCACTTCATTAATTTTTACTTTTAACATAATATGGTGGGAGTTCTTACATGTTGCTGTTATCTTTGATAGGGTTACCACCAAGATATAGGGACTCTGTCAGGGCAATTACACCTGGCTTGCCTCTATTCCTCTATAACTACACTACTCATCAGTTGCATGGTATTTTTGAGGTTCGTTCACCTATTTTACTCTCATGTAATAGTTATTTCATTTTGCTCTATATTGCTCGAGATTGTTGGTTGAGTAGGCAGTGTTAGTTTTTCTTTTTGCAGTTTGCAGTTCCTTTCTTTCTCTGAATGTTTGCATTGGCCTCACTTTTGCTAGATTAGGATTCGTTGGGTAACAAGTTATGATTATGTTATGTGTTTTCTAGTGGTCTGTGTGACAGTCAATAAGATTTATCACTATAATTTTTTGATGGATATGGTTCTATTTGTCCTCCAACTCAGTCCAAGGAAAAAAAAGGCCATGGATGTTTGAAGTTTGTAATACTGTAATGAGTAGGCATTCGGGGTTAATACATGTATCATATTCATTTGTCTTGAGAAATAGATACGATAATCATTTAAAACATATTTTTCTTCCTATCTTATGTTTACGTTTCTTTTACATGCGCAGGCATCTAGTTTTGGGGGTTCTAACATTGATCCAACTGCTTGGGAAGACAAAAAGTGTAAAGGCGAGTCAAGGTTTCCTGCTCAGGTAAAGTTTGGGTTTATAGTTTGTAGGAACTTTATTGTTTATTTCCGTGGAATATTGCACTAACTCTAATTCTTCTATCTTTTTATCCCCTAACAAATAGGTGAGAATCCGTATTAGGAAACTCTGCAAGGCATTGGAGGAGGATTCTTTTAGGCCAGTTTTGCACCACTATGATGGTCCCAAGTTTCGTCTTGAGCTCTCAGTTCCTGAGGTGTGGCAAACAATTATAACTTCTCTACATTATCTTTCAATCTCCTTCAATTTCATGTAACATTTCTTACTAATAAAGTCTTTTTAGCTGAAGCTCATGTGTTTCCGTATAATATTTTTGCAGACTTTGGATCTATTAGACCTTTGTGAACAAGCAGGCTCTACATAAGCAAAATGTTAGCTGAGTGGAAATGTTATAGGGTTTGTGGTGCATGTCGGCTGCCTGCTTTTCAGAGATTTTCCATAGAGCGCAAGCCGTGGGTGTAAGTCTAGTTGGTGAATCGTCTCGGGAGAAGTAGGAAATGGCATTAGCCAGCTGAATAAATGCATTGGTGTCTTGTGAAGATGCTTTGTAAACTTTTGGATTATATCCTATGAATTTAAATCTTATAGGTAGACTTGCAAGATGTGAAAGAGAAATGACAACCATGTGTAATGTTAAAAGTCTTAAAGAAATGAAGGCCTCGATGTCTATTTTGTGCTTGTAAATTTCTCCCGTCTCATCTTTGTTGCTCTGGAATCTGCAAATGTTATACAATTGCATGGGCATTGCATATTCTTTGATTTATCACCAATAACACATTGCCAACCAACCTGGTAGAGGTGGGTGCAAGCTAGTTGCCCTGCCTCTTTTCATTCTCTGATAAACAACCTCAAAATAACATTAGAAAATCATTTTGAATTCCTGGATCATGCCATCCGCTCTTAGGGACAAAATGATCGCTACATTCTCCTTGTGTTTTCCCTAACTTGGTAGGATGGAGAGACATTCATTTTCAAAGTGAATTATTGGGGCAACTCCTAAGTGCATGCAATCACAAGCAATGTTTCTTCAGTCTCCTATTGCAGAAAATTTTCTCTGGACGCAGATTTTGATTCATACCGGAATTTTAACAATACCCAAGCTTTCAGGTGTAGCTTTAAGTTCAAGCAAACGATGATATCTAGATACACGGAAATGCTGTTTTCTACAAGCAATATGCTCATTAGGAGACTCAAACCAAACACCTAAAGAAACAAGGAACATAATTTTACCATGAATTCATAGAAACATGCCATTGTGTGGTATTGACTTAAATGCAAAAGCTCCAGGTCATCTGGGATTCAATAAAGGCGTATAAAAGGATACTTATCACAGAATTATAAGAAGACATGGAAGAAGCATACATTGTATATCATCATAAGGTCCGCCTCCTGGAAGTAAGAAGAATGCACTTAGCTTCAATTGGAGGACCTTAATAGTCAATTATGTTAATCTAATGCAAGTTTTTCTGCCCTAAGGTTTCATCTAAACCTGGCAGCGGACAGTAACAGGGAATAAAACGATAGCAGACAACTGGAAATATCTATAACTTGCTGACCAAATCACAGCAAGAATGGATAAATGAAATTCCACCCAATATCAGCAAACCCTATTCATTCCATCGGTCTAATGGTATTCTGCCATTTGAAGTAAATAATACGCCTTAACCATTCAATAATACCAATTTATAAAGCCAAACCCCTAACAAGGCTTCCATTGAAGCCCATCTAGCAACAGCTTTATAATTTTTCCACTTCTTTGCTGTAACCAACGCATGCTGATGGTCAAAGAGCAGTGGACACAAGAAACGACCGAATTCTTTGCAATAGCTCAGCCTTTATGGAGTCAGGAATGGAAGCTGCATAAGCAAAGGATTTTAACCAGTCATAGACTTCATAAAGCTACAAAATACCAAAAAAAAATAAAATAAAAGGCAAAAGAAGTCATGAGCTTAAAAGCAGGTAAGTCTTAACAGAATCAAATTTATTGGCAACCACCTGCTTGTACTAGGGAATGGCATAAAATGGGGAAGAGCTTACGAGAATAAACCAAGGAAATTAAAACATCATAATATCTACAGTATGAACAAATTTTCTCCACTCCAATTGATCCATTAATGTTTCAACCTATCGATGCTGATAATTACAAGGAAAACAATAGAAAATTAAATAGATTCTTACCTCTGCCTTTTGGGGTGATCAAATGCACAAGGTCATCCACAGTGACATTATTTCTTCCTTTCTTCTTAATATATGCCCTGTCATACATCAAAGTCAAAGAGGTTTCTTTAAAATATCAGAAAGATTGCATACAAAGGTGAAATTACAAGTACAGTACAAACATTGGACACAACTTAAACACCAAAATAAACAAATAAATTCTTGGATAAATAACTAATCTCCAATGGAAATAAGGCTCCAGTGAAACAATTGTCTATTTCATTGCACTTCATTTCTTTGTTTGTCCGTCTGCAAGAAGAAAAAAAAAACATACAAAAACAAAATGCCGACAAAAGGGTTATACAGTTTCACATAGACTATCAAGAAATGTTTATTTGCATAGCATTTTTTGTCATTCTCCAAGACACCACAGCTCATCGCTCCATACAATTTGATGCATCATCATCCTAAGCATCTTGCAGTCATTGTTGTAACAAAAAACACTGACTATGGAAAACTTGGTATATCTCTCACATTTTGGACAAGTCACCACAATCCTCTAAGTTTAGCAACTATTGCGTTGCGTCTATACAAAGTAGTAAGCAACAATGTGGCCAAAAAAGAAAGTAGGAAGCAACAAATAAAATTCTAAGAATCCCAGAACAAATTTATTCCAATTGATTAATCTCATAATTTGATCCATGGTTGTCAGCAAAGAAATTGTTCTTCAAGTATTATGACATGATATTGAACATTCTTTCCACTTTTAGATACTACAAATACTAACCCTTAAGATTAATTATTGCTAAGACAACGAAAGAAAGAATGATTCATAAAACAATTGGAAAGAAGATTAATTGTAGATAAATTAACAAATTCAATACTATGCTATGAATCAAAGGCAGCTTAAAGTTCAAACAGTAACTTGACACGATGGAGGCAGTAAACATGGAGAGGTGAAAAGTAAAAACCTGCAAAGAGCTTTCATCTCATCCTTCCATCCACATTCTATAAGCCTTTCTCTTAACAGCTCCATCAACCTCTCTTTTTCCCCACTCTCAATTAACTGCCAAATTCAATAAAATCATAGTAAATAAATAAGAACACCTAAAAAAATTGCCATAATAAAATAAAACAAGAAAAAAAAAACCTTGATGTTAATAATTTCTTGAAGGGTGGGTTCTTTCCCTTGATCTACTACCCCATCTGGGGTTGGTGGTCGATTTACTGAATGTTTCCTGTTAAGGAAAAAAAACAAATTTTTAATTTTAAAAATTAAAATTTGATTACGGGTTTTTTTAATTTAAAATTAAGGGTTTTACATGATTTTACAGCTCTCAAAAAAGAAACCAAAAGTTGTGATGGAGAAATTTTAACTTTGGAACCGCTGGCGGAATAAGAACAAGGAGAAGAAGAAAGATGGGATTTTTATATATTTTTTCCCCTTTGCCGACCGTCAGTTAAAACGACAACGTACGGAAGGCTTAAGACAACAGAAGTATTTTTCCATATTTGCCCCTGGATTTGATGTTCAGCAATTGTTGTTTGGGGCTGTTGTACTGGTTCTTTCCTATGTAATTGTTTCAAATTATTGTCTTCTTTTGTTGTCATTCATACCAAGTCTTGTGGAGCTTCTGACAAGAATGAATTGCAGGTCTTCACTTCTTTCTCACTCTCTTTCTATTGAGAACCAACTTAGTGTTTTGTCTGCTGCTTGAATCTTTTAAGATATAAGTTTGCTTGTTTTTGTTTAGTTTGATTTGGTTCCTTTCGTTTTTCTGTTTTCTTCCGCTTTTAGAAATGTTTCCATATGCATAAAAGGTGATTATGAAGGTTTAAATCAAATTATATGTGCTTTATTGTCCATAGTAGTTCTGTGATTTAAATGATAAAATGCCATTATTTTGTTCTGTGCAACTTTGGAATAGGTTGTTTTGGCTCATGAGTTGGGTCATCTCGAGTGCAATCATGGTGTATGGCTTACGTTTGCAAATCTTCTCACTCTTGGAGCCTTTGGTATACCTGGGATGTATTTGGTTCTTTTCCATCAGTTGTGGCAACTTACCTACTTTTATACGTTCTTAGTTCACCTATAGCACGTTATATGTATGAGAAAGCAACATCTTAGACAAGACCAAACAACATCTTACAAAAAAAAAAAAAGAAAAAATCTTCGACAAGACCAAACAAGCTTATGGACTTTGAGATTAAGTGATTGTTAGCTTAAGTCCATTGCATTTGACCATTTGAGGATTCCTTTATGAATTGTTGGTGGACCATATATACTACAAGTATACACAAGCATGGATGTGCTTGTTATTTGCTGGCATGTGAGAATCTCACAGTAGTTTAATGAAGAAAGAAGAACCCGAGTGTGTTTAGGAGGTTTGTCTTTACCGGAACTAGGAGTAACGTTTCCAATATGCTACTGTAGTGAACAAGGATTTAGACAGTCCAAAAGAATTTTTCCTAAACAACCCTAGGTTTTGGCATGAGCATATATCTGGTGGCATCTATCAGTAATAGTACTCTACTGCAGTTAATATACAGCAGGGCTTTGAATACCCTTGTTTTTCACAGGACTTGGTGGCTTTATAGCTTAGAGTTTAGAGGAACAATTATTTTGTTGTCTTAGGGCAGCAGAGCTAACTTGTGATAGTGCAGCCCTTCCCCTAGCACAAAATCCCAAGGTATGCAATATCAATCTCTGAGCTAACAGATCTGCGATTAAAAAGTTGAGTTTTCATTATTTGATTTTCATTGTGATGCACCTACAAGAAGTTGTCATCTTTGTTTTGATGAAATTAGTTGGTTTCTGCCCATATATGGTGGATCAGCTCAATGCGGATGTTTTTTTGAAGCAATCTTGCTCTTATGAGATAAAGCTTCTTCGAGCCTGGCCAGGTGGTATATAGGTGAGCAATGGTTTAACAAGAGCATTAAAAAAACTCGGCCTAGCATTGATGTTCATAAATGCTCAAACGACACAACTTTCACCTCCTCTGCCTGTTCTACGAGCTTCTGAGATTGATGAGTGGTCAAGAAGTCCTGAATATTGAAGTCTTCTTAAACGTGCAACTCAGATGAGCTTAGCATTGCTCTGGACCTGGAGAAAGTCATAGTTTAAAACATCATTAATACGTGTGAGTGGCATTGTTATTTTCAGATTTTCATAATCTTTACATGCATATCTTTTTCTTTCTTGTGAAACCTTGCAAGATTTTAGTCCCTCTACATTTCATGTTAGATATTTTGCCAGGCAGCAGATAGCACAGAAAATGGAGGAAGCATTTGTAAACTGCATCTATAGCTAGTGTAAAACATTTGTCTATAAAGAATAAAGAATTAAAGATACTGCAAATCAGTGGAGGGTGTTTTATAGTTCATCTTTGCGAACCATGGCAGAAATAGTTAATATTCAAAGGAACAGAATACTGTATACTGTTGTTTGACATGATAAATCAAATATAGTAATTATTTAATCCTGTAGTAAATTCAATGCTTGCTTGATTAAAAATCTTTCAATCATGGTCTGCCCTGAAATCCTCAGTTACCAACAAGGCTTGGCACTTTTCCAGCTTCATAGTTATGGCACAGAATTCCTCAGAAAGAAACAATGGTTTCTCAACGCAGGAATTGATGTTCTCCACTTCCAGTACAGGTATTAAGTTCTGTTTCCTGCACTACTGAAGCAACCGGCCAAGATCATATAATTGGCATTACTAAGGTCCCTTTTGGGTGCCGGGTGAGAGTCAACAAACAAAGGGTTGCTCAGCTACATTGCCAAAAAAATGCCTATAATAGAACTCATTTTTATAGAATGACTATGAGAAATAACAGAGAAATCAAAATGTTCCGCTTGATTGCAATTCTCGGCCCATAGGAAGAAAGCAACACTACATCATCAACTACAGGACCGCAGAAGATACCATTTTTTGTCTGACTTGTTGTGTAGCTGATAAAACTGAGAGGAGTTGGATGCGAACCTGGCTCAAACTTCATAGAAGATTTATGGGCTGATCCTGTCCCATTACTCCTTACTGAAAAATTCTGAATTATCGATCCAGCTCGAACTTCTACTGTAAAATCTCCCTCGCAGGCACTGTTAGCATCTCCTAGTGTGAGGTCCAATCCAAATTATATGCATATGCAGAACCTGCTGTGAGTGTTACTTCTGTCTGTGTGCCTGTTGAAACACCTGAGACAAGCTCCACTGCAGCATTGCCATAGGGTACAAAGAAGTGCTTCGAGTCTATGTATTTGATTGTTCCAACCACAGCCCATTGTCTTAATGGAGACTGAACAGGACTTATTGCTGAATCAAGTAGAATCCATTCAGTAGAGTTGCTTAAAAATTCCGGCCAAATTCAAACCCCTCATTCAGCAACAGGTTATCTGTGTCCGATGAAAGAATTGCAAGAAACATATAAGAGGGTAAAGCAAAGCATATTGGGCAGATAACAATAGAAATAATCTTCACCACACTCTGACTGTCATATTCAGGTTACTCATTACGAACAAGAAATTTGGATTGAATATTATTAACTACTATTAGTACCGTTGCCTTGAACCAATGTTCCGACTGATTTCACAAGTAATGAGTCAATCACTGGCCAACATGTGGAGTTATCATCAGATTCTACTGCTTGGCTTTCAAAAACAAGGTTAATTGGTTCCTCCTGACCCCCGAGGCCCAAGTATTGGCCATAGCTCAGCCATGTTTCCTCGCCATAATGCTGCTTGAAAGAGAAGACCCCCTGATTATCTGGTCCTGACACTACTAAGTCAGCATTGGCTGAACAATTCTGACCACCTGGAGCTAGAGTGAATGTGAGTATATAATTCATGAAATCAGCATCGGCTTTGATAGTCTGGTTGATTTTCCCATCTTGGCCCAATTGTATGGCATGTCCATTATCTGGCAAAGCTATGGTTTGACCAGCCGTTACGTACTGAACTGTCCCTTGGAATGTCCATCCTGGGATTGTGTTGATTTCGTTTAGCATAACAAAAGGGGCACTGGTGGTTAAGTAAAGTTCTTTGGTAGGAATTCAAAATCCGGATTCTGAAGATAACCTGTGAATAAAGATGAATGTCTTACACTTAAAGCAAGATGCAAATCCAATGAAGTGGAACAGAAAAAGAAAATGTAGCCAAGTTTACCTGCAGATGCAAATCCAACGCAGAGGATGAGGGAAAAATGTGGGGGCTGCATCTTCTGGATTGAGATAGAAGAGAAAGCCATTAAGCTGACTATAGGTATGGGTTTTCTTCAAATTCTTTTTGAACTAGATTTGCTACTAGTCTAAACGAGCTGAATTGGGATTATTGATTTTAAACTGAAAAGGAAGCTTCCAACAAGTTGTGTTGCAAGTTGGATCCATCCAGTTAATAGTGGAGCCTATTCTGAATTCAAGAACGCCCACCCACACCCCACATATAATAAACCCTGTGGCATTTAATATAGCCCCAGATTGCCTATACTTGAGCAAAAAATTATCAAATTTTATGCACCATAATGAATTTTTTTTTACGCTCATAGCTGGGGTCCCTGAGGAGAGCAAGCTCAAATATTTCCATGGTTCTTGTCTGATATATATATGCACAAAAAATAATATAATACTACTACTACTTGATAATTAATTACTAGGATCTACAAGGTTCTATAGCTAAGTGTTTTCTTCAGCTTTTCTTCTTTTATCGAACTTCCTCAGCCTTCTAACATCGGCCCACCATCCAGCTTCGGCAAATATGTTAGAGAAAACAACATAAACGCCATGATTATCAGATTAAAAAACAAGCATCTTTTTTCAGCAACTTCAATACTCTCATTAAAGCTAACAACAAAGCAGGGATGGCAATGGTATTAGATTCTTGGAGATGGTTGGTTTTAGCGGGAGGGTTTTGAGAGCCATTAAAGCTTATGCATTTTAGATTTTTAATTTCATGTCTAAATTGTTTGATTCGTGGCAGAAACCTGAAAGCAAATAACAATGAAGAACAGTAGTAAAAGTTCAGAATCCTGTCTAAGTTTTTGCTTTTTTCTTTCTCCAAATTCTTTTTTGCTTTCATACTTGTTGAGGTATCCATTGCCAAAATTTCCTCATGGGAATGAGAATTCTTCCTTTGATACAATGCAAATGCAATAGAAAACTCAATACCCACATCGAAATTTGAGTTCAAGTTTATATTTTTTTCGAGTTTATAGTCGGTAAGATTATTACAAAGTCTCTTCCTTTAAATTTTGGTATGATAATATTAATCTTTCCACAATTTCAATGTCAAAATAGTAAGAATAAAGATTTGCACTAAAAAAAGAAATCAAATTTGGCCAGAGGTTAAAAGCCTTGTGGGTCTTGTTAATTGTCATGAGAAGCTCGGAAAACAGGAGGTCTCTCCTTCACCAAATTCAACCCTGAGGCGTGGTTCCCCTGTTTCCCTGGAAAACAGATTCTGTGGCCCAAAACTTTCCAGGCCCATTAAAAAATTGACAAAAAAAAACAAAATAACTCCAAAGATTAATTTAACACACTTTTAATTAAATTTAAATGTTAATTTTAATAAAATAAAATTAATATAAATTTTTTATTAAAAATTTTTCTTAATTATAATTAAAATAACTTCTTTTTAATCATAATTATAATAAATTTTATTATTTTTTTAATATTATCACGATCAATCTCGCTACCTATCTAAACGAAATCACAAAAAACCCCTAAAATACCATTTGTCCCCGGTCTCCATATCACTAACAAGGTAAAGTTGGCTTTTTTATTAATCAAAATCAAAAGGTTTTCTTCATCTTGAAGTGGGTCCTATTGCACGTAGACGGTGGATGATTGGCCTTCCCTCTGTTAGTCATCTCCAAAACATTATTTGAAACTAAACTAAAAGCCAACAAACTTTGTGTATCACTTGTTTCTTTTCTCCATAGCCGATTGGTACGTTCGGTTTGAGTTATAGAGAGAATCTAAGAAGAAAAATAGGGAGTGAAAATGCCAGGAATAAGAGGACCTTCTGATTATTCATTAGAACCGCCACGTCATCCTTGTCTTCAGATCAACTCCAAGGCAAGTTTTTTTCGCTGTTTTAAGCACTTATTTTGCATTAGATCACTGGGTTTCATTTTTTTCAATTAGGGAAAGGAGGGTTGTTTTTGTTTGGGAGGGGGGCGGGGGGATGGGAGGGGTGGTTTGATAAGTATTGATTTTAATAACCAATCGAAAAGAATAAATTTTTGGATTCCAAGTGAATATCTGATTCATTGTTTATCGTTTCAGCCTTTAGTTTATTCAATTTGCATAAAAATGGTGTCCAAATTGCTAAGTAGATGAAGCTGTTTGCTATTGAAGCTGTTTGCTATTGAATTGAGTTGGGCATGGTCGAAAATGCCTCCTTTAAGCGAAAAGGATTCCCTTTTTCCCTTTCAATTTCCATTGCCATGTAAAACAATTCTTGTAGGTTATGTATTCATTGATAAGAGTTTCAATGATTAATCATCTTGTTATTTGTGTCTTTGGTGCAGGAGCCCTTCAATGCTGAGCCACCACGGTCAGCTTTAGTTTCCTCTTATGTGACTCCAGTGGATTTGTTTTACAAGAGAAATCATGGACCAATCCCGGTAGTTGATGATATAGAAAGGTTATACTCTTTCCTTGTACCAAGCCAACACAGTTTAGAACTTTTTAATGTGTTTGTTTCTGTTGGGGATTCTTACTAACTTCAGGACATGTTTTGGAAAAGCAGATATTTTGTTGATATATGTGGTTTAATTGAAACTCCCAAAAAGCTGTATATGAGAGATATCAGGTGAGTGATAGCATTGTGTATTGCAATCTAAGAAAACAATTGTATGTATTAGCAATTTATGATTTATGATAATTAATCTTGCATCAATCCAGTGTACTCTCTAGTTTCTTCCCTGATTGTTTTGTTCAATATGTTAGTCTGTTATTAGAAGTTGCTGAAAAAATGACTTGCAAATTTTTAATGACTAACAGGGCGCTGCCAAAATACAATGTCACTGCAACTTTACAGGTATGATTTGTTCAACAGATTTCTTGCTGGTCTATGTAGCATTATGCTTGTTGCATTTATTCATTGATTTGGCATGATGGTTTATTCAGTGTGCGGGTAATAGGAGGACTGCCATGAGCAAAACCAGAAAAGTGAGAGGAGTTGGCTGGGACGTTTCTGCTATAGGGAACGGTTAGTTTATCCATCTCAAACTGCCATGAGCTTTTCAAATATATATTTCATTTGGGTGCAGATGTGTTGAGGCATGAATATATGCATGTGCGTACTTCACACACGTGTGCATGCATATCTTTGAACATAATTATGAATGAATTAGAGCCAGCTTTATCTGTTTTGAAGTTCTTCTGATTTTCTCCCTAAATCTATTTATATTTTCAGGCCTGTTCTGTAATTTTAGTATTCATAACCTTGTGTCAAATTGCATTATAGATGTTCTGATATATTTGGTTTTATATTGATTTTCTGGCCTTTCAGCTGTCTGGGGTGGCGCCAAATTGGCTGATATTCTTGAACTCATTGGGATACCAAAGTTGGCAAGTAGCACTGAGTCCAGTGGAAAACATGTGGAATTTGTGAGCATCGATAAGTGTAAGGTTGTAACTTTGGCCTCTTGAATTTCATTGTCAACTTTCCTTCTGTTCAACTGTGTTTCTGTCAATAGGAGAAATCTCTTCATATTCACCCTTCTGTGTTTAAAATAAATGCAGGAGGAGAATGGAGGCCCATACAAGGCATCAATTCCACTTATTCAAGCCACAAATCCTGAAGCAGATGTTTTACTTGCTTATGAGATGAATGGAGAGGTTAGGAAACATGCTTTCATCTGAGAATGTTCTTTTCTACAGTGTACCTTTGCTTAGACCTTCATGATCATTTATATTTTGATGCCATGAATTGATGGTAATGCAACTTCTATATTTGAATTTAATATTTCCCTTTTCTAACCTTGATGAATGGTTTTTAAGAGCGTATTGTCCCAATGGGTTTCCTAACGTGAACTATTTTCTTGTTATCATACTAAAGACTCTTAACAGGGATCATGGTTATCCGTTGAGAGTAATTGTGCCAGGTGTTATAGGCGCTCGTTCTGTCAAGTGGCTGGATTCTATAAATATAATAGCACAAGAATGCCAGGTTGAAGGAGGTTTCATCTTTATTTTAAATTGATTTATCTTTTTCCACATTGTCTTCTGATTGAGTTCCATTTATTACCTTTTAGGGCTTCTTCATGCAAAAGGACTACAAGATGTTTCCACCGTCCGTGGATTGGGATAACATCAATTGGTCTACCAGAAGGCCCCAAATGGATTTCCCTGTTCAGGTGTTTATAAGATTTTGCTTAGATTAGTCTAGTCTTTTATGTGAATTATTTTTTGTTGATAACTTTAAAGCAGGATATATAACACCTTAAGCTTTCCAATAAGCTGTATAACTATCAAGACGATGATTTAGCTCATAAATATGAAGATATAGACATGCTGCTTTTTCATTTCATTTTAATTGGGTCTGAATCTATTAGGAAGAATTTATATATGAGGACCCGTATCTAATGCAGTGCTTACCTTGCTTCCTTTTAGTAAGAAAAATTTTCTTCAACAAACTGAATTTATTTGAATGCAGTCCTAACTAATATTAGTTACTTTGCTGTTTGGCAGTCAGTGATTTGTTCTTTGGAAGATGTGCAATCAATAAAACCCGGAAAGGTTAGTTCTCTTTGTGATCATAGCTTTACAAGGTTGTCTGTGTATGTAACTACAATTATAACCCTGTCATTGCGACATTTACTAGCCTTTCTTCTATCATATTTCTTATGGTAGGCATGATTTTAGAATTATGCCCTGCTTTATATAGGTTAGGTCTCGGTTTATACTTACTAATACTTATCATATTAAAGTTTAGTTGTGAAGGACTTTTTCACTATTTTGATCCAGATACATCTGCTAGAAGCAAGTGATTCCCTTGTTCTAAATTCTGACCAATTAGCACAGATGCACTATCCCTTTGTTCTCCAAAGTCAACCTAGATTTTAACCCAAAAAGAAGTAACCTGGACATCTTGTGCAAGATTAGTCTCAATCAAAGACCCTTGTCCTCTACTATTATATTAAACCTGTCCTGCAAATTGGATGCTTCTCAAGTTACTTAGACTTGATGCTGTCAAATGTTATGCAGGTAACAATTAGTGGATATGCAGCATCAGGAGGTGGCCGTGGAATCGAACGAGTAGATGTATCTATTGACAGTGGCAAAACCTGGGTAGAAGCCTCCAGATTTCAGAAGACTGGTATCCCCTACATAGCAGATCACATAAGCAGTGACAAATGGGCATGGGTGCTTTTTGAGGTTACAGTTGATATCCCAAAAAGTACTGAGATTGTTGCCAAAGCGGTACATCACCTATCATTTTTTATAATAAAGTCACTCTTACTGAATCATTTCTCACTGTTAGAAGCACAATGCACCGGCAATTAACATTTGATCAGCATTTATATTCTTGTAAATGGAATTGTTTTGACAATAGAGAAAGATAAAAAAGTAGAAACCTAAGATCTTGGTTATAATGGCCTATGGCACCACAGAATCTGGTTTGGTTCCTGATTCAGTTCCGCATATAATTCTTTATAAGCTAGCTGATGGCCACAAACATTGGCATTCAATTTCTCATCCATGTTCATTGTATTGCTAACTGTTTTCAATTTACTTGTCTCTTCTTGTGATTGATCTGCAGGTGGATTCAGCTGCAAATGTCCAACCTGAAAAGGTGCAAGATATTTGGAATCTGAGAGGGATTCTAAACACTTCATGGCACCGAGTTCATGTTCTAGTGGGCCACTCAAATATGTAAATGGAATCAAATGAACGGTTAAATAGCCTGGTTAGCATCCTGAAATATGTGGCTGACTTTCTTTATCATGAATTTTGTGCAAAAATAGTATTGTCTGGCTTTAATAACACTGTTTTAGAATGCACACGCATGCGTGTTTGGAACCACCATGTCACGTGTAGTTACTTTCCTTCAAAACAATAGTCTTACAAGCCATGGTTCTTTTCTGCCACTTAAAAGAAAAAACAATCTTTTTTTTCTTTTTTGTTCGATCTTTACAGTGATAAGCTTCCAAATTGTATGTTCCATTCCTCATACGTGCCCAATTCATTCACAGAAACTGAGGGCCTCACCTCTTGTAATGCATTCTCAAAATCCTACAAGAGAAGAAAATGGCCTCAAATAATTAAGCTGATGAAAACTTCACCCTCTAGACATGTTTGCATGCTAGTGCAGACTGGCATGCGATTACCTGAAGAGTTACTGGCCGCGTATCCTCTTTCTTCAGCTTTGTAATTTCTATGCCTTGTCTCAGAGCCTCTCTAAGAGGACCCATAGATGCATCTTTCACTAAGTTTTTCAGATCTGATCCTGAGTAGCCTGCAAAGGAAAGGTACCCAGCAACGCATTTTCATAGGATAACTAGGATAAAACGAAGCAGCTTGATAGCCAAGAGAAAACAGAAGCGAACCTTCAGTTAACTTGCATATGGCATCAATATCCTTTTCTGAAAGCTTGAATATTCCGTCCATCTCTAAGAGATTACGTACTATCCAGGCTCTGGCTTCTTCATCACCAGTCAAAGCAAGAAACAAATTCTTCGGCATAAATGGCTAGAATTAGATTAGATGAGACATGTAAGTTGCACCTGATGAAGGGGAAAATGGAGTCTCTTGGTTAGTCTTCTCCACGCTGTCTCATCAAGTTCTTGAGGTCTATTGGTTGCTCCTGGATATATAATACAAAGATGTCAAATTAACTTTGGATAAGAGATTTTATTTCATTCTTACGAGATGAACTAGTTCTCTACTTGCTCGGAAAGAATTAAGGATTTAACATGAATGCATATAGTAAAGGTCTAGAGGTTGCAACACTCATTTCCTACAGGAGGCCCCTTAAAGGAAACTTTTTTCCATTTTTTGACAAATATATAAGAACTTGTGGCTTCAACAATACCTATGAGAAGAATCTGCTTACTTCCATTATCAAAGCCTTCCATTTCAATGAGGAACTGTGTCTTGAGTCTTCCACCCGATTCATGCTCACCATCTGACTTACGCTGTAACCAGATAAAAACCTTTTAGCAGAACTCATCGTTAACTGGTTATGAAGATTATTATGATGTAAGAGTCTAATAAACTGCATCAGCCTAATCATTACGATGATTTAAAAGTGGTGTATGTGTAAATTAAATGGATCTGAAGCATTCTCTAGTTCAAATAGAATTCATGACAAATCAAAACTTAACTAATAATCAAAAGAAAATAAGTCCATGCCTTGTGGTGAATATCCACATAAATGACTGCAAAAGCAAATAATTAAATTCATCATCCAGTTTTGACCAAATCTTCAATCATTTCAGTATAGCATTCAATGGTAGCTCTGACACTGATTCAAGTTGGTCTTTAAGAGCAATAAGATATAGCTTACCTGAGATAGAAGTGAATCAATTTCATCAACAAAAATTACAGCCGGCTGACGACAACTGGCCACCCCAAAAAGCGCCCTCACTAGCTTTTCTCCCTCTCCAATCTACACTCACCAGTTGAAATGTTACCTATTATAGTTGATTCAATATACCATCTGGGAGAAAGAATGAAAGCAAGTGGTAACTTCTGGAAATGAAATGTTAGGAGCAACCAAAGAGATTTTAATCTAAACACTTACCTTCAATCTCAGAGGTACTATGTTTAGAGGTGCGTAAATATTTAACAGACCTTATTTCAAAAATACACATGCAAAGTATCATACGGGCAAACAGTAGGAGACATACCAACTTGCTTGTCAATGAACTAGCAGTTATGTAGAAAAAGGTGGCTTTTGCTTCTCCAGCTACAGCTTTCCCAATCATTGTTTTGCCCGTTCCCTGTAGTATAGTAGGTGCAGAAGAAGTCATGAACCCTTGATAATATTATTAGAATAGTATCTTCAATTTATACAGAATAAAAGAACACTTACTGGGGGACCAAAGAGAAGAAGACCTCTTCCAGGAGAGCGACGGCCTCGAAATATGTCAGAACGTAATAAGGGCCACATGACCATCTCTGTCACACATTTTTGGGCATGTTCCAAGCAAGCCGCTGCAGTTTTAAGAAGAAATTGTAAATTACAAAAACATTTGTAGATAAGCATGTAGCTGAACAAAGCTGAAACCTAAACGGAAGTTTCATGTATGTTATAATACCAATATCATCCAACCGAACATTTGGATCTCGATAAATAATCTCATTGCAGACATGCTCAATAAGACGAGGTTCCAAATTCCTTAATTTTTAAGGAAGTTCATCAGGACCACACAGCATTTCCAAACTGGTTTTAAAACCATTAAAAACAAGTGAAGACATGAAGGCAAACATCAGACATCTGAAATATGCAGTTCAATATTTAAAAAAAAAAAAAAAAAAAAACCTTGAAAATGCATCCTGGTTATACAAGATAAAAATAATTCTTAAAATCAGTTTAAATGTCTATGAAGGCAATAAAAGTTCATTTATCTGCAAGAGCAAGGTAAGAAATTCTTTAGTCAACAGAAATCCCAAATGGCTGAATCTCTTTCCAGAGATCAGACATTTAAAATGTAATACATAATCCATGATGATAGGCTGGCATTGCCCAAGGATATAATTCAAGTTGCATTTTTCCTTTGAAGAATTTACATAATTCACGATGTCCTTGTTGAGTCATTTAATGCATCATCACCCTTTCCACAAGTTTGTGATGTCACATTTCCAACACTGCCACCATTAGATCTTATTGGGGAAACAAAATTACCACGAACTCCAGGCGTAAAAAACCATAGGATTTTGCACCATAACCTCTAGAATTGAAATTGGTATCACTTTGTGGGGAGACAGAAGCATTTGGAGAACCAGCTAGCCCTTGTTTTTGTCTCACATCCATTACCTACAACGAAGGGATTAACATTGAAATGTATGGGATAATAATGTAAGAAAATGTAAAACAAATGGTTTCACTTCCAAATATTCCAGACAAAGTAACAATTGGCAGTTTACATGCCAAAACTCTAATATTTTGTATAATACCAGTTTTTCTCTAGCAGTTACAAATCTATTCCCTGAAACGTTAGCATTAGCTTCTTCATTGCTTGATGGTGACCTTGCATTGTCATTTCTGGGGCTGCTGATTTCTATGTGTGAATGCTTTGTCCTCGAGGTATTGCCAAAGCCTTTATCTTCCTCTTCAGCTTTGCAAAAGGATGAAACACCATGTCCCCTAGGAAGCTTGTGATAAAACTGACCCTTTTCCACTTTAAGGCAATCTATGGAAGAGTTAGTTTTGGAGTCCAAAGAGCTTTTGTACGAGCAATTATTTGTCCTTGTAATTTTGTTCCCACACAAAGATGCCAACTTTGCCGGTGTCATAACTTTAGACGGCTTAGTCAACTTATCTTGCCTCACCTCTTGGCCTCCCTGAGACACAACCAGAGCTCAGGTTATTCAAATTAAAAAAAAAAAAAAAAAAAAAAGCAAAACGGTCAAAAAGACCCCTGAATTAAAATTCAAAAATCATATAAGCCTTTATTGTTTTTTCAATTAATTAAACCCTTGAACATCTATTTTATCAATTGAACCCTTATTAGAAGAAAATTTGTTAACTATTTTTATCCAATCGATACCTTAATTGAGTGAAAATAAATATACTCCGAAGATATGCAATTCGTAACACATTTTATCAACATCAAAGATAAAGATTTAAATGACTAACGGTAATAGTAAAACCAAAAAAAAAAAAAAAAAAACCCTAATAATAAACAAAATCAAACTTTAATCACAAGTTTTATTGGGAAAGAAAAGCTCTAACAGCAAAAATTACCAAAGAAAATAAGCATATTCCATTTTGATTATATTAAATTGAAAAAATAAGGTTTAAAATCCTAAAATTTAATTCATGATATTAGATATATACCGATCGGATTCTTGAACGAAGGCACGGCGAGCTGAGTCGAGCTTAGAGACAGCTTCGTTACGGATGGGACGAGTGAAGGTCTCATCGACTTCATTGAGAGAGTGAGAACCGAGGAAGCAGAGAAGTAGAAGCGAGCGGACCTGAGCCGCAGCGAAATTCTGCTTTCCGAGGCAGAGCTCTGCGCTGAAGAGCAGCGAGTGGAGCCGCTTTAGGTTCTGATCCAGTTCTTTTCTCCAACACATTTTCTCTTTCGATTTCGATTCTTCCATTTTTTAAATCTTTTCCTGATTTTTGGTTTTTAACTTTCCCGCCAGTTTATCTCTTTGCGTCGCTTTATATTGAGGGGATCAGGAATGCCACTTTAGTTGGGCTAAATTACGTTATAACCACTCTTCTTGGCCCATTAATTGGCTGGCCCAACATTTTTTTTATTTCTTTTTAAAAAATGGGGAAAGAAAGAAACGATAAAAAGAGAGAGAGAGAGAGAGAGAGAGAGAGAGAAATCTATTTCTTCTATCCTCAACCCTTTTGCTCAATAGCAGTTTCTCTTCTTAAGGGTAAAAAGTTGTTTTCATCGAGGGTAAAATTGGTAAAAAAATTAATCAAACGAAAAAAGCATCCAGTAGCCTACCATATATAAATTGGACAAATTGAACAAAGTAAAAACTTTGTTGCTAATTTCTATTTTATTTTATCAAGTTTGAATTTGATGGTAATTATGCCTAAAAAAGCTACTTCTCATTATCTCAAAGAGTAATCATGAATCCTATGATTTTAGAGTGAAGTTGTGTATTTTATATTAACTATGCGTTAGAATTAATTTTAAGATACAAATATTCATATTATTTTAATGAGTTATTTTTTACGAAATAAAATCATAAGATTTAACGAAATCAAAGTAAATAATATCTTATAAGTTAATATAAATCGTAATATTATTTTTTATTTTATATCTCTCTTAATAATTCATGAAACGATTAATTAAAAGAAATAATTTATCGTCATGAAATATTTATTGACGTGGACTGTCAAGTGAATCCTATAATCATTAATTAAAGTCTGAAATCTTGATTAGCTGCTTGTAAGGACTTGAATTAGTTGCTTGGACTGGCATCTGATATGTTTTTGTGGCACGGTATGGTACTAAAGAAGCTATTTGATAATTTGTATGTTTCAACTACTTACAGCCATGTTAGATGCAACTCATCAACAAATACAGGATTAATTTAGCACAATCTTATCAGATTGATTCTCTGTCTAGAAATTATAGATGATTAAGAAAATAGAAGGAAATCAAACAAGCACCAGGTTATCTTCAGAAAGTTTTGGAGGGGACCCAATGAAAAATACACAATCTGGCAGCTTTTTATTCAGTAAAGCCTGTTAAACGATACGAGTACAAATTCAAGCTACCATAACAGAACAGTTCAGAAGAAAGAAATTAAGCCTGTCTTTGCAGGCCTCAATGTACCTCCATTGCAATTCCTCCTCGGTGCCAGGCTGTGGGCTGCAGGTATAGATAGTCATGTCACCACTTGGAATGGAGGAAGAGGAGTATCCAATCACCAGCAGCTCATTGCCTAGAGACTTGAATGCCACACCCCATCCTCTATGAAGATCAGCTCTAACTGGTACTGGTCCCAACTTCTTCCATATGTTGCTGCTCTTAAGGTAGATCCTCAGCTGATTCGAAGATGTTTCGAGATAGTAAAGCTCATTGTTCACCACCGCAACAAGGGGTGGAGATTGGCTTGTTGCAACTGGGGTATCATCTTTCAACATGTCTGGGATCAGTTCCCATGTGTTTTTATCCTTATCATAAGCCTCCCCGCAGGTGAGTTCATTGTCGTGCTCATCTTTCCCTCCAATTACATAAAATTTGTTATCCATGAAGCAACCTGAGCAAAGCTTCCTCTTCTGATGCATCCTCGGGAGCAGCTCCCATGATTTAGTCTCCGGATTATATTTCTCGGCTGAATTCAAGACTTTGGTCTCCATCCCAATCCCACCAGCTACAAAAGCAAAGGTACCACAGGTGGCAGACGCAAACAAACATCTAGGATCGATCATGGAAGGACCTTTAAACCATTTACTTGTTTCCAGTTCAAACCTCCACACGACAGAACCTTCAGTCTCCCTGCCTGACACAATCAAATGGCTCCCAGCACAAAGTGATTCCTTATCTCCATTTATAAAGGACATATCTGATGATGGTAACTCTGGAAGCTTTCTGCAAGACTTGAATAGCCTATCAAATGCCCACCAACAATTGCCCCCAATAGGTGATATAAATATAGATGATTCTTTAAGCCCGATTTCCCTCCTAATTCTAAATAACTCACCACTTTTTAGAAGATGTAAAAAGTGCTTGTTTAGCAAGTAAAGTTTCCAATACTCTAGTCTAGGAAATCGAGCCAAAATCAAATTCTCTAGGTCATCACTGAGCTGGGGAATATAGGAGTAATCTGCATCCTGGGGTTCTACACCACATGAATCACCAAAGCTGCTCCTGCTTGAAGAAATTCCATTGTAGTTTGGATTTACTTCTCTAGTAGCTCTAAATATCTGTATGTTTTCCAGTGGGGGCATGTGAAAGCTATCCTCATCCATGTTGTTCAAGAGAAAGGATTACATAAAAATACCCTTCAAAAGCAAAACAGATTAGACATATTAATTGTGGTCCTAAATTAACAGAGATAATTTTAAGAGCGTTTAAAACAATTATTTCAGAAGCTGATAATAGTCTACTTTATGCATGAAGAACCTGATATAATCACCTGAATCCAGATTATATATATTTTCACCAACTGACCATTTCTAAACTATTGATTGGAAAGGTCAAAGACAAATATGTAAATTTACATGAATTAGAAACTAGAAAGCATCTTGCCAATGCCAACCTTAAGCTGATAATCTTTCATCTTTTGTGGAGAATGGAAAGGTAAAAATCCTTGGGATGAAGTATTTCACATCACCAGTTGAACAACATTCAGAAGACAATAAGATCCACATGCAGACTTTGGAATGCAAAGTTGATCAAGACTATAAAATTAGTTATGCAGATCAGCATCCATTCATGAACAAAGAAAGAAAAGAAAACAGCCAAAAGGGTATCCAGAAATCATCAAAACAAAGCTATAACACAACAAACACGCAAAGATAAATGAACATAACAGAAATAAATTACGCACAGAGACAGAAAATGAGAAGCTTTCCAGAGAGGGGAAAGTCAATAAAAAGAAAAACAAAAAGGAAAGTTCACACTTCACAGTCTGTAGAGCTTAAACAGTAACACAAAGTCAAAATTTTGGAGTAAATGAAGAGAGAGAAGAGATGATTTATAGAAAAAAAGAACTGGGTAATACAGGAATGAATCTACAATTGCAAGAAACCCCCATTCGCAGGAAATTTTTATTCTTAATGAAGTATGGCTCATCAGTTGAGATTACCATAAGATGCATTTGGTTTTATTACTTAACAGTATTATTTTGATAATCAAGGAAGATCTTTTTATACTTGAATCAGAAAAAGTAGAAAGCTTTAAAAAGAGAAGAAAAAAACTGTTTTTCTTTTTTTTATTATTTCTTTGCCTAGCATCTCAGTGATCTCTAGTTGGTTCTTGGTCGTGAACTTTTGTCCCCTGCTTTTTGTTAATATTAGGTCATGACAGTTACATATGTCCTATTCAAATTGTAGTAATCAAGAACAATACAAACATATAGGATGCCACGCCCTCAACCTAGAAAATGGAACTCCATTGGACAAGGCTTGCTATCCTTTTTCGGGGTTCTTTTTTCCCACCCTGATTAATTTCTTTTAATCAGTGTTAATGTATTAGCTGTCCACTGATTAGTTGTGGTGGATTTGCCTTTGATTTTATAAATCCACTCACTGTCATTATCGAACAGGTCTAGCATTTGTGTAAGATAAAAAGATAGAGAGACCTGATCAGCTTTCAGCTCACAGATATGAAAAAAAAGCATGCTAGTGAACCATGATATTTGTTTAACATAAAAATTAAACCCCCACTAATTTTTTTGTTAATTGGTAGTAATAGTTAGCACCAGAAGATTCATGGAGGGTGAAAGCAGAGATTGATTAAATTAACAAAACCCTTAAAAAGGATTCATTTATTAATTTGATTTACCTAAAACCAACCACTTTTTGGGGCTGCTCTCTCATGTGTTATGGGATGCTTTCAAAAGCTTGGAAATAAGAAAATATATGTATATTGACATGCTTTTTTCAGGGTTTTAAAATTCGAGGAAATTTGCATCTTTTGACAATTCATGGAACTCGCACAGATTTGAGTGCACATTGGAAGATTCATTTGAGATGCCACACCATTTTCATTTGCTTTCGGGTTTCATTTTATGCATAACTGATCTCCTCTCTTCAGCCAATAGCCTGGTCAAAAACTGAAAACAGACACTTGTCATTTTCATGTCTGCAGTGTATTCATTCTAGACATTGATCTTCTTCAACATAATGAACTTCTCTTTTTGAAAAACAACTTACTAAATAGTATAACTTGTCAGGATTAAAGGATATATAAAATAAGCTGAATTTCAGAATCTCAGATGCTATGTAACAGAACTTTGTTCTCTTTCTTTTTGCTTTGGATAAGCTACAATACTAGCATTATTCCAAGGAATCAGGGAATAAGAACATGCTTCAACAAGAACAAGGCCTACTTAAACCAGACAAAGCAACAACAACAACAACAGCAACACAGAAACAAGAAACTAAGCTAAAGATGTCCTGACAAAAAAAATAGCCTTCAAATATGTTGTGTTATAACTTAATATATAAGCTGATTTGGTTCCAAAATGAATCAGAATCTTACTTAAAAAAAGGGTTGTTGGTTAATCTTTCATCTAGAACAGTTGTTGTACTCTCTCATTTAGCTTTGATCTTTTCTCTTTCACAAGGGACTTGAGGCATTGAGCAACCAATGGCAAAGCAGTGGCGGTGCATGCGGCAAAGACGGGGTTGTACTGTGGCCAATGTCTACATTTAAGGGTGTATATGTGCCCTTTCAACTGTCGACTGTTTTCGGATGACATGTTGTAAGAGAAACAAATTAAATATTCATTGATAATCTTGATCCCTTAATTTTCGGATCTCAAAGGCTAAAGGCCCAAAACCATTTGGACAACAGATTAACCTAAACGAACCCAATTAGCTTTATGACCCAAAGTATTTTATATAATCAGACCCAAAGTATCCAGTCCAAGCCTGAATCACCAAAGCTGACCCAAGCAAGACCACTAGGCCAGTCAGCTTATCCCAGTCAAATTCCAAAACTGAAAAGTACATGAGATGGCGAGATAGGAACCAATCCAAGAACTAGAAAAGAAAAGCCAATAAAATTCCCATTCACAACAGTGGCTACTTTCTCTTCTTCCTCTTACCTTCCAATCCTCCTCCACCACCAGCCAAAGCCCCACCTCTCAATAATCTTTCACTCTCTTCCCAAAAACCCAAAAATACTCTACTTTCAGTATCAGTTCAAGAGGATCAATCTTCTTCATTATCCACTGAATTGTCATCTGTTATTTGCCATTCTCTTGAATATGCAAATACCCTTTTCTTTAAATCTGCTTACAATGTTCAGGTTATTGTGGATGACAATGAACCTGAAGAAAGGCTATGTTGTCTATGTTATTGGCAACCTTTTCACATTTTCTTTTCCAGTTTAGAATAGGTAACATTTGAATCTATATATGTTGTTTTGTCTCTTCCAAAAGTTGCAAGATCCGGAATTTTTTTTTTTTTTTTGTACGTAGGAGTTCGTTGCCTGGAAATAAGAAGATAGAGATTTAAACCCCGGACTTTTTATTGGACACACTTTTACAGCTTACCAGATGCAAAACATGTCCGAGAGAAGAAATCACCCTATGCATTTCTGTGGAGCTCGCCATGATAAGGGTGACCACTTCGAGCTACCATTATTTGCAGACAGTTCTCTGAATTTTCTCCAGTCATCAAGAACAAGCTTCAGATCGTGGATCTTGCTATCAATGTTCTCACAGCAGTTTGCTTGTATGGTATATATCTTAGTCAAATCACATGGCTGACAAAGTCTACAAAAATTCACCTCATTGAAATATTTAACCCGCATTTCAATGAGGTCGATGTAGTTATCATTTCCAATAATTTTGCAGAGGGATTGGTGTTCAGAATCAGGATACAAAACCCTTTTCACGTTACAGTTTTTGATGAACTCATAAGTTCTATCATCTGCTTTGACATGAAAGAATCCTCCATCTCCTTCGATTCCAAAGGTTTCATCATCAATAGGATAAAGCTCACACGATATTGACATTCCAAAATTAGGCACAACTTCTCTTAAGGGATTCCTCAGCCACATGGCATCTGCATTCTTCAATCAGAAACCAACCTCAGTTAAACTTGCCTAAAGGCTAAAGCTAACAGGATCTGAAATTGTCATCTAGCTAGTAATTAAAGGCACAAGCAACTTAGAAACTTACTGTGAAAGCAACACTGTAACCCAATTGAATAACTCGTTGAAGCAATCTTAGTCTGCTCGGACTCAACAAGAGGTTATTACCTTGGGTTCCGGATGGTATCTTGGTGAATTTTTTCTGGGGAGTTTTTGAGGTGGAAACAATGGGGATGCTTAGACTTGCAATATTGGAAAGCTTGGCTATCCTCAGCGATGATAAGCAGATGGTTTAACAGGCGTTTTGTTCCTTCGCCAATTCGGAAGCTTTCCAGGAACAGGTCTAGGATGGAGCCTGGTCTTGCCCAAGTTTCGTTAACAACTGTCAGGATGACTGTTCTATCAGACATTGATGCTCTCCGTAACGCTTGCAGCAAAGTTTTCCTTTCAAACTCCTAATAAACCACCAAAAAATATGCCTTAAGACATTCAAATGAACGAAGGAACAGATTTTAGTTTCTGGATGATTTTTGAAAAGCCTTTTACTGTGCCTTGAATCAAACCCTCAAAAGGGTTTGACAAACCTGTCCCGTCCCATTAGCAGTTTATTTGCCAGCGATACAATGTTTCAAATATAAATCCAAAAAAAAAAAATGTAAAAACCTTTGGCTAAATTCATGTAACCAATGTTTCAACAGTATGTACAAAGAAGATGGTGGGATATATTAAGGGTTATTTGTTCCTTTCAAGCTTCAAAAATCAATCAGTTAGAATTGATGTTTGCCTATTAAAAATCAAGAGGAAGATTTGAGACAGATCAAATGATCTCTTGTAATATAAGCAATTACAAGTATCATGTTATAAAATTAAATATTTTAAATACATATAAAATATACGCGCATGCACACTGTCATACACATGATAAAATCATTATATTTTAAAAAAGAAAATAAAACTTGAAAGAAAAGATAGTATTTTCTTACATATTGTAATTTGAGAACCCTTGCTTTTGAGTTGACAAGAGATTTGCTGGTTGAATTAGAGAACTGATATAAAATCAAGCAAATGAGGATGAACAAAACAATGAGAGAACATGGCGACTTTAAAATCCTCAACTCTTTCATCTCTCTCTCTCTGGATTTTGTCTTTGTCACAATGACACAAGTTCACGAAAATATTTGCATGCATCAAGAAAAATATTCAGAGAATATAATGCCTTATAATCATCCAAATATTGAATTAATAACTTCCACATTCCATAAGTTGTTCTAGCTTTTCCCTTGCTGGTAAAAGGAAGGAAGATAAGGAGTTGAAATTAGTGATGTCTTTCCTTTTTTGTTCATATAAAATGATCAAACTAAATTGGTAAGCTTGGTAGGGTTTGGTATGATAATCAACAAGAATTGGAAGGAAATCAACTTTAAAAAGGAAAGTAATCATCAACACAATTATTGATGTTCTGACAAAGGGCATGAGACTTTTCCAAAGTTTTTTTTTTTTTTTTAATGATATATGTTGTATTTCAAGACTTCTTTAATCAAATCTGAGAGAACTTTAAATACATTTTTTTCCGATTAAGATATAACCAATTAATAGTAGTTAACTTGAGCAGGCGATTCACATCTTATCGACAATCAAAAGAAATAATATTATTTACTTCCTCTCGTTTAAAGATAATAAAATAATTTATGTCTAATGAATTTTAATCCGTTTTGATTTAATAGGATCGAAATTAAAAGTTAAGTTGAAGATAAATCAAATAGATTACAATTGATAAATATATGAATTGAATCAAATAAAAAAAATATTTTAATATCGAATCAAAATTGAGTGTGAATGTTAAAAGATTGATTGAGAAAATTTCATTTCAAAATAAACTCGTTACAATCCTTAATCTAATTTCAAGTGTCTCTCTCTTTTTTTTTTTTTTAATATCTCAAAATGAATTTTTTTATTTTTAAACATCTTCTATTCTTACTTTTTTTATATTTAAATTTTATTGTTTATTTTTTACTTTTTGATAATAAAAAATATTACATCAATATTATAAATAATTAATTTATAATATTAAATACATACATAATTAATTTACATGTAGTAAGTCGACATTTGCCCCAAAAGCATGGAACACGTTTGCTTTCCTTTTTCCCCAAGCCGCTTGTTATGGTTTATGAAACAAGCAACAATTTTTTTTTAATATTTAATTTGATAATAATTGCTCCCAACATTTAAGGAATTAATAAGATAAAATGTGTTAAGTTCACCAAACAATAAGTTTAATGATTTACAAGATTTATTCTAAGATTTGAGAGAGAAAGGAGAAGAAAAAAACAAACCCATGTGTCAAATATTATATATGAAAAGAAGAAGGCAAACTTTTGACTTAACCTAGATTTTGTCACTATTAAGCAATAGGTGGGTACAAAATCTTGCATATATTTTTATTTTAGAAAGACAAAGGAAAGGGACTTTGTTCTTTGGCCAATAGGCATAGGGACATTTAAGATGAATGATAACAGCCATTTCCCAAGAGATATAAAAGAGGCTTACTCAATCCATGGCCATCCAAAAGCCAACTAGGAAAGAGCAACAGCATCTCCAAAGCTTCTATATGCTTGCAATGGAGGAGGATTCTAGCCAATTGGCAAAACCAGAAACTCCCCATAACATGGAAGCTAAAGCTGATGAAGAAGAAAGAGACCCTGAAAGCAATTCTCTATGTCAGCCACTTCTCAAGAGAAACACAACTCTCTCTTCCACTCCACTAGCCTTGGTTGGAGCCAAGGTCTCCCATATAGAGAGCTTGGATTATGAGTAATATACTTTTACCATTTTTTTTTTTTTTTTGAATTCTGATTCAGTTCTCTCTTGCTTAATTTCTTTTCTTCTTTGATCTTTGTTTGGTTAAAATCTATTGAGAACTGATCAGTAGTGGCTGCGATGCAGGATAAATGAGAATGATCTTTTCAAGCATGATTGGAGAAGCAGATCCAAACTACAAGTTTGGCAGTACATATTCTTGAAATGGGTTCTGGCTTTCCTTGTTGGATTGCTAACAGGATTAACTGCCACTCTGATCAATCTTGCAATTGAGAACATTGCCGGCTACAAGCTTCTTGCTATTATTAGTTTCATCAAGGAGGGAAGGTAAGGTGTCATTCCTTGCACTTCTCAGTTCTAATCATTGTTTTCATTTTCCATGATCAAATACCAAACTTCCATGATCATTATTGCTAGGTGATTTGATGCAGGTATATATCTGGGCTGGTCTTTTTCACCGGTGTCAATTTTTTGCTGACCTTGGTTGCTGCAGTTCTCTGTGTGTGTTTTGCCCCAACTGCAGCCGGTCCTGGTGTTCCGGAAATCAAGGCTTATCTCAATGGAGTGGATACTCCTAACATGTTTGGTGCTACAACATTGCTTGTCAAGGTTGGTTAGCCTTCAATTAGAATCCTTGGTGAAAGTTCCAGTAATGGTTCAAATCATACAGCTCAGAATTTACTTATAGGAAGTAAGATTAATCGGAAAAGAAATTTTGATAAGGTTGGCACCAGCGTACGTATTTCAGAGAGCTGATTTCAACCTACATTTTGACATCGACTCGATCATTTTCTGAAAATAAACCTTCCATTTCATATCTGCCTTATGCTGTTTAGTTTCAACAAAATATGGATATAGTAAAGTTCGATCAGATCTGGAACTTGGTCAATGATGTAGTGCTAAACTAAAGTCATTTCAAGAGTTTTTTCCTATATTTCAATGTACGGTTGTCACTTTGCTACTATTCTTTGTGTTGCTTTGTCGGAGAGATTAGGAATAACATCGATGAAACGCAAGCTGTTACATAAAGTATGAGAAAGTTTCACTTTATTTTATTTATTAGGTCCTGCTGAAAGATTTTCCATAATTGTAGATCGTTGGCAACATTGGAGCAGTTTCAGCTGGCTTGGATCTGGGGAAAGAAGGGCCTTTAGTGCACATTGGGAGTTGCATTGCTGCTTTACTAGGCCAAGGAGGGCCTGACAACCACCGTCTTAAGTGGCAGTGGATTCGCTACTTCAACAATGATCGTGATCGAAGAGATATCATCACCACTGGTTCTTCCTCAGGTGTTTGTGCAGCTTTCCGTGCCCCAGTGGGAGGTGTCCTATTTGCTCTCGAAGAGGTTGCAACGTGGTGGAGGAGTTCTCTTCTCTGGAGAACTTTCTTTAGTACAGCAGTTGTGGTGGTGGTGCTTAGAGCATTCATTGAAATCTGCAATTCTGGAAAATGTGGCCTTTTTGGAACAGGAGGGTTGATTATGTTCGATGTTAGTGATGTAAAAGTCAGCTACCATCCCATGGATGTAATCCCTGTGATCATAATTGGAATTATTGGTGGACTTTTGGGAAGCTTATACAATCATGGTCTCCATATGGTCCTCAGACTCTACAGTCTTATTAACCAGTAAGCTACGAAATCCAACTTTCTCTTCAATCATGGTCTCACATTTTATTAGACATGGCAATTCTTGTATTCACGTTTCTTTATTCTGTTGCAGGAAGGGGAAATTGCATAAACTAGTTCTAGCTCTTACCGTCTCACTCTTTACCTCAGTTTGCCAATATTGTCTCCCTTTTCTAGCGCAATGCAGAGCTTGTGATCCCTCTTTTTCGGAAGCTTGTCCCACAAATGATCGGTTCGGGAACTTCAAGCAGTTTAACTGTCCGGATGGCTACTATAATGATCTAGCTACCCTCCTCCTTACAACTAATGATGATGCTGTTCGAAACATTTTCTCCACCAACACTTCCTCTGAATTCCAACCTACGTCCATCTTAATCTTTTTTGCACTTTATTGCATCTTAGGGCTCATTACTTTGGGCATTGCTGTTCCTTCTGGTCTCTTCCTCCCTATCATCCTCATGGGCTCAAGTTATGGTCGACTTCTCGGTATGGCCATGGGATCATATACAAACTTAGACCAGGGGCTTTATGCTGTTCTTGGTGCAGCCTCCCTTATGGCTGGCTCAATGAGAATGACTGTGTCAATTTGTGTGATATTCCTTGAACTCACAAACAACCTTCTTTTGCTGCCAATAACAATGATAGTCCTTCTGATAGCAAAAACTGTTGCAGACACCTTCAACACCAGCATCTATGAGATTATACTGGAACTTAAAAGCCTCCCTTTCCTGGATGCAAATCCTGAGCCCTGGATGAGAAATCTCACTGTTGGTGAGCTTGCCGATGCCAAGCCACCAGTAGTCACTCTTTGTGGGGTGGAAAAAGTTTCGCGAATTGTGGATGTATTGAAGAACACTACACATAATGCATTCCCCATTGTAGATCAGGGTGTGCTGGTGCCAGGCTCTGTGGCCACCGAGGCAACAGAGCTGCATGGACTGATCCTCAGAGCTCACCTTGTTCAAGCCCTGAAGAAGAAATGGTTCCTGCTAGAGAAAAGAAGAACAGAGGAATGGGAAGTGAGGCAGAAATTCAACTGGGTTGAGCTGGCTGAAAGGGAACTAAAGATTGAGCAGGTGGCTGTGACCCTTGATGAAATGGAAATGTATGTTGATTTACATCCTCTCACTAATACAACCCCTTACACGGTGGTGGAAAGCATGTCAGTGGCTAAAGCAATGATTCTATTCAGGCAAGTCGGACAACGGCATTTGCTAATCGTGCCAAAGTATCAAGGGGCAGGGGTGAGTTTGCCAACCTGACAGAAACAGTTTTTTTTTTTGTCATGCTCATTCTTCCATTTTGTACAGATAATGAAGTTTTTTTCCTAACAATTTTCTTAATCTGATGTTGTGCTTCACCTGCAGGTTCCTTCTGTAGTTGGGATCTTGACCAGGCAGGACTTACGGGCATACAACATTTTGACTGCCTTTCCTCATTTAGCAAGATCCAAAGGGGAAGAAAAGGATAGTTGATGTCTCGTAATTAAAAAAAATGTATAATAGCAGATTTTTTTGAACCACACATCTCCTTTTACCTTCGTTTTTCTTTGCCAGTTCACATTTTTCCGCTCAGTTTTGCAGGTTTTTCCACCGATCCTAGAATGAATGATACAGATTTTTTTCCTGTTTACATCATGCTGTCCTCTCATATGCAACATATGTACTCATTAGCTCCAAGACTTCTTAACATGCTGAAGCCGAGATCAATTTGCCATGAAGGAGACACAAATTTAGTACCACTCTTTCCCATGAAACTACTATTCTACCTATGTTCTGACCATTTTCTTATGGCATAAACTGAGAAGAGATTTGAAAAAACTAAATGCACAATCCATGCCACTCTGTCCCTCATGCCTGTTTCTTCTTTTTCTTTCCTGTTTTCTTTTTCTTGAGATTCCTTTTGAACACAGCTAAAACCTCAATGCTGCAAGAAATATCCCAAAATTACTCCCAATGGATAAATCAATGAAAGGAGAAGAAAGGGTTAACTTTACAAATCATGCGACAGACAAATAAATTCTCATTATGTTCACTTTTATTTAGCAATGAAACACAAGTTTGAAGGAGAAATACCTCTGAGTGCCGGGAAAGAAATTAAAACCATGGGCCTTTTCCAAATGCCAAGACTTACTAGTCAACAAGGACTTGCAATCCTGTTATATAATCCCACCCAAATTACTTTGCGAAAACTCTGACAAGTTAAAAACAGTACACAATCTTCCAACTAGAAGTACCTCTTTGAAGCTTTCCCACCCACAGCTTATATAAATGAGAGTTTCTGGAAGTGATCGAGCATCTGCTGAAATTGTTTCTCTTCCAACTTGAACTGAAGCTTCTTTTGCATGTTCTCTTTCACGTAAAACCCATGGTCTCTTTTCTTCTTTTATATTTGAAGATGAACTGGAGTTTAGATATAGGAGTTAAAAACTTGAAACGTATGAAGCGCAGCAAATTCCAAGTAACAATTGAAAAGTGTTCATAATAGAAACTGCCATCAAATCCCTGTACAAATATCTTGAAATATACAGAATCATCCTACCTTTTCAATGATGGTTTAACTTTTTGTGATGATATAGTCCGCAATGCATCAATCAAAGATGTATCTAATCCCTTCCTAGGAGGATCAACAACAATCACATCTGATCCCACAAGCCAAGAAAGAGGATCCTGCAAATTTAGTGAATTCATCATGCAGTTAGTTCGGAATTATTCAACAGCCACATTACATGCCAAACTTCTATGGAAGCTCAAGGCACATAAACATCATTATATGGAGAGTGAACTGAGTGTGAATCATATATGATATGCAAGACTATAAATTTGCATGAGCTTGATACTAACAATGGATGTGTCAGCATTATGCCAGCTAATGCTGCCCAGTATAGAGTTTGGTAAGCGGTCAACTGTCTTCTCAAATGATGGCCTAGATTCTTTGTTAATCTCAATGCATTTGACAGACCTGGTTACAGTAGAAACAAAATCAGAATAAAAGTTTAGTCTCATTAAATGCAAGAATCAGAGAGAAATCTGAAGTGTTTAGGACATTCTGCCTCTTGCCTGCATTTTTTAGTGGCAGCTAATGATAATCCAATCACGCCGGCTCCTGCATACAAATCAGCCACAGATGCTGCATAAGGCACATATTTATGTAATTTCCGAAGCAGGTTATCAAAAGCCTGAAAAAGAAGCAATAAGGAAAAGTATATTAAGCAGGATTCAAACAAACAATATAAGATACTTAAGTCGCATGCCCTGCAGATATTTAAGCTGTATCATGCATCATATGTTGATCAACAGCTGTGGCAAAATGGAACAAGATAGTGCACAAGAAGCTATGGAAAGAACAAAAGCCCCTATGATGGATATAGCATTCAAAAACTGGCACCTCAGAGCCCTTACTCTACAGACTCTCAGTTCCTGTGTAAATAATATTTTGTGATGTTTGGCTTTAGTATGCAGTATATTGTTCATTTCTTATGCGATAGCATATGGATAGCATGTAAGAATTCCCAATCAAATGTGACTTATGGAATTAGCGGGTTTGCTTACCCGTGTGTTTGCTTGGCCAAAACTGGAGGGATCCAAGGACATATCAATTCCTCCAACATGTTCCCAGAAATCTCTTTCCCCTAAAAGATGTCTCCACCTATTCCCAAAAATAATCTGCATCATTCAGTAAAACATTCTAAGTTCCAAATGTCCAAAGTATTTGAAACAAGGGAAAAAGAAAAGGAAAAATCAATAACAACAGCTAGCAGCACAAATGACAACGAACATATAAGAACAATTAGCAATTAATGCAACTGGCAAAAGCAAATCTAAGGCCAAAAAAAAAAAAAAAACTAAACTTATTTGAATTCCACTTAAAACAACTTTTAATAAAGACCGACTAGTCCATTTTAAATTTCTTCTTAATAGTTTCTTAAAATAGCCTTTTACTGCTTCTAGTATATTCCAGTTTGCCAACTCAACCAATGAGATTAGTTTAAGGAAATATCAAAGAATCACAATTGCATCAAATACATTTTTCCTTTCAAGAAGCCATTCCAGGCATGAACTACTCATCATATATTTCAAAAGATAAACTACCAACTCACATTGTTAGTAGATGTCTGAAAATTAGCCCATACAGAGTGAATCAAATAGAGGTTACTCCTTGGCCCACCATTTCTCCACAGAAACTGTACACCATTAGACGGAAGTACACATCAAACAAAAAGTTAAGAGTGAGCAATAGAAGGGTATAAAACTTAGGAAGCTGAGCTCACTTTGGCCAAGGCATTTAATTTGTCCGAATTTGATGATTTCTCATTTCTTGAATTCCAAACTAAAGCAACCTGTACTCTACCTGGAATACAAAATTTATTCAACTGTCACTCTCATTTGCCTTAAATTATTAAGAAAACAGAATATTTTCCAGAAGAAGAAGCAATACAAATTGCTTAAAACTACCATTTCTATATCTTTCAGCAGCAGGAAGTGCTGTATTGTATGTTGTCACAGCCATCTGTACACCTTGAACATTCATCAAAATCATCCAAAATACAGATTCCAATAATAACAGTAATAAATTTCATTTTCTTGTCAATCTATATATATTTAATATCATCCGAATAAATCACCTGAATGTATCGCAAATCCCCCGTCCCTTGATCCTCATTGTATGGCTCAATATTTAATTCTCTAATACCTAAAATAACCAAAAAAAAAAAAAGTATTAAGCAGAAAATATTTAAATTTAATCAAAATTTTAATCTTTAAAAGAAAAAAGAAAAAAAATGCCACCTTGTCTTAGTATCTCAACAGCAGCATTAATATTGGGGTGATGAGCTGAAGCAGAAAGATTAACATCAAAAAAAAAAAAATCAAGATTAAGAACTGAAAAAAACAGTGATTTTTTAGACCTTTGCATTGAGGAATATCCACAACGTTATGAGTACCCTCCTGGTAGAGTCCAATCAGAGGGTTATCAATTGATCCACGAACGGCAAGCTTTGCTCGACACCTCCATCCCCACTGAAAAGCAAAGCGGAGAATCAAAGCCTACCTCAAAAAAGTTATGAATTTTAAGGGGAAAAATAAAGAAAAAGGAAACTCTTTAATATTGGGAACTAAATATGTAATTGCCGTAAAAATACCAATCTACAGCTATCGAAAGTAAAATCTGAGACTCCAAGACTCTTGAAGAAATCAGTTGCTTCCTCTACGATGATTGGACGGTGTAGATTGAACTCGTGAGTGCATCCAGAGCACCTGAAAATTACCTTGAAAAGTTATTGCAACTAAAAGTTGAGTAAAAAAAAGTTTTATTTTCTTCTTTTAAGGCGAGAAGGGTGCGTACGATTGGAAGTGAGGGCACTGTAAGGCGCAAGTCAGCAAGGGGACGGCCGTTGCGGTAGTGGTTGGAGGGAGGATGGAGGGAGGAGGAGAAGGGATGGTGGGTGCTAGGGAGGGGGAAGGGGACACGCAGCAGGTGATGATTGGATAAGGTGGGCGAGTTGGGAAGGTGTAGAGTGACATCTGTGTCGCGCGCGGTGGCTGTGTGGAGATTTTCTCGGTGCTCCTTGGCGGGAATAGATAACATATCCATGTTTACACGGATAAGTATCTCAAATTCTCAATGGTTTTAACCGGGTCGAGCTATCCATCCTCTAACCCGGCCGGAGCCCAACTTTTCTTTTTATTTTGGGCCGGTCAAACCTTTAAATATGAAGCTTAAACCAGCCCATAGACCCAAGTTTTTATTGTTTTTGGGCCAGAAGCTATTATTGTTTGAAAAATAATACTAATTATAACATTAATCTAAAATTAATTTTTTATTGTTTGAATAATAATTAAAAATTAATTTTAGATTTAATATTATAATTAATATTCCATACACTATTAATGTAATTTTTAATTCTATAAACGAGTTAAAGAGATTGACCTATATATATTTTTTAATTTATCAAAAATTTTCAAATATACGTATGTATTATCTAACTATTTCATGTATAAAATTTAAAAATTGTTATGGATAAAATAATTTTTCAATATTGGTTATCCAACATTATTTCATAACAATTAAGAAGTACTTTGGTTTTTTGCCAAATGACGGGAACGTAATTGCCAAAAACATTAGAGAAACAGTTGGTAAATATAAAAAAATTTATTTATATTAAATAATTATTTGAAGTCTTTAAACGTTCATATATTTAATTTTTATTCATTTATATTTATTTATTAAATTGAGTAAATAATTTGAAAATAATATTTTAAAATTCATTAATTAAATAAAAATATTGTAAACGTAATAAAATTCGTATTCGGCCTAATTGATTAGTTTTATCATACGGTATAATAAGATTATCTATAGCCACAACCAGTTTTGCACAAATAATTGTACCCACATTTCAGACAGCAAAGTTAGGGAAAATCACAACCACACCCATGGATATCATTAAGCAATGCCCCCATCAAGTTTAACAGCTTCAAAGAACAATTGGCAGGAATTGTCTAAAATCAACTGCATATAACCGGTATTCATTATGTTTTACTGCATTTATCAAACTCCTATGACTTCAATTTGTTCAAGTATTCTTCCATCCGCAGGCTCAAAATGATGCAATTACGGCAACATCAAACCAAAATAAATGACAATGGAATCATCTCTTGGCCTTGGCCTTTGTAACGACACTTGATGAAGTCCGATAATCCTAGCCGGTGGCTTCTAATGCTGGTTACAATTGCAATTAGCCAACCATGATGGATCAGTCATCAGTGCCAAAATAACGATCCCCAAACTCGCCCATGCCTGGTATGACGCGGAACTCCTCGTTTAGTGCAACATCAATTTCTGAAGTAACGATTTTCAAGGATGGGAAACGTTTGCAAACACATTGGATTCCTTCAGGCGCCTGAAGCAAAGAAAATGAGGATGAGTACATAGGAAGAGGGAAAAAGAATGGTGGAAGGAAGGGTTGCAAGTAACGTAGATGCATCAGCAGCCAACACTATGAAAAACTCACAGAGATGAGGTTAAGGAATATAATGTGCGATTCTGGAACTCCTTTCTGTATGAGTAGTTCAATGGCGTGGTTAGCAGAGTTCCCTACAATAAAAGTTATCAAGATGATTTCTCATTGGAAGGCATATCAATAATTGAAGAATACAAAATAAGTCCATATGTAATTCCAGGGATAACCACCTGAGTCGACATCATGTGTTTCTGGAAATAATATGAAACTGATGGCAATATTATTAAATTTGATAGCCAGAAGAATTTCTAATATGATTTCTCTGGACTAATTCTTTCTGCTCAAGTTGATTCATTGACCGAAGAAGAAAAGGGATGTGGAAAAGCTTCAGGACAGCTTTCTTTCCCTTACAGTGACAACAGGTATAAAAAATGGGGAAGTTCTAGGAAGAGGAACAAGCTTACCTGTAGCAAGAACTGGATCCAGAAGAAGGACATGTCGTTCTGAAATATCCTTGGGAAGCTTCTCATATATAAGCTAAAAAAAATTCAAGAAAGCAGATTAACGGTTAAGATTAATTATATGTAATACCTAACAGCATAAGGATCCCAACAACATTACTAACCTGCTTCCCATTATCTCCATCCCGATGAATCAGAATTTTTCCAATTTTTATTCCTTTGCAACATGCACGTAAAGCGTTTTCCATGCTTTCACCACTGTAATAAACAAATAAGAGAACTAGTTAGTAAATACAAAAGAAAAGCATAGAAAATTGCAAACTACGTAATTAAAACAGAAATTCCCACATCAATGCAGCATGTACCAAACATCCAGAACAAGACAATAGGAGAAAAACCTAAGCTGAGATTCATCATAACTTTACCATATGTAACAAAAGATCACTCAATACACCATTTTGACTAAACAACGTCCACTGTTAAATAACAAAAACTGACTAAATAATACCTGATCAAAAGCTCACCTTCGAACAATGGAAACACCACACAACTTTTTGCAAAAGTCAACCCCAGTATATACTGATGCTGAAAAGAAAGAGCAGCAAATTTCAAAGACAAGCTGAATATTAATTGTTTTCATGATAAGACATCTTTAGAAGAACATAAATTCACCAGTTTCTTCATGGAAATCTCCCAGTTTCAAATACTTAGAAAGGAAAATTGGAAGTTTCCATAAACGAGAAGAAAGTAATGCCATTATTTAATTAAACATACCTGTAGGTGTTATTACTTGCTTCTCAGTGAATGGCAAATGCCCAAGACCATGCTCCACCACCTAAATCAAACGCAAGAACATTAGTTATATTTTGCATTTAAAAAACATTTAACAAAAAACAAAACACAGTTTATGCATAAGATATATAGCAAAAGTTACCAGACGAATAAGCCGGTCTGAATAGAAGACAAAATCATGCTTAGAAATTTCCCGGTCTCTAATCAGAGTATGCATTCCTCTAATCTGCACCAAAAGTCTCACATATGAAATAATTTATTTTAAAAAAAGAAAGACCATACAGAGACCATAGATATGAAAGCAACAAATGAATTGCACAATAGAAAATTGTTGTGGATAACTTTAAGTATCCAAGTAGCATCATATGTCTAATAAGAAAAAATTACACTTGGGGGAGATGCATTCAACAAGTGTTGCACGATACTTGCACACAAGTTATAACAGCAATAAGATAGAGATAAAACATGAGATATACCTGAAATGTTGACTGAATTACATACACATTGGGATATATTTTGCAAAGATCATGCTGACCAAGCTTAGTCCGGATATGTTGCACAATCAAATCAATGGCAACATGATTATCACCTCCTCGGGGGATGATGACATCAGCATACTTCTTTGATGGCAGAACAAAATCATCAAATGCAGGCTTCACAAACTTTGCATACTGCAGAAATAACACAACATTGCAATGCAATTATCAAAATGTTTGAAAAAATTAATGTAAGGAGGCACATTAATCAAAAGTTCCCCATTAAGTGTTTAATGGAATGTTATGAGAATAAGTATGTATTCCGTTTCAAATCTACAAACAACCACTGTTTCTTTACTGCTGTCAGGTTATCCAGGTAGCAGCATATTTCATAGGGCTTCACCCCTGTTTATGCTTCCAGATTTTCATTCCAGTGTTTCAATACAACTGACACACCAATAACAACACAAGTAAAACTATACAATACTGCATATATTCCAGTTTTTCAAGTATTAAATTACAAAGAAAATTTTGGTCTAAATAGGCTTACTTGTTCAAGAACAGAATTTACATCCCTACCCCTCTCAACTGTATCTCGTCTTATTCTACGAGCAAGCCTCACATCAGCATCTACAAATAATAAAAAGCCAAATAAACTAGAGAACCATTAGAAACCATGAGTGCAAGAAAGAAGCACATGCTCAGAGAAAAAACAACAGATGCACAATTGCACATGCAAGCTCAACCCACACAAAAATTCATGCAAACTCATTGGTTTTCTTAGTGTAATTTGTCAATGACAATCCCTAGGGATCTACGAACCCAAATCTAAGATTTCTTTGAATAGATTGTGTTGGCTTTTGGAAAATAACCATTGCTAAAAATTCCTCTTATGCTGGCTGGCAGGCCTCAGGCTATTACAAATCAAAACAGTTTGCAGTTAGCAATTAATTCAAAAGTGGATTTGAGCTTTCTTTTATACATGAGTTCCCAGTTCAGCCTGGACACCAACCAGCTTTCTCTTGATAGACATTTGATTTTGAATTTGTTTCTATCAGTCTTATATTGCCTGTTGGCAAAGTTTCTAGTTATTATTTTGTTTTGAATGGTTCGCAACAGCTTCGGGTTGTTTGACCTTGATAGCTATGTGTGAAAATAGATCTTAATTAAAGAAAAGGATGCAGCATCATCACTAAATTATAAGTATAGACTTGTCTACAGCAATCATTCGAAGATGCTATGATGGTAAGGAGCTAGATAGAAAAGGTCAAACCTGTGTCAACAAAAATCTTCATATCCATAAGGTTCCTCACACGCTGGTCATGGAAAACAAGAATTCCTTCCAAAATTATGACATCAGAAGCATTCACCTGACAATGTTTAAACATGGTACAAATGCATATAAGCTAGCCAACTTATTGAACTATCATCAATGAATTTACATTTTTTACAAAGCAACATTGAGCTTGATAACTAAAAGGAAGTATAAGCTCTACTATAAGATTGAAACAAACACCCAAAACAACTATTACAAGTTCATAATTAAATACATCTAGCTTCTTCCAGCATCATTATACAAAGTTCAACAAGGGACAAACTACCTGACGAAAACTATCCGAAGATCGACGATGATGCTTAAAATCATAGATTGGGACCTGAACAGAGTGCCCACTTTTGAGCTTCTGAATACAATCCAGAAGCTGCTCTGTATCAAAAGCATCTATACAAACAAAAAACCAATGCACAATCAAAACAATACCATCAATTATAAATTTATAACAAAAGACAACAAAATCAGCAAACAACATCAAATTAATATACCAGGATGATCAAAATTATACTCGTGCACGCGTTTTAACTCCTCAGCATTTAAACCGCGGTAAAACGAATCCTTCATACATAAAAAAGAAAATGTGAGCTAACAGTTCGGTAAAATTTCAGTTAATAAAAGAGCAAATTGACTTGAATTTGAACCTGATTGACAAGAACAACGCGGTGATCGTGAAGCTGTTGGATGATCAAGTCACAGACAGTCGTTTTACCAGAAGCTGTACCTCCTGAAACCCCTGAGTAATTACCAAAAAATAACTAAAGATCAAATTTTGGCGATTTTTATAAAAATAAAAAAAGCTTGTTTTTTTTATGTAATTGCAAGAATTGAAAGCAAAATTAGAGACAAGCAAAGGCTATCCAGAATAATATTGCGTTATTCATTAAAAAAATTTTAATTTTTTTTTCCTTTGTTCAGAAGAGAAGTGAAGTGAGGAATACCGATGACAAAGGGCTGATGAGGAGCGTTGGCCTCGGCAAAGGCGGAGGAGGAGGCAGAGGTGGCTGTTGGAGTACGGAGGCCGGAGAAGTGAGGCCCCGATGCCTTCTCCATAACGTAATCTATGGAGTTCGTCTCCTCCGGCATCGTTAAAAAAATTATTAAAATAATTCGAACTGAAAAAAAAAAGGAAAAAAGGAAAAAGAAAAGCTTGAAATTTCAACTCAACTGTTGAAACAGATATGCACAAGGAGGCTGCGCTTTGCTCTACTCTCACACTCAAAAGCTTATTTTTTTTCTTAATTTTTTGCTTTTTTTAGATAATTTTAGTGGAGAACGAATCAGATTATTCAGCAGAATATGCTGCGAGTTGGCCTATTTTTCTATTATGAGCTCAGCTTCTTTATTGGTTAATCAACTGGCTTTTGAAATTCTTTTTAAAGAAATGAGAAAAAAGAATCGAAAAAATTGAAAATTAATCTGAAATTATAGTGTTGGGTTGATGTGAATCTATTTTTTATTTGGTTTAAATTAAATTTAAATATTAAATATATATTAATTTAGGATTAAATTTTGAATTGATAAATGAAAATTAAAAAAATTAAATTAAATCGAATTATATATTTTTATTAATTTTTAAATAAAATAAAAATAATTATTTTATACCTAAAAATATTTAAATATATAAAAATTATATTAAAGTAATTTATAAAAATAAAAAAAATTAATTTTAAAAAATCGTGAATCAAATTGAATTCAATCTATAAATTTCAATTCAATTTTAAATAAAATTTTGGCTTGAATTCAATTTGAATTTTAAAAATCATAATTTTATACATTATAAAAAAAATTAAACTTAATTTGATTCGATCTAAATTATTAACCCTCCTAATTTTTATTTAAATTAATTAAGATGAAATCGAATCCATAGAATAATAAAAAGATAAAAACAATTAAACCTTTGATTATTATTATTATTATAAAAAATACTAAAAACAATTAAATCTTTGAAGGATCATAGCTGATTTTTAAAGAACTGAATAACTTTATTATACACAATATCCTTGGCGTTTATTCCCATAATGAAATCCGCATGGGCATAATCCTTGACGTACTGAATCATGAGCTTGTCTACATCATGGAACTTGAGACCATCAAGCAATAGCTGAACATCTTGAACATCAGACAGGGCATCTTGGCCTCCATAGCTAATGAAGATGGGAAGGTCATGAGGAATGTTGGAGATGTTGTAAATCGGTGGTCTGGCTTCTCCATAGTGCATCAGATTATAGTCTGGTCTGCCATAGTTGTACTTCGCAATTACCCCATCTCGAACAGCTGCAATTTGTTTCGTGGAAGCCTCTAGTTTTAGTCATTTGTAAGTGAACAAGCCACCAGAAAGATTACATGAAAAATTAGAAGGAAGAAAACTTGCCTATTCTAATATTCGTGTTCGTATTTGTTTATTTCGTATTTAACACATATAAAACACAGAAATTATCATATTATAATTCATGTTGACACATCAAAAACAAAACATGTTCTGAGCCAAGAAGGGTTGGGGGTTTCATAGACGTACTCTGAGCCAAGTGCACCATGTTTTTGGTTGCTGTGGATTGAGGCTCGTTCTTTATGAAAAGGTCAACCGTGGAGGAATTGAGACAGCAATTTTTACCTTGAATTACAATCACAAAATGAAATCAGTGTCTTCTAATGATTAGTTCTATAAATGAGTTCCAGTCAGATAATGAAAATCGTAATTGACAGCGTAAGAAAGTTACATGTTTAGTCTATACAAGCATTAAGATTCAAGAACTTAAGTATGGATCTGGTACCAGTAATTACACTTAATAGGTCATAGCAGTCAACTCCAGGATAATTGCACAAGGACTTGAGAAAGATTGACGCTTGCTGTCTGTCAAGAGCAGAGAAAAACCATTAGATGAAGTATTTTCTAGTGTAGGAAAACAGGTTTTCAGCTCTTGATTCTTACCCTTTTGGATTGAATTCTGCTACTCCAAACATTGTAGTGATCTGTTGTCAAAACCAATAAAATCCTTTAAGCGATTAATGTTCTGTTAAGTTGGATTAACTGGTACTGATGATGAAGAGAATGTTCCTTACAGACCTCACCAACAAAGGCTTTAGCAGCAACCACACCAAGTGCAGTGCTCATTTGGCTTAAGTATGCAATTGGGCTTAAAAAGGCTGCGGATTTCAGTGTGTCTGCCTGATGGCCTTCTGAGAAGGATGCTAAACCTATAAGAGTTCCCTGTCAACCAGAATGGACACATTACATTAAGGTTTTTGACATTGTATCAGCCTAAATGATCATTTGGTTACAAATAATAGCTTGTTAATGATTATAGGAAAGGTCAGAGTTGGACCAATTCATCAAAATGAAATGAGTGTTTCTCACCAGGGAATGACCAATGTAATGAATCTTTTTCCCTGTCTGGCTGAACACAAAGTCAAAAGCAGCTGGTAGATCATAACTCACCAGTTCATCCCATGACCAATTCCAGAACTCCTGCCATATTAACAGTTTCAACAATCTGTTAATCACCCTCTACTTCATATTCAAGTTTCCAGAGTGGAGACTGAAATATAATTCGCTTTATCAATATAAAAACTAGGAAGGGAAAGAAGAGCACCGGCTGGCCAGGGTCAAGGGAAACATGCTTTCTGCAGAATCTAGTCCCTCTAGTGTTAGCAATCCAAACATCAAAACCTTTATCAGCCAAAATCATTGGTAGATTTTGTTCTGGTGAATTCAGGAGCCATGCCATTCCATCCTGAAAACCAAACAAAACCAATGCAAATTAATTTTGAACATTTGGATCATTGCATAAATTTAAGCAGCTATATGTTGATGCTATCTCTAGAACATAAACAGACAAAAATTGCAGCCCCAAAAGTTTTTGACATTTGGCCACGTAAAGGTTCAGACAACTTTCAGATAGATATGTTGAATTTTGGGTCCATTGGACTTGAGCCTGAAACATCCCTTTCAGCCTCGTGAAACATAACAAACAGGGACAAAAGCCTAAATTATGCTTTGGAAATCTACATCCGCAGTATCAGTCGGCAATCGATTTATGTTTTGTCGTGGCTAAAACAATCAGATTTAACTGAACATATGAAAATTGAGCAAAAAGCTCAAGGATAATGCAATGAAAACATTAGCATTGTAAACAAGCAATAATCGTGCATGTTTCATGGCATGTTCCATGCGCGGTTTAACTTGCATTCAAAGCAAAAATGGAAGGAAGATGGCAGTAACGTCATGATTTAATCCTTTCGGGAACATTTACTTTAATTTGTTGTAATCTTTTTTTTTTTAATTTTCAAACACAAAACTACAAAACTTGGTGGTTATATAAACAAAATTGCACACGCCATTGCTGTTTTTAAGATGCTTGTCTGACACTAGAAAAATCTCATCATTTGCTTCTAACTTCTAAGAAATAACCGTTGCTCTAAGCTCTGACATCTGCGTTTACTCTTTAAGAAAGGAAGTGATTGACATATTAGCATATATAAAACACTTTCAAGAACATTATTTGAGATTATCTAATTGAAAACAAGTAGAAAATCCAGCATTTATTTGTCATTCCAAATAAGATCCACATTCAATAGGTAAACTGATAGAGTAAAAAAAAATCTAAAACTGAATTAAAGCTAATGCCACTTTTTAACCAGCCTATACCTCATATGATGGATATTTAGATTGAGGATAAGAAAAAAATATCATTGATGTTGGTATTTGAATCCAGATCTATTGGATGCCATTTCATAACTGCATGAACTAACGAGTTAAGTCTTAAATTTCACGTGATACATGTTAGCCCAAACAAAGGCAGACATTGTGCATAAATCAAGCCTAATCTTTTCTTTAAAGTGATCAACCTTCATAGCAATTGTAAAAGTTTCCCTTCAATAAGGGGTGGGTGAATAAGGGCATTCCCTCAGTGCACAAATTGAGTGCACGGCACATGTTCCTACTCAGGAAAGGATTTCGTTGAGAGGAATCATAAAATTTTCCAACAGTGAGTCAAGTTCACACCCAAAACACAATCAGTGTTATTATGACTGATTAATTCTATTACTGTATGCACTAATAAATGAGAATATTAAGCACATAAAATATATTCGAATGGTTAAAATTGAAATGTCAAGATTTCCTGAAAGATATTTTATAGGCACTGACTCACCACAAGGACACCATGTTGTATCAGTATTGGCTGCTTCTTGTTTCCAGTGCTAGTACTCCCATCGTCACGTCCCTCTGGAATTCTTTGCATATTAAGGATATAGCCATCTTGGGTTTTCACCTGAAAATAATTAATGCAAATAACCAATTTCATTACTCCCCATTAATTTCTCTGTCAAATAAGACCAAAAACTGATCTGTATCAATGTTGTTTGATGCTCTTACTTCATATTCCTTGCATTTGTAACCGTGGATAGTCACTGAGGTGGCGCATATTCCATTGGCTGCTGGAGTGGCCGGACCATTGTTTAGGCCAAACGAACCACGGCTCGAGCCATATGCTCTATGAGGCTCAACCACCAAGACCAGAAGGCATAAGCTCAACAGGGCCAAACTTAACAAGTCAGGAGGACCCATAACTTGCACGTTTTGGTTTGGCTATGTCTTTGAAGGATGTGGAGGCTAAAACCAATGGCTATATATAAAGAGAAAGAAAGAAGATAAAGCGGCACGCGCAGTGGGAACAAGACTTCTTGCCTTCGGATTAACTGAAAACTAAGATTTCTTGGGCTTAAATGGGGCGCTTTTCACGATTTTTCCTGTGAGAAGGGAAAAGAAAGTGGGACCTAAGATGGAGCTTTTTGTAGTGCTTTTTATCACCAACAAACAGGATATGGTAATCCATGAAACATCAAGGAAACTTATGTCACTGCTAAAATCCTGAAACTGATTGCAGGGGAGGCTTTAGCTTTTGAAAACTCCCTCTCTCTGTGGGAAGTTATTATAAGCTGAAGAATTTTCCTTTACGTAAATAAACAAAGGAAAATGTGGGGTCCCCATTATGACACTTGTTGTTTCATGTCATGTTCCATAATCAGGTTTAAACCTACAAATGGGGCAGCTAAAGATGCTTTTGAAGTTTGATTAGCTTAATCTTTTAACTTGATGTCACGAGTCAAACTACTCTAAAACTTTAAGATTTTCACTTCCACTTTCACTTTCATCTCTCACAATTCTAAAAGTTTTCAATGTTGGATCATTGTATATGTTGAAAGAAGGTTGCTGGCTTTCTGCACATCAAAAGCCTCTACCAATGTGAGACCAATTGCATGTTAATTTTGTCTCCCATGTGTATTTGTAAGCATTGGTTTCTCTATGATATTCAAATATAAGGAAAATATAAATAAACAGATGATAATAGCAGCTTTTCAATGCCAAAATTTCCAGAACTCTAACCAGAATCTTTACCCATGAAGCAATTTTCTTTTTGAACATGAACCAAGCTGAAAGGAAAAAAGATCACCTATGCCTCTGCTAAATCCATCAAACACGAACAGAAGCAATGCAATGGGCTGCATGTGGATAATCCTATTGAAATGAGCTTTTTACCTTTCACATTGTCTTCCCATAGGTGGATTTATAATCCAGTGTCAGTGATTGCTCCAAAACTAGAAACTGAAACTAGAAACAGAAGTATTCACTTTTCAGTTGCTGTTCTTTTCTAGTACTAAATCTTTTTCTTATCTTTATTTCTAGTAGATTGACCTTAGTACCTCAGTTTCAACAGTATGCTATGCTATTGCCATTATTGTCTTCTTTCTACAAGCTGCAAATTAGTACTTTATCGCAGTTAAAGTTTAGATTCATTTCATCAGCCATGCTTCTGGGAACATGGAAAAGTTTAAAGCCGCATGTAAATATTTATCCTGGTTGGTCAGGAATTCATTAGCCTGGATCTCCATCCTATACTACCAGGTCAAGATTTTCTGCCTTTTGGGTTTTGTTGCATGGCCTTATGTCAAGATGGGCTCCTCTATCCCTGTAGGTTTGGCAATTATATCCTTTTGGGCCCAAGAAGAGTTTAACCCATTCCATAAATTGCCCAGATCCTTGCTTTTATCGGGTGCCACCTCATCGTCTGACAAGCTGTTTACCAAAAACCAAATGTCAAAGATTCACTGTAACTTCCTTAGTAAAACAGGAAGCAGCTATGACAGTGTTGACCCAATGACACTGACCAAAAATATTGGTCCCAAGGGCATTCGGGGAAAAAAGCTCCTATCCTATGTCAAAGTCTATACCAACTTGCAATGTCAATCAGATCTCACGATTTTGTTCAAAAAACCAGTGCAGGATAAAAATAAGATGAAGACTTAAATACTGAATCAAACTTTCAACCTTTGATACACAATCAATGTGAAATTCATGATCCTTTTGAGATCATGACCCTTGCATGTTAAACATGTAACAATCTATGATAACAACAAGCAACTAACATTTAAACAGCAACGAGAACTAAGCCTGTACATAAAACCTCAGTTGCATAAAATAATAATAATAATAATATATTCATTACAAGGGTCATTTACGATTTTTCCTTTGATTCTTTTGCCTTTTTATTAAAGGACACCTGTTATGTATAGACTTCCTGTGGAAAAGAAAATTTTCACCCTCAGGTTGAATGAGATGGTGAAATCCTAGTAAGAGTTCTGCATCAAAACAGTTACTGGGCTGCTTTTTACATGCCTATGTAACAGTGACGCCAAGACTTCATTAAATCTCACAAAAATTTGAGGTCTCCAGCACATGAGCTCTGGGAGTCGGGATCCAGGCTTGGTAAATGGATGGAAATTAAGGCTTATCATTTACAGCTATTGCAGGGCTCATCATCTTCTTCTTCCTCTCACTAAAACTACTGCACGAAACCAACCTTGGAAGGCAACACTGTGCAGACCTAGGCTTCTCCATAAAAATAGGGTTATCTCCATCTGCGGTCCTATCACTACTGCACAAGGAGTTAGCTCCAGAGACATAAGGGGTACCATCTGAAGATTTTGGAGGTAGTATGTTTCGGATGGTTGGTTTGACTTCCATCTTTCCATTGGTAATGTCCTGGCTGCTTGACGTATTTAGCTCATTAACATCTTGGTCTTCTCTAATGTTATCTCGGAATAGTTCAACCAGCTTCTTTTTCTTTCCTGTTGGGGATGATTCAGAAACTAACCCAGGTGATCCTTCCTCAGTGGCCTTGTTAACTTGAGGTGTCCTCGCAGAGAAGCTATGATGAACTGGTGTATTACCACCAGATGGAGTGAAATCTGCATGCAGATGTAAAACACAATAATAGACCAGAAAAATATGTGTACTTAACTAGAAAATGATTGGCAAAAAGGAGAAAAAACATAGAAAATGGCAATGGAGGTAGCACAGTCATATTACAGCAGGACTTAACAAACATTTTGATCTTTACTCATAAAACATCCAACGCAACATTGTCAAAACTATTGCAACTTAACAACTTATTTTAAATTATGGAAAACTATGAGTCCTGTAAGAAACACCAGAAAAGAAATCAAAATATAGGGAATTATATGAGCTTGCTAGATGAATTAATACAAACAGTTCTAATATTCTTACCACCATTGACACTGAAGAAATCATCCTCACAATCTGAATCTAGCCATGCTCGGGAATCAAAAAAAGTTTCATCTTTACTACCTGCAAAACGCAAATCATTTCAGCTTCAAGCATTTAGATAGCATAGAACAACGAAGTTAATGCAGGAGCTGATTGATGTACTTATCATAGGAAGTACATTAACATGATATTGAACACTACTATTATATAATAATAGATCTATTTTTTGATTTCACATTATCTATTATATTCTAACTCATTGATTTAATTTTAAACATTTCCATGTGTTGATTTTGCATAGTTTTCAGGAGTGTTTGCATTTCAATTGCAAAACAGCAAAAATCTAATATCTAGGGAGAAGCAGTCAAGTCAAAACACAATTTTCTGAAACTGTTGCATCCAAATTCTCGATACGATCTCAATTTGATGTTAACAAGACATACCACATAGAAATGTTTCTTTTCTAAAGAAGTCCTACCCCAAAAGATAACAAAATGTCATCGTTGACAAGGATGTCATCACTTTGATTTTCTACAGACATAACATCAACACCAGCAGTCCATTGACTCAAAGCCAAGTGTATTGCACTGAACATAAACTCTACATGTAGTAAACCACAACATAATCCACAATTTGTCCTTCTTGGGGTTTCTACATCCATCTTAATATCAAATTATTTAAACTAATATCCATGGAAAAACCTTGCTTAAAACTGCTTGCCTCGCCTTACTAATAAAGAATAATCTATCCATAGACAAGTTTTCCATCAAGGGCAGATAAATCTACCATATGGTGCACTTTTCTAAATGTGGAACCAAAAAAAAAAAGGGCCCCACAAAGATGCATACCTTCAAAAATCAGACAAACTCTCAAAACAGCCATTTAGGATAAATCCAGGAAGAAGATTGTTAATCTACCATAGGAGGAATACAGCTATTTCTCTGTTACAATTCTCATCTTCAATTGGAAGAGTGGAAAATTTGGCATTTAATAGTAACCTAAAATTACAAAGTGATATGTTAACAAAAATAAAGAAGAAAACTGAACTCTAAACCCAAATTAATTAATAAACAACTTAAAGCTACTATCATAGAGGGGGATGGGGAAGTCAAAGAAAGAGTCTAAATCATCTAAGAAAAAGAAGGGAATCCTAAATTTAAGATCAGATAGAAGAGCTTGAACTAAGATAATAGTGAAAATGCTCTTAAATGTCCCCAAAAAAGCAATTCTGCATTGTGCTAAGAAACCACAACATGGAGGAAAAAGATCACAAATTTAAAAAACAAAAAGAAAATGCCACCATGTCTATCTCACAGCCAACAGAGCTAAGCCCAATTTCATTAGGCATATCATTCATGGCAGGCATTGAAAATAATCATAAAAATCAATAACAAGAAGTATCATCTTTCAGCAAACTAGATACCAATATCAACATGTTGGTAGTAACAAAAATAACAACTTTGACAAACCACATGCCCATTTCAAATCTCACATAATCAAAATAAAACATCATTCCTAATCAGAAACAGTGAAAAAAAACTGAAGAAGAAAAAAAAAAACCAAAGGATTGCCTTTTCCTCATAACTAACCAAACTAACTCAAAGAAGTTTTTTTTTTTTTTTAATTTCTCCAAAACAACGAAAAGAAAACCACTCACCATTGGCAATAGGTTTCTCTTTAAGAGTTGAAGGTGGAATGATAAGCTTTTCTGTTTTAGACCCAAAAGAAAGCCCAAGTTCCATGGCTGACTCTTGAGAGCTCTTATGTACTGATACACATGAACCCATCTCTCTCTCTTTTCTTCTTTCTTTTTCTCCGTCTCCAACTCTTTAGAACCCCAACATCAGCCACTCACAAAGCAAAGAAAAAAAGATGGAAACTTTCTTTTTTTGTCAATGGCCTCTGTCACCCAGAAGGCAAAAGTAAAAGAAAATGGACAGAGATAGAGAAGAGCGTTGTTTGGCGTTATGTTAAAGGAGTGAAAAACCCTGTCTTTTGAGAGAGAAAAGGATATTAGCAAAGGAATTGGCAAGCAGTGCATGAAAGAGTCTTTTGTTTTGTTTTTTTTTTAATTTATTTATTTATATTAGTAGTACTGTTTGGCAAAGCTATAATTTGAAACATTATGGTTCGATATGAAAATAATAATAAAAAATATATAAAAATAATATAATTTAAAATTTTAAAAAATTATAAATAATTTTATTAATATTAATATTTTATATTTTATATTAACACACACATGATTTTTTATAAAATATTTTATACTATACGATAATTCTAATTATCTTGCCTTTGTTATAACATTGTCAAGTGGTCCCCTTTCAATGGATATTTACACCTGTCGGACTCACTTTAAGTTTTTGTGATCGTTCTGAATTGTATAAAAGGTTTATTTTCAGAAACTCCTTTTATGCTTTATTTGATGCGACGGATGAAAAAAAGTGGAGGGTGAGAATTTTATTAATTATTAAATTATTAAGTTTTTATTTTTATCTCTTTTCATTCTTTTAATCTAGCAAAATTTTAATGAGAATGTCCAAAAGATTCAATAATTGTAAAGATGATAGAAGATACAATTAAAAAATAATATGAAATATATATATAAATGATATAATTAAAATTTTAATTAAAAAAATATGTATTTAAAATATGAAAATATTTAAATGTATTTATATAAAATATTATATAATAATTTTTATATTTTATACATATCTAATACGAACAAATATATATATAAATAATCAATTCTTAAGCTATTTAATCACTTTTTCGTAAGTTATAAGTATTCATTGATTGAATTTGATTGAATTCAGGTCAAATTTTTGTTTAATATTAATAATTTATATATTTATTCATATTTAACTTAATATTTTATGTTTAAATTTTTTTTTTAAATTCTATACATATTAAAAAAATTTTAAATACACTTGTTAAGTTCAATTTATATAATATTATTTTTTTAAAAAATAAAAAATTTTATATATTTATATAATTATAATAATTTAATTATATTTATGTTATTAAAACCAAACTAAATCAAGCCAAACATGGACTTTAATTCTTATATCTTAAGTCCTAACTGTAAGATGCCTTTTTTTCCAAATGTGTGTGCTAAACAACTTGGGATTTTCATTTTCTTCTGTTATTTTATTGAATTTTGGGCAAAATTCCAAGCTTTGAATTTCGCAGCTAGTATATAGAATAAGATACCCAAGTATAAAAATAAACTAAACAAACATATGGACAGTTCATCTCTCCCAAATCATATGTTTAATAATTGTTGTTTTTTAATTGTGTAGATTTATAAAAGTAAATGACTGAGTTTAAAAAAAAAAAAAAAAAGTAAGCAAACTTTAGGATTTATGATACTAGGTGCCACAGGATATGATCAACCTGCTCATCAATCTGTTTCGAAAGAAAAGTTGGATTAAACCATTTAAAATAATCAAGATTGTTAAAATATGTCATAGCTCCAATTTCTATGAGAAAATACAAAATAAAATTCTATCAATATCAACAGGAAACAATCAAAACAAATATAAAATAAATACGCATAGAAATATCCTGAGAAACCTGTGTGTCAGGGTACAAGCTTGATTAGCAATCATGTTTTTAGTGGGACAGGGAAGAGTACAAGCTGGAGATCAGAAGATTACACCTTAATTCTGGTTTGGAAAAAAATCCAACAGAAGTGGGATCGCTTGCTAATCCCCATTGTTTCATTGAAAATGATGGAAATTTGGTGTGCATGAACAGATCACAGATAACAGATGGAGGTTTTGCAGGAGCAAAAGTGATGGTTAGCTGAATTATTTAGGAATTTAAAAGAAAATTTTATATAACGCATATAAATTTTTTCAAATTTATAATCTTTAAACGTTGATTATAAAATAACATCAACAGATGTAAAGATAAATCATCAATTATTTAGGGATTTTTGGTTGACAAAAGAAACTGAAAGCTGGACTGCTGGGCCTGGGGCTGGGGGGCCTTTCAATAAAGTTCATGATTTTCAATTTCTTCTTATATTAAGAAGTTTGGTTTGTATCTTTTTCACAAAATTTATACTCTTTTTTTAACTCTATGGGCCTTTTTTTATTTTAGTTTTTATAATGTGTTGCTCATCAGCCAAGTCCATATTGATCTAAGTGAGCAGCATACAATTAATCTCCACAAATTATTGGCTGATTACGCAAAAAAAATCTGTTAAAAATCTGCCTTTACTAAAGGTAGTGATCAATAGGATGGTGTATTTGTTTTTGTTGCTTTTGATATAGTTGTTTTCTTCTTTATTTTTTTTCATTTGTGTGAGTAAGCTAAATTTGATAACTTAAAACATGTTAAAGTGATACGAGATAAAAATAAAATATGAAAATAATATGATTTAAAATTAACAATAATTATATATTGTTAGAATTTTTTTGTAAGTGGATTATTATTAATTGATAATTTTAATTTAATAAAATTAACTGATTGATATAGTTATAATACAAGATGAGTATAAGAGCTTAATTAATTTTATATGATCACTTAAGTATGAGTTTTATATATTTTACTGAATCAATATGATTTCGTTGTTATGTAAGCTTTTAGCTTGATAAATTTTTAATTGGGAGATTATCAGGGTTACTTAAATACAGATTTGAGATTTTTTTTTCACTTTTCATATTTGTTAATTATTCATAAAAAAATTACTACAAAAAAAAAGTAAAAAAGAAGATTATATTCACTTTGGGATTGATTGCTTTAGTAATTTTACAGTGATTTTCTAAATAAGTATACTTGATCTTAAATTTATACTTTCATATATGAATTTAATAAAATTAAAATAATATATTTTATATTTTTTAATCAAAATAAATAATAATACATAATTTTTATATAAAATATATTATAAATATATGAATTTTAATATTTTATATGATATAAATATAAAAAAAATGAGATATAACTAACCGAAAAAAATATATTGCCCGAAATTCAGGGTTAAAGTTGATATTAATTAGCTGAGAAAAGACAAATTGCATGGCAAAAGTGTTGAGAACACATGGGGTGTGGAGGGATCCAATCAGCAAGAAAATTCCAAATTCCAAGAGATGCGAATGTGGAAAATGGGAAGCCACCAAAGTTGTCTGTGGCTCTAATACCAAAAAAACTGATATGCATTTAACAAATTTCTATTAGGCCAACGCCACGCGTAATGTCTCTCTGTCTGGCGGTTTCAGCTTCACATTCACAAAACTTGTAATATCTTGGAAAGGATTTAGAATGTCAATCAATCAAGCTTTCAATCATGAATCATGCAGAAAATTTATCAGGGATATGTCGGCAACGTCACATAATCGCTCTGTTTGATTTCATGATTAAGCCAGCCTTCTTTTATGTTTGAGAGATTAAATAATATATTAATATTCGTATATTATTGGAAGTTAATTTAAATAAAATTTAAATTTAATTAAATTATTACAAATTGAATTTAAGTTTGAATAGTTTAATTTATTAAATGTGTTAAATTTAAATAATTTTTTAATTTAATTTAATTTTTATATATTTTATTATTTTGATTAAAAAATTATTAGTTTACTAAAATATATATATATGAATTTAAATTCGAAAATAAATAATTACATTTAAAATTAAATATGATAATCAAAATTTTTTATATTTGATAAATAAATTTAATTGATAGAATTCGAATAATTTAATTTTTAGTTTTAATTGAGATTAAATTTAAATTAAAATTTAATCATATTTAATTAAAATCTAACTCAAATTTAAATTTTTTACCATTCGATTGCACCCTACAAGTGATTCACACCAATTTTACTTTAAATAGGGTTTCCTCCAACCCAAGCACACAATACGAAAAGATGAAAGCCCAATGTTTTAACATTTGATTGGAGCTTGAGAAAGGGTCTAAGTAGTTAGCCTCCTGCTCTCTTTCTACGACCCAATTTTGCAAATCCACTGTCTTCCCAACCAAACAAACAATAAGAAAAGCCCAACATGTAGCTTTGGGCTTATATTTTTGTCGATAATTAGTAATTGGCATCGTTTCTATGAAAAGAAGAAAATTTTGTTGATTAGTGACCTTGCCGTATTATTAAAAGTTCGCATTTGAAGGTTGCGAGAAATAATTTAATTGTGTTATAATTTTTTTAGTGTAAAATGTAATTGATCGAGTTTGAATCGATACAATATTAAATTTGAGTTTGAGTTTGATTCAAAATTTGAAATTCGATATTCAATTTGAATTCGATCAAATTTAATTTTTTTAACTTGAGCTTAACTCGAGATAGAAATCGAGTTATTCGAATTTACTCAATTAGGTTCGATTAATATGTAAAAATAAATTCGATTCTTAAATTCGATAAAAGTTAAATTATTTATGCTTAAGCTTGAGTTTGAGATATTTTATTAATTAAAATAATAAAAATATATTTAAATATAAAAATTTGATTAAATTCGTGAGTTATTTAAATTAAATATAAAAATATTTGAATTTAATTTAATCGATGAGTCGATTTATTTGCATTTAAGTTCGATAATAATCAAATCGAATTTAAATTTTATTCAAATCAAAATAATTTATGAGTATTAATATATTATTTATATTATAACAATAATAATAATAAGGGTTTTAAAAGAAGATTAAATACTTAAAAAGGAGAAAAAAGAAAAAAATTTGTTAAGACTTGGTAAGAACGTCGACAACTTAAACTAAGACACGCCACCATTTTACCCCTGGACATCTACCTCAACTCCGTTGAACTTCGAGTTTGAACGACCAACTCTTCAAAAAAACCAGACAAAACAACTGCAAACAAACCCCCCCCCCCCCCAAAAAAAAAAAAAACAACACAGAGTCAAATTGGTTCAGATCCCAAAGATGGGTGTAACACCAAAAATCGCTCCGTCCATGCTTTCATCGGATTTTGCTAACTTGGCATCAGAGGCAAAGCGCATGCTTGACTTTGGAGCTGATTGGCTTCACATGGATATCATGGTAAAAGTTTTTAACTTTGCTTTTTTATGGATTCTTAAAAGAAGAAAAAGAATTTCAAAATTCTAACCCTTTTTCGGTTTCTGGGTTGTGTTCTGCAGGATGGGTATGTTTCATTGCTTTGATAAAGTTCTCTCCTCTAGGATTTTGGTTCTTTATCTTTCTCCTTCTCAACTTTCGGTTTTGTTATTTTTGTGATTGGTTTTTTGAAGCCTTGTGTTTCTATCATTGAAGAAATCATTCATCATCAATGGCATGTGAAATTTTTAAGAATTCTGTACTTATGCTGAGGATATACTTATATGTCAGGAAATTGAGGGACTTGCTAACCTCAGTTGTTAATAGCTTGAAAGGTTATTTGGAAACATTGGAATTTTGGAAAGTATGGTGGTTCTTTGTTGATGGAATGGAAAATGACATTCATTAATTGTTTAAATTGAATAAATTTCTGTGCTTTTAATGACTAAACCGATTGTTATATGAACTTTTGAAATTGGATTGGTTTTTGCACAATGCCAGTTATTCATGTTCTTAAGTTTTGTTCCATAACTTGCTATAGTTATTTGGTGGTGATTTCTTATGTTCTAGTTAAGACGAGCTGTGCTTTGCATTATTTATTAACAACCTAGTCTTTTCTGTTTCTATTATTGGGTACTTCTAGATGCTTACTTGTTCATTGTTATATTTTATATAGGCACTTTGTCCCGAACTTAACCATTGGTGCTCCGGTCATTGAGAGTTTAAGAAAGCACACAAAGTAATGATCTTTGTGCCCTGGCAGTATTTTGGCTTTTCAATATAAGCAAGTTTACAACTCTAAATAGATCAAGGATTCTTCTTCTCCTACAGGGCATATCTTGATTGCCACCTTATGGTCACTAATCCTATTGATTATGTTGAACCTTTGGGTAAAGTTGGTGCTTCTGGTTTCACTTTTCATGTTGAAGCATCCAAAGGTGGGTTCCGATGTGTCTTCCTTTTTCGATTTGTTTTACTTCCTCCCAACTTATATACCTTTCTATTCCTTGTTTCCTTATGCCAATATGTTGTGTCACCTTTTGCAGAAAACTGGCAAGAACTTATCCAAAAAATTAAGTCAAAAGGCATGAAACCTGGTGTGGCATTAAAGCCTGGAACACCAATTGAGGAGGTTTATCCTCTGGTATGAATTCCTTCCTTTTCTTTGATTTTTGAGCTATTGAATCTGCTGTTCTAGCTTGTTCTCAGTATTTAATGGGGCTGTGTCTAATTCTTCAGTCTCTCTTAGGTGGTATAATGTGATTCTATTTTTTCTCTTGGGTGGGGGATTATTTAATAGGTTGACTGTGAAAATCCAGTGGAAATGGTTCTTGTGATGACTGTAGAACCTGGATTCGGTGGACAAAAATTCATGCCAGAAATGATGGATAAGGTACCATTTCATTCTTACTTTTTTTCAATTTTATTTCAGAGCTTCTATTTTTTTTTTGAATGACATTTTTTACTTGCTTTTGAAGGTGCGTGCTCTAAGGAAGAAGTACGCATCACTTGATATAGAGGTAAGTAAAGTTCTCACCTTTGTAATATTCTAAACCTTTTAATCGCTCAAATTTGCAATGGTTACTTCTTGAGAATACCTATTTTTGGGAACATCTTATCCTGCGTTACTTACATGACCGCCTGCTGAAGTATTTGTGGCTTTGTTTTACAGGTGGATGGTGGTTTAGGGCCTTCAACTATTGATATGGCTGCTTCAGCAGGAGCAAATTGCATCGTTGCAGGTAGTTCAGTGTTTGGAGCTCCTGAGCCAGCTGCAGTTATATCCCATATGCGAAAGAGTGTTTTGGAAAATGAGGAGAAATGTTAACATTGTTACAGGCAAGATAAAGCATGTGTTTTTAATTGAGCAAATGTATACAGATTGTACCATTGATTGGTCTCACATGATAAGTTTTGAAATTCAATAAAATGATACTAATATTATCCGAGGCTGCTTTATCATCTAATAATATGACCTGTTAAAGAGCTGTATGTATTACAAACCTGCCTACAAAATATGGTTGAATGATGTCTAGGCTTGTAACTGTAATATGCATATTTTGAGACATGGTTTTCCCACAAATTTTGTCATTTATTTTCATCTGCTGTATCTATTTAGTAATACCTGTTGTTGTCACTTTTTACTTCATTTCAAACTTCACCTTCTTGTTTCTATATGCCAAAAATCCAGGGGACAAAAGAAACTAGAATTCTAGAGGTATGAGCTGTAAATTTAGCTTGCTATAGGCAACTTTCTGTGCTAATGTTGTCTGTCACTTGCTTGTTGCCTTAGGGTTTATCATCTTTTCCTTATACTCTATTCAGGAATTGCTAGTCAGAGATCCAATTTTATGCAAAACTCTCACAAATAGAGATTCAAATTTATCAAATGCTTTGAGATTCAAATCTTTTTCAGAAAAACCAAATCTATTCAGAGTCATTAAGCTGAAACCTGTGAGCTGGAGATGTAGTTAAACAGAATTTGGAGATGATTCTGGTAATGTTTATATAAAATGGAGTGATTCCAATTGAATTTGGGGAGGCTGAGGATCAGTCTTGATGTAGTAGTGGCATTACAATATATGCACCAGATTATGAACCCAAGCTATGTTCATAGAAATGTCAAGAGCAGAAATATCTTCCTTGATGAAGATTTCAATGCAAAGATTGGGAACTCCGCTTTGGCAAGGTGTGTTGAAGATGATACTGAGTATCCTGATCATTCAACTGACCCTCCCACTTTGAGCCTGGGTTATCTAGCTCCTGAATATCTTTACCAAGGTGTGATTTTCCCAGGCATTGATATTTTTGCTCATGGGATAGTTTTGCTTGAGATTTTATCCAGGAAACACCAGTAAGCAGACCTGATAAGAAGGGAGAAGGAAATGTTTGGCTTTCGGAGAAAATCAAGGCCATATTACAGTTGGAAAGTGCAGACGAGCTAAGGAATGGATGGACAGTGCATTAGGGGAGAATTGCTCATTTAAAACAGCTGTGACATTACAAATCTTGCTAGAGCTTGCACAGAAGAAGACCCCTCTTTGACACTGAGTGCTGGAGAGATCGTTGACAAGTTATCAAGATTGGTGGAAGAATCACCAGAAGGGGAACATATGTTGGTCTGTGAAAGCTCCTGCAAACCTTTGGTAAAGCCATCAAAAACCAAAATGTGAATATAGCTACTGCTAGTTCTAATTTTTGAGCAATTTCTAAATGTTCTGCAATCTTTGGCTCTTAGCCTCTTGTCTTCTTGATAAGGGTAGTGGGATCCTGTACATATATAGGCATGTATTCTCTACATTTACTGAAAAAATGATAAATCATACAAGTACTCATATGTTGAAAGAATCTAAGATTTCATATAATTTATAAGCTATGAAGCAAATGGTTGGGACTTTTTGTTGAGCACAGCCTCATGTTTCTTCATTGAAGCCTATGCTTCATCGAAGCTAGACCATAGAGTATAGACAGAAATTCTATAATCAAAAGGTGATTATTTTATAGTAAGGCTTGTAATTAGTGGCATGGTTCACATTCAACGGATCACCACATTGGAGTATCGAACTTGGAAATCCTTTGCCCTTGTTTTGAGGTTAAAAAATGTCGACTATCTGATAGTTTTTTGGTGGTTGAGTCACATAAGCAGACGGGACCCTGTAAAAATGCTAATTATATTCTAATAATGGGCCAATTGCTGAGCCCAATCTGTTGGGGCAGTCGAGGCTTTTATCTCTGTCTTGGGCTAACCTAAAGTTCCAAATTGGGCCATCGAGTCTATTGGCTACGTGGCGGAACTAAAAGCAAGCATGATAATCCGCGCCTTTGACTCTTGCAACGAGATCCACGTGTCAGTCTTTAAACTATCGACAACTCCACGGCACCCCAAGCGCCGACAATTTACACGTGAACTTTCCTCTTCCTAACCACAGAATCAGACCGTGACAGCACGACATTTTCATGGTTCAAAACAACTTGATTTTTTTCTTGTACTCAAATAACAAATCAAAAACTGACAGCTATCATGAAAAAATCGTAGTTTTCTCAAAATTTCGCACTTTTCTCCCCACAAAAGAAAGAAAGATCCTCTCTTTCGTTAACCCTACCGCTACTATGTCGTGGCTTCTCAAACTCCGTGTAGCCACCGCGGCCGCTTCCTCCGTCGTGAACCCACTCCGACCAGGGCTCCGATTCTTCGGATCAGCCGCTGCGTTGGAGCTTGACTACGACTATGAGTACTACGAGTACGAGCATGCTCACCGGGACCGGCGCCCGGCTCAACCCAAGGTTGACGTGGATAGCTCGGCGCCAGAGAGGGGTGTCCAGTGGGTTCTTATAGGGGAGCCTGGAGTGAAACGGCATGCTTATGCTGAAAGGCTTTCAAAGCTTCTAGAAGTTCCTCATGTTTCAATGGGTACCCTTGTTAGACAAGAGCTTAATCATTGCTCTTCTCTTTACAAACAGGTCTCTTTTTTTATTTTTTTTATCTCTTTTATTGGAATTTTTCTTTTTTTGTTTGTGAATTAATTTGGGCCTTTTCAAAGTTCGGGTTTTTTTTTTTTTATGTAGAAAAAGTATAGATTTTTATGAGTGTTGATTGTACTAATTGTGTTGATTATGAACATTTTATAATACATAATATAATGAAGAATGCTAATTGTTGCTGTCATTTGGGTTTAGATTGCAAATGCAGTGAATGAAGGGAAGCTTGTTCCAGAGGATGTAATTTCTTCTTTGTTGTCTAAGAGACTTGAACAAGGTTACTATGGAGGTGAAAATGGCTTCATTCTCGATGGGATTCCTCGTACCAGGATCCAGGCTGTAAGTCACCTATGATTTTGATGGCATTTACATTTTTCATTTCTTCGTGTTTATAGAACAATTTTATATATATATATATATATATATTATTTTTTTTTGTGGTTAGAGCAAATCATCTCCTTTTGGTTCTAAGCTTTTTAGCTGAATGAAATAGTCTGCTATATATTCTCTTTTCTTTTTGCTTTTTATGTGTCATTGAAATGCTTTTGCTCCGTTTTTTTTTTTTTACAGGAGATTCTTGACCAAATTGCTGATATTGATCTGGTTGTGAACTTTAAATGTACTGAAGAATACATGAGTTCAGAGAGTGAGTTTCTTCACATAGGTAACTCTAAGGATGTAGGAAGTTCCTGGACTGAAAATGTCCATGTATGCTCAGAGCAGGTAATATTCCTGTTTGATATGGTTGCCAAATGTTTGCAAGGTATTTTTATTAGGTAATAATCCATCGAACATATTCTATACTGGCTGTAAGGTTTTCCATATTTTCTAAACATATAATGCTTTTGGGGCTTTTGTCTGCTGGATCATCCATTGGTCTGGTACCTGTTGTTTATTAGTCTTCTTCACTATTCATTGACTAGTGAAATGTGTTGCACAAAATTTCATGATAAACTATTTGATTCTTGGTTAAACCCTATATACACCCCTGTAATTTGCCATTTTCTCACTTACACTCCATGTGGAAATTTTTTCTCACTTATAACATTGTGGATCACTTTCGTTACCAGAAAAGTGTAACACATTAAAAAATAAGGGTAAGGATAAGTTTGTAATTTCACTCAAATCTGGTTGATTTTTGTCACCGTTATCGCTTTCTGGTAACCAAATTGAATCACAAGGTCATAAGTAGGAAAAAAATTTCCACACGGGTTGTAAGTTGGAAAATTGCAAACCATAGGGATGTTTTGGAATTTTACCCTTGATTCTTTGAAATGAGGATGGAAGGTGGGAATTTTTTCCTAACCAAATAATCTTGATCTTCACAGGCCAAGTCATTGGAGGATTACTACAGCAAGCAAAAGAAGCTTCTCAACTATCAGTTGGCTGGTGCACCAGGAGATACATGGCAAGGTCTATTGGCTGCATTACGTCTGCAGCATATGAATGCTCTAAGTCCTTCACAGAAGCTGACAGCTTAACTTTGTTATTCTTTAAATCCAGTAGTTACCTTAATTAATATTCCGGCATGGTAGTAAATACGTAACAATGAGTGATAGATAAGTTTTGATTATGGCAAACACCCAAGTTGGATTTGCCTCGAATTTTTGTTTCCCTTTTCTGAGATACTATGCAGTTTTATAGTACGTAATGCAATATGGCTAGAGATGATTTTTGGCCTGCATGACCATTTATAATATAAAGGATGCACTCTCTTTTCATTTACATCGACATTTTATTTTCCTTTTCCTTTATGTTCCGACCACTTCTAACGCATCTGATTTTGTCATATTCTCTCTTGGAATTCATGTTATCCGGCGGTGGTTCTCTTTATTCACCCTTTAAACCTGTGGGGTAAGGGGGACGCCACTGCTAATTGCACAGAAATCATCTAAAACCGAGAGGAATTTTTTTCCAGAGTTATTTTGTATGAGACCCTCCATTTATTTGATGTGGCAAAAACTACAAGAATGACGAACCAAAATTTACCCACAGATTTACAGCTCAGGAGAATAAAGGCAGTTTCAACCCTTTCCACACGTGAACATAGAATTTACAATCATTCCGACTTCATCCATACATCTCTTAGGAGTTCATATCTAATAGTATTTTGATAGCCATTTCCCTGTGATATCCAGTTAGGCTTTGATTGAACAGGTGATGATTGGAAGCCATTGATGAAGATGGAAGCCAAGGGTGAATTCAATTCATCCAGCTCATCATCGCTTTTGTATGATTTTCTAAGGACTAAGGCACTCCTCGGCTGAGATTGGCTTCCAACTTCTCCAATGATGCTAGCAATAGATGTTGCTGAAGTTGGTGAATAAACAGGGGGAGATGCAACACATGGAAAGTTTGATACAGATCCATCCCTGACTTCAACAGGATCCTGAAGGAAAATAGAGGCACAAAGGTTTTCTTCATATCTTCAAAGGGCTATTATGTTATCAAACCAACTAGTAGAAGAAATCATTATACAATAGTCTACTATTCTAATAAAGTTCTTTGCCTGTGTATTGCATATACGTGTCAAGCACACTAATAAGTTCATGAATCTTTTGAGGTTGAGTTAGGTGCACATGGCAAAAGTCTAATCTAGGAGTACTTCCAGATTTTATGACTAACCTCAGCCTCCAGGACTTCAAGCACAACATCTGGAACTGGATCAGGGCAAAACATGTCTGGGACAAAGTTATCAAGAACTCTCTTGATCAATGTTGCACCAAATATTGGACACACCTTAGAAAGTAAAGAAGGCAGTATGAATAAACAGCAATGTAATGACCATTTGAACCCCGGAGATTAAATAAAAAGTCTAAAGTTAGGGTGCCACACCTCTTCCCTGATAGGTCTACTTAGAAGCATGTCCTTGGGAAGCATCATGAGATCATTCAATGCATTAAGGAGATGGAAAGACTGAAAGGAAGTGTCTTGTCGCTCATCACTATCATCCTGGTCATTCTCATCTTCAACTGAGTCATCGTCCATACCAAAGAGGTCAGTCAACCATCTAGACCAGTTTCCAATCTGACATCCACAAAAATGAAATCCAACGAGAATTGCTTTACTTCAGAGGAGAGCACCGACAAGGAGTAACATCAAAAGTCTGCAAACCTAGATTTAACTATCAGTGCAGAATGGTTATGACTTATAAATTATGATAGCATAATATAAAATGATCTCACTCAAAGATTAACCTCGAGACTACCACATTTGCATTGCTTACCGCATTTTTCAGTTGTGCACCAGCACCAAAACTTGTTTTCCCAGCCAGAATGGGAAGCACCAGAGGATCACTAATGGGGTCAGACACAGGATCAGTAGGGATCTCATCACCGGAATCACAAAGAATGGCATTGAACATAGCCACATCTAGTCTAGCCACACATTGCTCCATTATCTAGATGCATGATATGGATGAATTATAACATATTTAATTTAAAAGAAAAAAAAATCATCAGAGTAAGGAAACAACAGCAGTGATAGTTCCCGATAAGATGACAAAGCAACCATCAATGCTTGCATAAAGTCTCTTATTGTATACAAAAAGCTTAATGCTCATTTAAATATTAATATACTGACAAGAAAGCTGATGGTTTCAGATGCCATTGTCCTCCCACTACAAAATATATTGTTAGTGTGCCATGCTTGAGTGCCATTTAATCAATTCCTCAATAAAGCAAATTACCAATCTAGACAGCAAACACAACACTCATGCCCCACAGCTCAAACTGGGCAAAGTCTTTCACAGGCATCCTTGAAAGCCTTCTTCCAATGATCTAATGAAAAGTTCAATTGGTCTTGAATACTTGCACTAGATATCCTCCCATAACTTTTACTTGAGGCAGAGTCCATAACTCTATCAATTTCCTTTCTAGCTGCTGACTGCATATGTGGAGTGAGAGTCTGAGGTAGAAACAAGGAACATAAGTTGGTCAGACAACTACCTGAGTTTGTGGCATTCAATGTGTCATCGAGTATTTTGTGGAAAAATTTGGCCAATATAAGGGGAGAAAACAGTTAATGTATTACCTGCCACCAGACAGACTTGATGATTCTGGAAAAGATCCATGCTTCAATCCTTTCCAGGGCTGAAGTCAAGGCAAGTGGGTTGTCCCAGTCACTAAAACTTCCATATTAGATAAGTTTATTTTCCTTTCTTCCAGGAGAGGATTCTTTCCATTTCAATGGAGATGCCACCTGTTTATTCCCCCTTTCCACCTCCATTTCTTTCCATGGGTCCAGCAAAAAGTTGTAATTCCAAATCTCCAATACTTTCACTTATAATTGCTCGCAACACAATGGAGTTTGACAACCAAAATGTCAAACTGTAATCATCATACATATGACATGTGAATTCATGAGAACTCATAATAGTTTCCTTGAACTTATCATAGCTTCATATGTTAAGCTTTAATTTGCAATACACTGCAACATAGACCAGCCTCTAACGAAAAATATTACTCACCAACTTTGGCCTTGGCAAGAGATATCACCAGAATTTTCACCTATTACAACATTTAAAGAAGAATAGCTCTGAAATTTTCAAATTTGACTTCTAAATTCATGGTATTTCAGGTTCAAGGAAAGGCAGTACAGCCCCCCCACCCCGGTCTCTCCTGTCTTTTTCCACCCAAAAAAAAAAAATTCCATCCCCCATAGGTTAACAATATAAAAGGCTAGTTACAACCAAAACTTTTGGGAAAATCCAGCTTGAGATGCTGGAGAAATGAGAAATTAGATTAATAAAACTTTAAAATGCCGACGCAAACTGATGGTAAAGAATATTCAGGTAGAACAATGAGAATAATATGACTTGAACGTACCTTGGAACATCATTTCCACATGCTTTTGCAACCAGAGCAAGTCAAGAAACAGCACTTCTAGCTGCACTCGCTCTCCTTGATTGGAGGCCTTCCTTACAAGCATGAAAATAAAGCCTAGAAAGGTGCCAAGCTGGAGCATGCACCTTAGTCATGGAGCTTCCATGTTCAGCAACTACTGAGTACAGAGCAGCCTCAACCACAGCAGCTTCTCTCAACTCTCTCTCAAGCATCTTTATCTTGTTTTCCAAGTGCTGCATTTTGTTATCCAAAATGGCACTTCTAGTATCCTTGGGGTATACCTTAGCATCTTTCCTTTCATTGCTTGATTTGCTTCTGAAGGTTTCAGGCCCATGCTGTGCATCCTCCAGAACACCAACTTCCTTGAATTCTGCATGTTGGTTATTGCTAAACAACCCATTGTTCCTAACTGAGTTTGATGAAGATCGAACAGACTTGACATGCTTTAGTCTGTCAATTTTTAGTGTATTGGCCTTTGTTCCAAGATTCCCATGGCTTAAAGAAGTTTCTTGTGAATGAATATTCAATTGTTCATCTTCAGTAGAATACCTTTTCTCTTCCAAGTATTGATCTTCATGTCCATTTTCTTGCCAATCATAACTTGAGTTTCCTTCCAGAGAATTATCATATGGATCATTAGCAGCTGAAGCCTTCTTAGAGAAAATTTTGCCATTTCTTTGAGCTTTCCTATCATCTTCTCCATCAACTAGGGAATCACTAAAATCTTTAGAGTCCTGCTTATCAACCTGAGGACTGTTAGCCGAGGATGCCAAGTTGGCCTTAGAACTAGCAGATATATCTTCCTTTCTTTGACCATCATGCCTAATCGTGGTTCCTTTATTGGCAACCATTTCATGAACCTTCTGAGATAAATCTTCAGAATCATTGCTTCTCATGCTGGTGTTGGTTTTATCCTGTGTATTTTCATTAGCCAAGGATGATGAAGACAAATGAACTTTATGGTTAACAACATTATCTCGTACAGGTGAATTGGAACTATATGAGTTAGATAAGGAAGCACGGGCATCTACTGAGCTCTCAAAGTCAAATGATATCACGCCCCGAGATCAAGACGTAACACGGCCAAATTACCTTGAAGTAAACCCCAAAGTAATATAAAACCTTATTCCTTAATTATTCTAAAATTCTTCAATAAACTGATATAGTCTGTCAAGTAAAATCTATATCTTTAATCTAACTAATGATATATCTCTATATATCCAAATACAAACCATATAAAAATACAAAATCATTTCATAAGATCTTATTGGCCAACATTATCTCCAATGACTAAGTAATCTTCCCATTCGATCTTCTAGCTTTTCACAAAACTAAGCAAACTTATCACTTATTCATCTGTAAAGAAAAAGTAAAAAGGAAATGAACAAACCACAGCTCAGCAAATATAGGCTTACACCCCTTACTGGATCAAGCATTTTTTTTCATACATATCATATAGATCATTCAAAATATTTGTCAAACCATAATGTCAAAATATTTCAAAGATCATCATTTTGTCAAATATTTCATAAATTCATAAATCAATATCAAAAGATGTCACTTCATAAATCATTGCAAAATATGCTACCATTCAAATATCATAATCAAACCAAATTATGGATCAATCATTAAAAATCATCGTAAATCATTTTTATATATAAATTATGGATCAATCTTTAAAATCATCATAAATCATCATTATTATTAATTTATCATTAGCTATGATCACTGCTATAACCCGTGACATTGGCTGTATCGACAATTTCATCCTCATGATCATTGCTAACTATTATAACCCGCTAATCAAAGCCTTACGCTAACTACTCTAACCCGTTAGCAGGGCCATATGATCATGTCTATGCTAACTACTATAACCCGTTAGCCAAGGCCGTAGAACTAGTTCTGGTGTCGATGATCCCACTTCCCATAGATGTAAAAACGTAGCTATTATAAAATCATTCTTTAAACATAAATCATTTTCTCATTTCATTCATAAGCATGATCTATCATTTATATAGAAAAAAGCAAAATAATCATATGCTTGATCCTATTTTCATACATAGAAAATAACAAAATGAAACATTCATTCATTTAAAAACATATATATACATAGATTTGAAAACAAGCAAAGTGTGTGAGATTTTACTTACCTCTTTTCGATTCCACCATTTAATTTTTCTCCAAAATAATTAATGGTCTATTCAAGATCATTTCAACACATCAGAAATTAATCAACCCTTTTTGAGACCATTTATACAAAAATCAACTAAGTTACACAAGGGTTAACTCAATTAATTAATATTGGTA